GGCAGTACGGGGCGTCTGATACCCAGACGAGCAGTTTGGGTCTTCTCCGATAAGCAGGTAAACTAATCAGTTCTCCAGTGGTTTCCTACCAACTCCGGTTAAACTGCTTCTTTGTTTTACACTTTTACTACTTAGACTGTGAGCCTTCAAGGCAGGGAACTTGTTTCTGTCTGTTTGTAAAATCCCAGTTAAATTTGCAGCAGTAGATACTTGATTTTTAATAACAGTGACATTAAACTTGAGCAGATTAAAGCTGTGAAGTTCTAAGTGCTTCTTTTTTTGGCCTTTTTTTTTTTAAATCATTTTACCTGACAATAAGTGGCAGTTTGTACTGTCGTCGCTTACGGATGGAGAGACAAAAGTCTACCTTGAAACAGAAAAAATAATTGAGTGGGTTTTCATTGTTTTTTTCTTTTTTTTTTTTTTGATATTGTGGTAGAACCTGAGCAGGATAATTGATTTCCCTGTGTGTATCTGAGATCCAAACGGGCCGTGAATGGTAAGGATATCTAAAAATAGGGTGTAAGTAAGCTCATGGTACAATTCCCGTCCTGCAGGCTGAGCACATCGATCCTGCTGCCAGCAGAGAGTTTTCGGCAACCGCAGCGTTGCAGTCGTTGCGGGTCGGGCCCGGCCGAGCCCAGAAGAGCTGGCTGTGTTCTGGGACGAAGATGGGAAGGGCTGGCCACACAGAGCCGCAGAGGGGCACTTGCCACCGATTCCCCGGTGACCAGAACATCCCGGATCTTAGCCAGGGTCGCTTCAGCAGCACTCCTAGATTATTCTGCACACGCACAACTACAGGAGCCTTTTCTGGGCTGTTTCTGTGTCTTGAGAAAGGACAAAGGCAGGAAACATCAAAGTCCTGCCACGTTGCCATCTCTCCTCCCTGCTGCGCTATCGTTGTGTGTGTTCCAGTGCTGACCTCCTACCACTTCATTATTATTAGACTTTTGGGTTTTAACCATTAGTTAAAAGACAATTAAGAAGCTGAATGGCCTCTGATGCTGTGTTCACAGCTGAGAGGCGTCTCTGGAGCCGCAGCTGCTGGAACTGGTGTTCAGATAGCGAAAAGACGGGCGTTTCAGGCACGTGAGCTGGGGAGGGTTAGGCCATCTCAGCAGCACTCCCCTTTTTCACTGGGAGATTTCATATGTTAACCGCTGTCTGCGCAACAGAAGCACTTGGTGTGCTCCATGTTTCATCACTTCTTGATGCTGCCGTTTATAATCCAGCTGAAGCAGTATTTTGCACAGTGAGTCATAGTTTCCGTATCCTAGCCCAACTCCCCTGTATTTCCGAGACAAATATGTATTTTTATAACAAATTTCAGAGCTATTTTGAGATTCGTGCTGCTTCAGTTGCAAAAATTCAGCCCAGAATCCAAGAAGAAATGTCACTTGACAGAGAAATGCGCTGCTTTTCCAAGACTAAGAAGAGGAATCCTCCCCCTGCACGGATAATGTGATGCTTACAGGAAAGAGCAGCAGCAAGAGTAGGGGGGAAGGAGGGAATTTTGTGTGAGCACAAGGTCTACACCCGCCCTGCAATGCACCGTGGAGTCGCTCCACCTTCCATGAACAAGCGCTGGGCTTTTGTCACCCTTGGGTGACGCTTCTCAGCGTGCAACTTTTTCCCGACTTTCTGTCACTTGGGCTCTCTGGCTTAGCTGGAGTGGGACAGCAGCCTCCACTGCAAAGCCAGATATATAAGCTGAGATACTCTTCACAAAAGAAGGCAAAGTCATGCACGGAAAAAGAGAGAGGAAAAAAAATAAACTGACCCAGGTGCACTCAGGACAGCAATGTCTTATTGGATTCTCAAGTTCTGACAAATGCGAACTATTTCCCTCAAGAGCAGCTCGGGCTTCTGTTTGTTCATTTTGCAAGTACTTGCCGTTGTTAGAGCAACTCTGTGCTTTTGTAATTGCTTTATGACTTCAGATTTTTGTTTATAAAAGCCTCTCTGTGTCTTGCCAAGCAGAGGTAGGGATCCTTTGCAGCCCGTGGGACGCTGCATTTCCGAGAGGTACGCCGGCTCTCCCGCACCCATTACGTAAGGATCAAACTCGAGACAAGAACACCGCATGGGAGCGCAGAGAAGCCACGCTCGGGCAGCCTGGCTCTCCCCAAGAGGACCCGAGCCAGGTACCTGTCACAATACGTGTCACCTAACACCCTTGTCAGGCGCTTCAAGCCCCTTTCTGTCCCTTCCTGGGATGGGCCTGATCCTTTCTGAGCACGGGAGGGGAATTCTGCCCCAGCCACCCTTAGCGCGGGCCCGTGGAGCATCCCAGCGGAATGTCCCCAGGAGCAGCACGAGCCCACCAGCCTCCCGTGGCCCAGGAGCAGGTTCCCGGTGGCCGTGGGGCACCCAGGCAAGAGTTAAAGGCGGCAGGTAAGCGCAGCGCGTCGTCCCGCAGGTCGGACACCCGGTTCCTGCGGCGTGACTCCACGCCATCCCGAGACCTGCCCGCAGCGAGAACGCGCTCAGCAGCCACACCGTCATGTTAGCAAGCGAACGGTGAGCTTCGTGGTTCTGGTCACCCCTTAGGGTGAGGGGGGGGGGGGGGGGGCCCCCCGTTTCGCACAGCTGGTGGCCAGACAGTTCAGCAAATGCGCCGGATGAGGAGGATGAGGCGAGGCGGGGAGCCCGAGTAGACTGCGGGTCGCACAGCGGCTGTCAGCTCATGGAGGGGAGGGCGGGGGTGTCACCCAACCTAGGTGGAGGTGGCTCTGGGGGGGGGAACACCCGCGGTGGAGATCCAGATGCTTCCGGACGACCTGAATTTACTGAATTTCCCCGTGGAGGGCGTACGCTGTGCACAAGACCCAACGAAGGCTTCCAACCCCTTCAGCTTTGTGTTCGCTTGCGCAACGTGCCCGAGACGTGAGCTGCTGCTGGTGCTGGTGGGGACCAGGAGGGCTGGGGGGGGGGCTGCGGTTGGGGCCATGAGGAGGGTGACCTCCCCGGGGAGCTCCCCCCCCAGCACGTCGGCGGAGCAGCACCCCACAAACCGCGGCCCAGGGCCAGGCTGCACCCCACGGCGGTCCCACCACCCGACCCCAGGGCCACGGCGGCACCGGGAGCCACGGCGGCACCGGGAGCCACGGCGTGGTGAAGCACAGAGACCCCGGCATGGTGGGCCAGGATGGGCCCTCACGGCTCCGAGGGGATCCTGAGCCCCCAGCGCTCCGAGGGGATCCTGCACCCTCACAGCTCCGAGGGGATCCTGCACCCTCACGGCTCCATGGGGATCCTGCACCCTCACGGCTCCGTGGGGATCCTGAGCCCCCAGTGCTCCGAGGGGATCCTGCACCCTCACGGCTCCGAGGGGATCCTGAGCCCCCAGCGCTCCGAGGGGATCCTGCACCCTCACAGCTCCGAGGGGATCCTGAGCCCCCAGTGCTCCGAGGGGATCCTGCACCCTCACGGCTCCGTGGGGATCCTGCACCCTCACAGCTCCGAGGGGATCCTGAGCCCCCAGCGCTCCGAGGGGATCCTGCACCCTCACAGCTCCAATGGGATCCTGAGCCCCCAGTGCTCCAAGGGGATCCTGAGCCCCCAGCGCTCCGAGGGGATCCTGCACCCTCACGGCTCCAAGGGGATCCTGAGCCCCCAGTGCTCCAAGGGGATCCTGAGCCCCCAGCGCTCCGAGGGGATCCTGCACCCTCACAGCTCCGAGGGGATCCTGCACCCTCACGGCTCCGAGGGGATCCTGAGCCCCCAGCGCTCCGAGGGGATCCTGATCCCTCGTGGCTCCGAGGATCCTGTGCCCCCATAGCTCTCAGGAGCTGCTGGTCCCTCACGGCTCTGAGAGGATCCACGATCCCTCCCAGCTCCGAAACTATCCCAGATCTCTCCTGGCTCTGAGGGGACCCTGATCCCTCCCAGCTCGGAGGATCCCTGATCCTTCCCACCTCTGAGAGGGTCCCCAATCCCTCCTAGCTCTGAGGGGACCCCGACCCTCCCACCTCTGAGAGGATCCCCTTTCCCTCCTAGCTCTGAGGGGACCCCACTCTGCACTAAGAGGGTCCCTGCCCCCCCCAGCTCTGTGGGGACCCCAACCCACACTAAGAGGATCTCCGCTCCCACCCCGGCTCAGCGGGGACCCATCTGCACTAAGAGAACCCCGGTCTCCCCCAGCTCTGAGGGGACCTCAACCCCCTCCGGCTTTGAAGGGACCCCAATCCACACTGAGAGGGTCCCTGCTCCCCCCCTGGCTCTGAGGGGATCCCGATCCGCACTGAGAGGATCCCCCCCCCCCCAACTCCAACGGGACCCCGCTCCCTCCCAACTCTGAGGGGACCCCGATCCACACTGAAGGGACCCCAATCCGCACTGAGAGGATCCCCACTGCCCCCCCCATCTCCAAGGGGACCCCGATCCGCACTGAGAGAACCCCCACCGCCCTCCTGGCTCCGCAGGGACCCCGCTCTGCACTGAGAGGACCCCCACCGCTCCCCCAGCCCCGAGGGGACCCCGATCCTCACTGAGAGGATCCCCAGTCCCTCCCAGCTCTGAGAGAACCCCCAGTTTTTCCTGGCTCCGAGAGGATGCCCGGTCTCTCCCACCTCCGAGGGGCCCCCCACTGCCCTCGCAGCTCCAAGGGGCCCCCCTCCTTCCCGGCTCCAGGGGGACCCCGATCTGCATTGAGGGGACCCCGATCCGCACTGAGAGGACCCCCACCTCCCCCCCAGCTCCGAGGGGACCCCGATCCGCACTGAGAAGACCCCCACCTCCCCCCCAGCTCCGAGGGGACCCCGATCCGCATTGAGGGGACCCCGATCTGCATTGAGGGCACCCCGATCCGCACTGAGAGGACCGCCCTCACCCCCCACAGCTCCGAGGGGACCCCCCCCTCTCCCCGTTCCGCCCCCCCCCCCCCCCCCCCCCCCTTTCCCGCGCACTTCCGGCCCCGCGCTCCCCGCCCCGGGCCCTCCCGCTGGGGGGCGCCGCAGTGCGCGGCGCGGGGCGGGGCGGAGCGGCGGCGGCGGCGGCGGCGGCCCCGGGAGCGGCGGCGGTGGCGGCCATGGCCGGGCCCCGGTCCGGTCGGGCGGAGGCGGTGGCGGCCATGGCCGGGCCCCGGTCCGGTCGGGCGGAGGCGGAGGCGGTGGCGGCGCGGTTGCTCCGCCTGGAAGCCCGCCTGGCGCGGGCGGAGCGGCAGCTGCGGGCCGCGCTGGCTCTGCGCGGCCGCCTCCAGGCGTTGGAGCGGCGGCTGGAGAGCGGCGGGGCGGCCCGGCGGGCGGCGGCCGGGCGAGGGGCGGCCGGCGGCGGCCGGGAAGCGGCGCGGCCCCGGGCACGGCGGGTGCCGGTGGGGCTGGAGGACGTGTGGGTGCAGTTCAGCGAGCGGGAGTGGCGGGCGCTGCGCGGGTGGCAGCGGGCCCTGCACCGCGCCGTGCTGAGGAGCAACTGCCCCACGCTGCTGTCCGGCGGGAAGGGCCCCGGCGAGCGGCCGCAGCGGGAGGGGGCGGGCGGGCAGCGGGCCCCCGCCGCCCCTCGCCCCCCGGCCCCCGCCGAACCGGAGGCGCCGCGGCGGGACGCGCAGGCCCCGGCGGAAGGTGGGAACGGGCCGTGCGGCGGTGGGAGCTGCGAGGACGGGAGCGGTGACCCGGCGGAGACCGGCACCGGTGAGTGGCCTCGGGACATTGGCGACGCGGAGCGCCGAAACCCCACCGGCCGGGGGCGCTTTTTGGGGGGGAGGCACCCGCCGCGTTGAGCATCTGCTCCCCGCCCGCCTTACCGGGACGCCGCCTCAGACCCCCGCCCTCCCCGCTCCCGCCCGCCCCGCCGCCGGCAGCCGCAGGTGTCGGAGCCGCGGGCCCCTCTCAGCTGGCCGGGTCCCCTCTCAGCTGGCCCGGTCCCCTCTCAGCTGGCCGGGTCCCCTCTCAGCTGGCCCGGGCCCCTCGCAGCTGGCCGGGGCCCCTCTCAGCTGGCCCGGGCCCCTCTCAGCTGGCCCGGTCCCCTCGCAGCTGGCCCGGGCCCCTCTCAGCTGGCCGGGTCCCCTCTCAGCTGGCCCGGTCCCCTCGCAGCTGGCCCGGGTCCCCTCTCAGCTGGCCGGGTCCCCTCTCAGCTGGCCCGGGCCCCTCTCAGCTGGCCCGGGCCCCTCTCAGCTGGCCCGGTCCCCTCGCAGCTGGCCCGGTCCCCTCTCAGCTGGCCGGGCCCCCTCGCAGCTGGCCCGGTCCCCCTCTCAGCTGGCCCGGGTCCCCTCTCAGCTGGCCCGGGCCCCTCTCAGCTGGCCCCGGTCCCCTCTCAGCTGGCCGGGTCCCCTCTCAGCTGGCCGGGTCCCCTCTCAGCTGGCCGGGTCCCCTCTCAGCTGGCCGGTGCCCCTCTCAGCTGGCCGGTGCCCCTCTCAGCTGGCCCGGTCCCCTCTCAGCTGGCCCGGTCCCCTCTCAGCTGGCCCGGGCCCCTCGCAGCTGGCCGGGTCCCCTCTCAGCTGGCCCGGTCCCCTCTCAGCTGGCCCGGGCCCGCAGTGCCGAGCTGGGCCACCGCCGGGTTTCCCGGGCCACCGGTTGGCTCCCGGGAGCGTTTCCTATTCCCCGTGCACACGGGCGCGCCGGGGAATTGGGTTTACACTCGTGCGAAGCGTTCCTCCGATTCACTGGTTGCGTTACGGAGGTATAAAAGTAACGTGTGGAGCATTAGCCCATCCGTTTTTCCTTATTTATTTCATAGACTTTTTCTTTTTTTTTTTTTTCAGTCAGTTTCATTCGTAACTCTCGCTGTTTTTCTGAAGGGTCAGAGGTGCTGTGCGCTTTACCGAGAGTGACTGAAAAGGGAATGGCCTAACTCTGGCAGAGCCAAAAGGGAAACAAAACTTGAGAAGGAGAATTCAAGTGGCACTCTCCCCTCCCCGGGCCACGTAGAGCGTGTTTTCACTGCTAATGGGTGCTGCAACAAAATGGACATTACAATTGCACGCAAATTTTGTGTGTTTCTGAGGCTCAAACATCTGCTGAGGGGTTGGTGACGAATATTTTAGGTCTGTTTAAGAGACTTTGATCAGCGAGACCTAGAACTGAAATGAAGTGAGGTTTCCTCTAGAATGTGAGCTAGAACAGAGCTGCTGTGCCTGGGGTGGGATGAGAGTTTTAATTTATTTTGTGTATGGAATTAAAATACCATTTGTTCCTATTAACAGAAGACAGCATAATCCATATTAAGCAAGAGGAAGAGTTGTACGCTGCAGATCAGCAGGAGGAGGAGGCTGGAGAAGCTCCCGAAGAGCCCTGCCCAGGTGAGTAACTGCTTACCTCGGAGGGAAAATGAAACAGAGGGATTAATTTCCAGGGTTGTGGGGTTTTTTGTTTTTTTTTTTTCACCTCTTCTCACATATTCCAAATCTTTTATAAAAAGCTCACAAGTTTGGAACAGACTTGCCACCAATCCTGACGGGTAAGGGCGGGTATTTCGTCGTTCCCTTCCCACGGCCGTTTTGGAGTTTGCAGAACGTGTGGCTGGTTTTCACCCAAGCGGTGCGGTGTGGAACAGGAAACGTTTCATTCTCCCTTAAATTCCTCACGTCGACGGCTCCAAGCTGGTTAAATGTCTAGTGCGAAGTGGGCCAGCAGTCGCTTTTTGGGGCCAGTGGGTTACGCTGGAGGAGGCGGAGGTCTCGGGGGTCCGTGGTTGGAGCCGCCGGCTGCTCCGGGCTGCGGCTGCGTGGAGGCAGGACGGGGTGCCCTGCGCTGGCTCCAGGGGGATCGGAGCGGCCGCGGCAGCTCCTCGGCTCCACGTCCCCTGCAGCCTTCCCACACGGGGTCTCGGTGTCCGACCTCCTGCATATCCAGAGGCCTCGGCTTGTTTTTTTTTCCCTCCTCCCTTCTCTTCTGTGGTTTTTCTGCGTACACGGGCGAGCGCAACGACTCCTTGGCAGTGCTGTTGCTGTACGGGGAAGCTGCGCAGCCCAGGGACCTGTTTCTTGCCTTCTCACTTGGTGGTACCTCTTTGCGTGACAAATAAACCATTCTGCTTTGGAGCTTGGCTGCCCTTACTCTTTACGAAGGGTTAGCAGCTCTACCTGTCAGCTCCGCTGTCATTTTACTTGGCTTGCAGTGTACGTAGCAAACCGGGACTTTTAGACCTTTCCGTCGGGTTTCATTAAGAAACTGAGCTTACGGGAGCTTGGCGCGGGGGAAAACAAAAAAAAAAAAAAAAACAAAACAAGGGCAGCGTTCACCGCTGTGAAATCCTGAGTTTACGCAGCTACGATGCGCTTGTCGTGAATCTTCTCCTTTAGCAGAGCAAGCGTTTTGTGAGCCCGAGGCTTCAAGTGAGGCCAAGCCAGGCAGAGAAGCGTGTGCCGGGGGGCTGCCAGGCGCAGAGGGCGAGGACCTCCCGAGAGACCCTGCTGCAGGTGAGGATTCCCTGGCAAAAACGCCCGCTGCAGGAATTGCCCCGTCTCTTCTTCCCCGGGGGGCTTTGTCTGCACGTTTCTTGTCTTTATGAACTCACAAATCTTCCCTGCTTTGCGTCTTTCTCCAGTGTTTCTCAATTGTGTAAATTCTCCCCAATGAGCAGGGTTTCAGACTTACGCCACTGACGTTGTGTCGTGGATTAAACAAGAGGAGGAGCCGCGATGCCCTGAACGACAAGACTTAGAGAAAGAAGAAATCTCTACAGGTCCGAGTACAGGTCAGTGATGGATTTCAGCTGAGATTTCTGGGACAGTAAACCTAATTTGGAGTGGTTTTTATACTATATTAAATGTTACGACCTTATTATGTAAGCCATGAAAGAACCGGAACAAACCTCAGTCTGCTAGTAATATTTGTCCACAAAAATTTAACGCTCAGCTGGCCTAAAGCTGTCATAGGCGCTGTCTTGGGTTTGTTTAGGCAAGCACAGTGGTGTGTGCTCAGGCTTTACAGACCAAGTTAGTCCTTCCATCTGGCTCAGTGGGGTCTAAACCGGGTACTGGTGAACCCCTGGCTTTGCGTTCCCAAGCAGGAGAGCTGTCCTGCAGCAACAGAGGAGGCAGCTTTAATGCAAAACAGTTCCAGGATGTGCTGTCGGGAGGCGTGTGCGCTGACACTCATTTGGAGGAGCGTTTGCGCAGAGCGCACTCGGAGTGGATCATGCTTGGGGTGGAGTTAACAGAGGGAGATTCATCTTTGGATCAAGGCTTAACCTCAGGGGATGGGTGTGCAAATTTGGGTGGGGATATTAATTATTCTCCTGGGCCACAGCCCAGGACCACTCGGTGTAGCTCTGAAGTGGATAACTGAGGTGGGGGCTGCAGAGGAATGTTTGTGTAGAAATCCGTTGGTAGTCTGGAATTCCTTCACTTCATGCAAGTTATTTAAACCCTCACGGCACGGCACGTGATGAAGGTACTTTAGAGTAAACCAAGGGATAAACTCCCAGTATGCCGATAACTGTGGGAACTGCCGGCGTGAATGATTTTGCCCCAACAAAAAAGGTCATCCAGAATATTGCCCGGGGACAAGGGTGGATGGGCTCCACCCAACTCCTTCCCAAGGGAGACCTGTTCCCACTGCTCCGAGGGAGCTCACGAGGTGGGCTTCCCCGCCGACTCAGTCTGCTCCAGACCTTCCAGCCTGTGCTCACATACAGCCCAGAGTTACTGGGGTGAGAGGACAAGCTCCTCAGGTGGATAGTGTAGAGCAACCGGTGCCTTTTACGTTCACTCTTTATCTTGGCCTGTGGTAACATGTTTGTGTGCTGATATCCCAGTAGGCAGAGAAATGAGAGCTCAGGATGGTTGTGCAGTGCAGATGACTGGCCTCAGCTGGTTGACGCCGATGAAAGACCCGTGGTCCTTTGTGATGCTCAGTGGAGTCTCCCCGTAGCAACTCACGGATGTGGGAAGGGTCACAGGTCTTACGGGACAGAAAAATCAGGGAGCGTCAGAAAGCTGGGCTGAAGAGCATTGGTGGAAGTGATCTGGAAGGTGAAACGCTGGATATTTGTCGCAGGAAACAGTAATTACGGAAAGAGGGAATTTGCAGGTCAGCAGAACAGTTTTGTCCAATGGCAAATCTAGAGCCGTGCCTAAGTAGCTCAGGTGTCAGGTGCCTTTTTGGGTTGGTTTCTCAGGAGTCGTAGATGTTTTCCGGGGAAAACACGTCTAGGGAAGAGGCAGTCTGACTGAGGGCTCTCCGTCTGGGCGTGCCTCTGCGTCGAGCCGGAGCTGGGTGCCCGCCTGGGGATCACCTCCAAGGTGCGAGAGCTCCCTGCGCTCTGCACTGCTCCGAGCTCTCTGATCGAAGACACGGCGGGAGCCCGGCCCGCAGGGACCAGGGTCCGGGAGCCGGAGGGGGAGGGAGCGCCCACGCTGCCTCGCCCAGCTGGTGCCGGCGCCTCCGCTCGGACCCCTGGGGCCCTGGGCGCTCGGAGGAGCGCGCGGAGAGCAGCCGGCAGCACTGGGGTGGTGTCGGCGTCCGCTCTGCTGGACCTCACGCTTCAGGCAGCTGAGCGAGAGGGTGAAGAGGAAACATTATTGTTTGTGGAGAGTTTTAAAAAAAAAAAAAAAAAAAATGGCAGAGAGCTCTTCTGTTTTCCTGGAGGTTTTGTTTCAGTGGAACGCTGGTGCTTGCTCTCCCCCTCAGTATTAAAACCTCCCGTCTTATTTACTTTGTCTGTGCGTTAGCGTGACACGGCTGTAGGCTTGGAGGGATACTCTTAAGGGTCTTCCCTAACTGAAAGACTCTAACATCTTCTGTTTCAGTGCACAATGAAAACACAAAGAGGGACCCTCCCGCAGATTGCTTTGAAAACACGGTGTGTGACTCGGAGGTACCAGGAAGATGTGGAGAGAAGTTTTCCAAGCATCCTAGCCCTGGAGTGACGTGGGACAGTCAGTGGAATTCAGAAATGATGGAAACAAACACCCCTGGGATTGGCCTTGGGAGCGACGCTCAGTACGACCGAGGGTTTGGTGAGCACTTAGATTTCTTCAGTAGTCAGGAAAACAGTGTCGGAAAGAGACCGTGCACGTACAGCAAATGTGAGAGAAACTCCAGCCAGCAGGAACATCCTCCGACTCCCCAGGGGGCCCGGGAAGGGGAGGTGTTTCCAGGCCCCACGTGTGAGAAGAACCTCAACGAAAGGGTGTTCCACCTGCTGCACTCGCAGCCGTGCGCCCCGGCTGAGAAAGACCCCGGGCAGGGGGCTGCTCCTGCCTCCTGCGAGGCGCCGGAGCGCGGGCAGAACCCTGAGGGTGGGACCAGGCTTCGTGACCACGGCGGCCTCGACGGAGAGGAGCAGCCGACTGCGGAAAGCGAGGAGAGCTTCCTCGCAGAACACCCGTTAGCCAGCCCCTGCTGGGACCACCCGCAGGACAGGTCGGAGGGCTGCGGCAAGTGCAGGCAGCACTTGGTGCCCAGGGGCAGCCCGGCAAGCCAGCAGCCGAGCCACGTCAGGGGCAAGTCCTACATTTGCAGCGACTGTGGGAAAAGCTTCGTTTGCCATTCGTGGCTCGTTAGACACCAGATGACTCACACGGGAGAGAGGCCGTACAAGTGCTCCGAGTGTGACAAAAGCTACAGGAGAAAGGATTATCTCCTAAACCACCAGCGCCGGCACTCGGGAGAGGGGCTCTTCCAGTGCCCCCTCTGCAGGAAGAGATTTGTGCTCAGGAGGAGTTTCATGAAGCATCAGGAAAGTCACATGCAAGAAACACACATGACGTTGGCCGGTTGGCCCTGCACAGAGATCAGGGGGTCTGTAATGCACTCCATATAGAAAATCCCGTCCTGCCGGGGGCTTCGCAGCCCCCTGGGCTGTCACCCTGGCTGAGCAGGGGGCAGGGCCGTGGCAGGATCCCCCAGCTCTGTGCGGGACCGTGGTGGGAGGAGGCGGCTGTCAAAGGGCCGTCCTGAGCCCCCTCCCAGGCAAAAGGGAGAAGGTTGGGGGGTTATTTTCCACAGACCGTGTTGAAATGGTCTGTGGAGCTGTTTCACAGCTTTCGCCGGTGCCTGTAGCTGTTGGGGACGTGTGGGAGCTGTGTAGTCTGCGCTGCTCAGAGGTACAGGTGGCCACGAATCCACATGGGAGAGAAATCGCATCGATGCGGAACAATTCGTGATGCTTCAGGTTGGAGAATATCTGAAATGTTATCCCTGGGCTGCTGAGGGTCCGGAGTCCAGGGACCGGCCTGAAAACGAGTGAGTTAAAGTTACTAATTGTCCACTAAACCAGTGAAACAGCGTCGGAAAACAGCCGCTTGTGTGGAACGCTTTGAGAGGGGAAGCGCTGATCCTGGGGCCGTTGGGAAGAAGACGCTGCAGGAGGTGGCAGCGAGACGGAGGGGAGCAGAGCCTGGGGGGCAGCTTGTTCCCGCAGTTAAATCGCGGAGCTCCCGGGGCTCCGCGCTGCTGAACCCCGAGGGAGGGTTCCTGAGGGCTGGGGTCGTCGCCTGGGGCTGTAAAATGACTGGGGGGCCTGGAAGGTGGTTTGCGTTTCGCGTAGCATTAAAGTTCCGTCGCGCTTCCTCTAAAAGGCTGTTACGGATCTTCTGTGTGTCCCGGCCCGCTCGGAAGAGGGGGACGAGGGACTTGGACTGGGAAATCCCCGGCGGAGCGGGCACCGGCGAGCCAGGGCTCAGAGTCCAGACATTGATTTACTTCCCACACTGCACCCGTGGGATACAGGGGAACTGGCCGAGCGTGCAACGTCATGGCAAGCGATCTAGTATGGCTTGGTTACCCAATGGTAATAAGGAAAAAAAGAGGGAGAGAGAAATGGGTAGAAATAGAGATCGCCGGTGCGGGTCCCTGCGTTGGTCCCGTCCCAGTTCCTCAGGGATGTGTCCGTCCTCTTCACTTCTTCGCCTCCTCCTCTCTGCCTCCCTTTTTTCACTCCCCCTCACTTTACACAGACCTTCCTTGGGTCCTCCCCCCGGGCAGCCCACAGACCGAGGTATCCCTCCTGTGGGGAGGGGTGAGGTGCTTCCAGGGATGAGGTAATTACCCGCTCTTGTTAATTTTTGGTAGCATATTCAGGGGTGTCGGCTTTCCTATGCCTTTTGCGGCTAACGAAGCAAGGGTCGCTCACGGCACAGACGGCCCTCGAGACTTCACAGGCTGCACCAAAGCGGAACCACCGTGTCCCCCCAGGGCCCCCAGCCCCGTCCTGGGCTGTTCTGGCCGCCGTGCCGGCTCCAGCCTCCACATTAGTCGCCCCGGCACTCGAGTTCCGTTCCTTGTGAGCGTCTGAGAGATTCCTCCGCTCCCCCCGTCCCTTCCCTCTTGCTCCGGCTGTTTTTCTCACCGGTGCGGGTTCCGAGGGCGGGCCTGCCGCTGTTGCCTGGCCGTATCCGGGGCTTTCCTTTTCCACCGTGCCCTGAGGGTTCCCGCGGCGGGGCAGGGAGCTCAGGGATGTTCCCTCGGGTGCCTCCGAGCTTCTCGCAGGCCAAGCAACCATCGGAGTGACGTGGGTGTGTTGGGGGCCCCCCCCCCCCCGGCTGCAAGTCACTCGGGCGCGTTCGCAGCCCTCCGCGCCGACCTCCCGTGGCGTTCCCACGTCCCAGCCCCTCGCCCAAGCCGCTGCTCCCGGTGAAGCCGGAGGGGCCCGGCCGGCTTTGCAGGGCGCAGAGCGGCGCCCAGAGCCCCACGGCGAGCAGGCACAGAGCGAAGAGAGGAAAAGGAGCCCAAGAACCATCTCCCTCCAATAACGCCTCTGCACCGGGCGTCCCCTCCGCCCCGCCGGATTCAACGAGCGCGGCCGGCAGGCGCCGGCAGCGGGGAGCTCCGGTGGGTGCGCTCGGTCCTGGGGGTGACGGACGTCGGTCCTCTCCGCTGGCTGACCCATCAGCGACGCCGAGGCAGCGAGTGCCTTCCAAATCAGGTTGTAGCGTCAGCCCGAAAAGCGCGACGAGCCAGCCGGCGGCAGGGGAGGAGGACAGAGCATCGTCCCCCTTCCAGGGACACCCGCGGCTCCAGCTCCTCCCGTGAGCCCTACCCTGGCTTCCATACCCCGAGGGGGGAGATGCCCACGCGGCGTGGGCGGCTGTGCCTCCCGCTTTTCTGCGGCTGGAGCTTCACCTCCGCGCCGGGGTCGCGACACCGGAGGCGGCGTCCCGGCGCGCTCCCCGCCGGACAAGGCCCAGGTGCCGGCGAGGGGGCCTGGAACACAAGAACTCGCGAATCCGATCGCAGCAGCGGATGTGAAATAAGAGGAGAAGTCGGGGTGGGAAGCGATACGGCGTCCTCAGGGGTTGTTGCAGCAGGCTTCACCTCTGGGATAACAGGTTCCCTCTGGTTCCTTGGCCCAGTCATCCGCTGTGAATCTCTAGGATTCAGGAGGACGTCCTCGCCTAGGCGTGTAGAATTGCGCGCACACATTTTGCAGGCATCAAAGGCGGCGTGTGTTTGCTCGGTCCCGGGCCAAACGACCCTACTCTCACTTAATGTCTGCAGAGGGTGCACTAGGAGCGCCAGGTGCCGGGTAAAAGTTCTCCAGCACCCTAAAAATCCCAAAGAGGTCTGTGGCTGTTTTGCTGTGGCTGGCACAGGGAGTTGCTGGACTGTATTTGGTATTTTTCTGACCTGTCCGTACCAAGCTATTCCCCCAAATTGTACGGCAGTACTAGGGCCCCGTACTTTCTTTGGATTAATTGCCCAGCCTCGGTCCTGTAAGACCTTTGCTTCATTCTCCACTAAATGGATAATGAATAATTTGTTATATACTTGGCCAGTTACGTATCCAGTTTGTACGTTCTGGGAAATGAATAAATGTCTGGACTTTGAGACTTGTCTCACCATTGTCCTCTCTGCCGGGGATTTATGAATGTAAGTCGCTCATTCTGAGCGGGACGTGACATTAAAATTGGTGTCATGGACAGGATCCCCTCGACGTTGGAAAGTCCTAAGAGAGAGCGATTCTCCGTCCGATGACCGTGGGCAGGGAGGACGGGGAAGTGGCCCCTCGGCTACCGGCTGGATGCGGTTCGAGCAGTGACAAGCAGTGGCTGCCCGGGAAATGTCGGTGCTTGGCTGCTCCCCTGCTCTCGAGAAACTGAAGGAGTGCGAGGCTCGTCCTGCTCCTCCAGGAGTGGTCTGGGCCCACGATAATTGGTGTAATCCTGAAGCAGTGGCAAGCCGAATCGCCACCCTGGCGAGGGAGCGGAGGTCGTGCCAGGCAAAGGAAGAGCTGTAGCGTGCGCTGTAATAGGGGAACACTGACCGCAGCCCAGAAAGATGAACACTTGAACAGGCAAGCAGAGGGGGAGACAAGCTAAATCCTTGCAAGATCTGGTAAAAGCTCTCCAGGATCAGTTGGCTGAGGAATGTAACGTTACTGGAAAAAAAAAAAAAAAAAAAAAAAAAGTGAAGTCCTTGCAAGAGCAAAATGAAATTTTGCAAAGCCAGTTAGCTGCTGAGCGCAACACCACTCAGCGGCTCCACACAGCTCTGTCGGACGCCCTGGACCGGGAAAAAACGTTATGGTCTGAATTAGAGGAGAATGAACAAGAAAACTGCAGCTGGGCAGATCTTGGGTTTGTTCTGGGTAGTGAACTGGGAGTTACGGGTCTGATAAAATTGGCTGATGGACCCTTGTACCTGACAAAAGAGTTAGAAATGAACTGAAAAATCTTTTACCCCAAAAACGAGGGGGCAACCTTGAAACCATTGATTAAAACGGAGACCACCGATGACCAGAGCGGAGGAGCTCTGCGGGTCGCCGTGCGGATGGTACCGTACCCGGCAGCTGAGCTTGCAGCAGGTCAGGAGAAACACAGCAGGTGGGCTCAGGAAACTGAGACTGGATACGTAAGGAGGGCACCCTTACCTGGTGGGGACTGAATCTTGTTATCGGAAGGTGAGGTCCAGGGCTGCTGGGGGCCAGGGATTTTCCTAATTACTGACGACCCAAGAGAGCCGTGGTCGTTAACGAGCTGCCTGTTGGGCAGGAGGAATGGAGCCCTCGGAGAGGGGGGATCCAGTATGTCTTGAGACCCCAAGCATAAATCATTTGACCAAGAGTCTCCAGAAAGCTGCTTGTCCCCAATTAGAGCATGACGAGCATTTAGTGCTGCAGCAGCCTTCCCCAGTGCCGTTAATTGCTGTTAATTGCTAACCCAAATAGAATGAGTCCCCTGATTCGGGGCCTGCCTGACTCTTTGAAACTATATGCTGTACAACTACAAGACTGTTTGCAGGACGTATTAACCCCACAAAAAGGGGAGACGGGCATGAGGGGGAGGACCCATGACCTTGGGAGAGGTAGCTCAAGAGTTAATAAACTATGGCTGGAGAATGGGCCTTACCTGGGGAACGGGACAGAGGATTCCCCAAGATTTCATAGACTTATACCTACTACGGCCTTAGAAAAGTTCATCTGAGCGTGGAAAAAAAAAAAGGAACCCCAATGTGGTTAATGTCCTGGTTCCCTGATCTGAGTCTGTGGGTGAAGAAGTTACTGAGCATGATAATAATCGCCTTACTTGCTTTTGTATGTGTATCTGTAGTAATACAGTGGTTTTTGGAAATGTCATTCTGCATTCGGGAGGTAAAGTGATGAAAAATGAGACTTATATAAGAGAAACTACAGTGAAGTTCCTTTTCTATAGTCTTAATGGGAATTGTAGCCTGTACAAATGTTTCTAATCAAGTACAGGGACCACTAATCACTGGCTCTATTGTGTAAGCCTGAAACTTTGTATGAACAATGCACGCATGCCTTGCTGACAGCTACACCTCTGAAGAGAAGCTAAAAGGCTGGATGATTGCCTGAGAGGCGTGAAGTCAGCAGCCGGGGACGGGGGACCTCAACCACCAGCTCAGTTTAGGACCAAGAAGGTGTGCCCACCCCTCACCCTTTGAATTTGTGCAGAAGAATTAGCAAGGCACCGTAACTTCAAATCAGACACGTTGTTAACCAGAGAGGGACAAAGTGATGGGTAACTACCCCGTGGTCGTTACGGCAGCGGCGCGCTCATGTCGTTTGAAGCGTACAAAGCCGTCGAGGTTCTTCGGTGCGGCGTGCCGGTTCCGTGCCGTCACCACCGAGCGCCCGTCCCTGCGCAGACATGGCATAAATAACTCCCTCGGCTCTGCGTGGGAGGTGGGCTCTGGCACACCGGGTACCAAACCCTGTTTGAGGGACAGCACTTTTGTTGACCCCGAGGGGCCGGTGCTGGCAGCCTTGCCCGCACCCAAGGGAGCAGCAGCCCGACCTGCTGCTCGGGGACTGCGTCGGCTCCTCTCCCACAGTTGGGCAGCAAGTGCCACAGCGGGGCAACGCCACTGCAAAGAGCTGTTCTTGGAGTAGGAGGAAAAGGAGGGTGGAAGCTGAGGAGTGGCGTTTGGTAATAAGCGTTTAGTTTCGAGCTGCGCATCGTAATCAGGTTTCTTAGAAAATTCTTTTTTGGTACTGAAATGGGTGCTGCTGCTTTCCAAGAGACACCCTTCTGCTCTCCTTTAGGATGCATCCTGAGAAACACTGGAATAAAATTGGAGGAGATCTCCTAACTAAAATAAGCTGAAGTGGTATTGTAATCATTGGTGACGACAATATCAGTTGGAGGATAGTGAAAAATGGCCTGAAAATGGACCTTTAAAATGTAATACTATATTGCAATTAACATTGTTTTGTCAGAGAACTGAGAAGTAGGATGAAGTCGCATATGTTGATTTGGTTTTTGTTTAAGATGTGGCCATGAAACTCGTGAGAAACATAGCTTGTTGATGGATGACGCTGATGGAATGTGTGCGTTGGGAGAACATGCTAATGGAGAAAGGCTGAACCATGTGGCTGGAGAATGACTGTAGATTATAGAGAACTGAATAAAGTCACTCCCCAATACTTGGGCTTACGGTCCCAGACATGGTTACTCTTTTAGAAAGAATCAGCAAAAATTTGCAGCCCTAGAAGCTGCTGACAGCCCTTGCTAATGCTTTCTTTTCAATAGCTATTGCTTCAGAAAGCCAAGAGCAGTTTGCCTTCACCCGGCAACAAAAGCAATTTACTGTCCAAGCATTGCCTCGGGGATACACACGCAGTCCCTCCATTTGCCACCAAATGTTGGCAGCTGATGCAGCACCAGGCCCTGGTACCGTGAGAGTTCACCATTGTAATGATGATTTATTGATTATGTCAGAGTCACAACAAGAAGTTGAAGCAGCTGTTGAATTGCTGAGTGTGCATAGCAGGACCGAGGCTGGGCAATTAATCCAAAGAAAGTACGGGGCCCTAGTACTGCCGTACAATTTGGGGGAATAGCTTGGTACGGACAGATCAGAAAAATACCAAATACGGTCCAGCAAGCAGGCCAGCAATTCCCTGTGCCAGCCACAGGATTGAGGGGGAGTGAAAAAAGGGAGGCAGAGAGGAGGAGGCGAAGAAGTGAAGAGGACGGACACATCCCTGAGGAACTGGGACGGGACCAACGCAGGGACCCGCACCGGCGATCTCTATTTCTACCCATTTCTCTCTCCCTCTTTTTTTCCTTATTACCATTGGGTAACCAAGCCATACTAGATCGCTTGCCATGACGTTGCACGCTCGGCCAGTTCCCCTGTATCCCACGGGTGCAGTGTGGGAAGTAAATCAATGTCTGGACTCTGAGCCCTGGCTCGCCGGTGCCCGCTCCGCCGGGGATTTCCCAGTCCAAGTCCCTCGTCCCCCTCTTCCGAGCGGGCCGGGACACACAGAAGATCCGTAACAGCCTTTTAGAGGAAGCGCGACGGAACTTTAATGCTACGCGAAACGCAAACCACCTTCCAGGCCCCCCAGTCATTTTACAGCCCCAGGCGACGACCCCAGCCCTCAGGAACCCTCCCTCGGGGTTCAGCAGCGCGGAGCCCCGGGAGCTCCGCGATTTAACTGCGGGAACAAGCTGCCCCCCAGGCTCTGCTCCCCTCCGTCTCGCTGCCACCTCCTGCAGCGTCTTCTTCCCAACGGCCCCAGGATCAGCGCTTCCCCTCTCAAAGCGTTCCACACAAGCGGCTGTTTTCCGACGCTGTTTCACTGGTTTAGTGGACAATTAGTAACTTTAACTCACTCGTTTTCAGGCCGGTCCCTGGACTCCGGACCCTCAGCAGCCCGGGGATAACATTTCAGATATTCTCCAACCTGAAGCATCACGAATTGTTCCGCATCGATGCGATTTCTCTCCCTTGTCTCCCTCTTCTTTGTGAGATGCAACAGGGCTCCTTCGCTGTCAAGACGGTTGTGACAAATTTTGTTAAAAAGCCTGTTTTTTCCACGCATGTTTCTCCCTGTGTTTTGTCCGGGTGCTGCTCTGGCTGGAAATCTCTTATTTAAATGATTTTTTTTTTTAATGCAACGCCTCGCGTTATTCTACTGGGGGCGGAGGGCAGAGAAGCCAGAGGAGAATCCGGCCCCGCCGCCCCCCGGAGCCCCGCTCTCCGCGGAAATCTTTGCTTTAGGAAGGGTGGGAGTCACCGACACGGGCGAAGGGGAGGGGGGGGTCCTGCCGGGGCTCCCCGGCGGCAGCGCGGCTCGTCCCGGGTTTTGGGGGATCCCCGAAACGCTCCGCCATCCCGGCCCCCAGCCCCGCCGCCGCGCCGCCGTTGCCATGACAACCGCCGCCTCCCCTCCCTCGTGACGTCACGTTTGCCTCTTCCAATCGGCGCACCCGCTCTTTCCGTGCGCCGGCCAATGGGAAGGGACGCTTCTTCCAGGCCCCGCCTCCCCGGAGGCGGTGCCGCCGGCGGTCGTGGCGATTGGCTGCGGCGGGTGGGCGGGGCCCAATAGGCGGCTGGCCAATAGCGAGGGGAAGCAGGGCTGCCCCCCTGCCCCCGCCTGATTGGCTGTTTCCGCGGGGCGGGGCGCGGGAAGATGGCGGAGGCGCACGTGTGGTGAGGAACGGGGAGACCGGGACCGGGACCGAGACCGAGACCGGGACCGGGACCGAGACCGAGACCGCAAGACCGGGACCGAGACCGGGACCGAGACCGAGACCGCAAGACCGGGCCAGGGACCGAGGCCGCAAGACTGGGACCGGGACCGGGCGGAACGGCACGGCCGCCCGAACGGGCTTGGCGAGTCACCGGGGCCCCTGTTCCTCCGGGGTCACTTTAACGGCGCTCGGGGAAATAACGACACCCGCGGCCCCACCGGACCCCCGTGCGCGGGAAGGGGCAGAGCGTGGGGCCGAGCTGGGGGGACCCCCGGGGGTGGAGGGGGTGGGGGGCCCGGTTTCCTGCCCCGGCCCTTTCCCTTCCCGCCTTCCCCCCGCCGTTCCCTCCGTCGCCCTTTCCAATCGACGCCTCTCGGTGCTTTGTCTCTTTTTCTAGTGTTCTGTCCCCAAAATCTCCCCGGCTGACATCCCCGCGAGCCACAGCCGTGGGGCAGCGCTTGTTGAGGCCCCACCTATAAACCCACCTTTATTTTTGTTTTGGTTTTGTTTTGTTTTGGTTTTGGTTTTGGTTTGGTTTTGGTTTTGGTTTGGTTTTGGTTTGGTTTGGTTTGGTTTTGGTTTGGTTTTTTTTGTGTTTTTTTGTTCGTTCGTTTTTGTTTTGTTTTTTTTTGAAGTTATTTGACTATCGCGCCTTTGCGATACCCGTGAGGAGCTTCGCCGCGGAGCGTGGCAGGCTTCCTCCCCGAAACGCAAACCAGCGAAGTGCTCACCCCCCGCACACAGAGCAGAAGTTGCTTCCGACGTAAATCTGCCTAGTGACGGCCCGTTTAAGCTGATTTTAAAGATTTTAGCCTCCCAGATTGCACCCGCGTGCTTGGACGCTGTGGAAGAGGGACCCGGCTCCCCCGCTCCCCGCGCCGCGGATCAGCTCCGCACCGTGTTTCGCTTCCTCCTGACCTCAGCTCTTGCTGTCTTTCAAAACCATGGGTTTTTCCGGAGAAGTTTAGGCCCATTTAATACCAAAGTAGAAACTCTTTAAACCCTCCTCCTGGCGCGTCGTTTCTGGATTTGTTCCCGTTTCCCATTTTACAATGGTTTATTGCTCGGCGCTGAACTGTCAGAATGCCACCAGCGGCGTGTACAAGAACAGCGCTGTTACGTTCTACGGCTTTCCTCTGCAAAATAAACCCCTCTTGAAGCAGTGGATTCACAACATGGGCCGGGACATGGGAACACCTTCCAAGTATCAGCGACTGTGTTCAAAGCATTTTGAGGACAATTCTTTTGTCATTGACCCCTTGAAAATCAGAAAAAACAGACGTCTGCTGAAAGAAGCCGTTCCCAAAAAATTCATTCTGGATGACGATGGAAACTGGCTCGTTGGCACACCTCAGAGTTTCTGTGGTGGGAGGAGTGCTAAAACTCGAAAACGGATCCGGAATCCTGAGCACTCAAGGGTAATTAAGGTGTTTGCTATTATATGCCCCTTAAATGAAGATTTTCCTGTAAAGCACCTCAAGGAAGCGGCAATCCGTGACACGTGCTATGGAGCAGTAGCTGCAGCAGGTTTCATTTTTCTCCCTCATTTTTCGTTTCGTTTTTCTCCTCCCTCAGAGGGTGAAGGTGTCACTGGGAGGTCGGTGACTGGGGAATTTAAAGGCATCTTGGTGCTCGAGTTCCAATTTTCTGCCGAAACGTTAGGGAGAAAAACCTGCTCTTTGCTGGCAGTGCAGTCCCGCTTTGTGCTGGAAGACGGACTCGCTCCCTGCAGACCTGCACCGGTGCACGACCATCCTCAGGCGTGGAAAAATTTCTTTTAGAGTGACTGAGATGATTTGTCAGTGGCACGGTGCCCACGGTGTGGGTGTTTGGTGAGGCAGAGGCTTAACTTCTGCTCAACCTTCTCCCCTGTGTATTTAATTTGGATTGCAATCCCATCTAGTGACAGATTAATGAAACTTAATTATTTCTCTTGGCAGCAGATTTGTACAATTGAGTTTTACGTGATGCAAGCTGCAGAACGTCTGAACCGGTGAGATGTGCGTTAGATTGAAAGGCAAATTAAAGCATATTCAAAGGCAAGCACGTACAAACGCGGTGCTCTCTGGACGCAGAGTACAGCCACAGAGTAGGTACATTGCAAAATAATGCAGGCTTCATCTCTCGGTATTCGTAGGGCTGAATTATTCGCTTGTGTTAACTTTTTGTTATTAGGGAAGAACTCTCACAGCCCGATCTGGCAGACTGTGGCTCAGGGCTTATTTAAAATACACACTGGGATATTTTCTGGTTTTCAGTGAGAGGAAGAGCCAAATTCCCTGATGGGGCTGGGGACCGATGGTGACCACAGATAATTTTTTTTTTTTTTTTTTTTTACATCTGATTTTTGACCCAGTTGTTATTAAAAATACTTTTTTTTTTCAGTTGAGTCACGTTATCTTTTGAAGTAATTTTACCCATTCTGAGCTGCGTGCAGAAATAACAGCAGAAGACTCGTATACCAAGTCCTTAATCGTTAGGCTGGTTGTACTAACGGGGGCGTTGCTAGAAACATCTGGCTGGTGACCGCGTGTTTCACACTGTTTGAAAAAGGCCTTTCCAGGGTGTAGGGCTCGCCAAGGGCACTGGCCGTTGACCACTTTGTTTCAGGTCCCTGAGATATTTGATAATGCTGCGGCCCGTGAGGGGAAGGGCTCGGAAGACTGGCAGAAGGAATTTTACAAGAAATTGATAAAGGGGAATTATGAATCTTCAGGCACGTTGGGGAAAGGTGAGTTTTCTCGTTCTCGCTGAAGGGGAACAGGGCCGTGCTGTGTCTGGCCCGGCTCCTGCCTAACAGTCACTCCTCACATCCCTTCATTTCTGCTGAATGAACCTTTAGATAATTCTGAATCTTTGTGAGAGACAATAAGCTCCTCAAGCTTTATCTTTACAGACGGAAGGGCAGTCGCCCCCGCACCGCCTCCACGGCTGCGGGGCGCGCGGTCGGCGTGATACGGGCACAGTGAGGGTCTCCCCTGGGGCGGGGGGTGTGGGGTCTCTGGCCGTGCCCCCGGTAACGCGCGTGCGAACTGAAACGAGGGACTCGGGGGGGTGGAGGAGGTTTCGATACACGAGCTCCGGAGCTGCGGTGTCATACGGTGTCGTGAACCCCGTGGACGTGGTGGTTATAGTTGGGAGGACTTTCATCATCCCCAAATCCTGAGGTATGTTGGGTTTTGTGATTCGGTAAAGGGGATTGAACTATTCTGATGCAGGAATAGTTAAATAACACGAATGATGCCCAAGGAAATGAAGAAGTCTTATTGATTTAGTTTTAAGTGCCCAACTACACATTTGCTTGGAGTCGTTTTTTTAAATTTGAAGATCTGTGCCTGCACTGGCTCTTCAGCTTTCAGGTAATTCCTTCAATTAATAGAAGAGCCGGCTATAATTAGGAGCTAAGTGTGCTTTTACTTGTCCTCGGGACTGGAGGAACAGAAGTGCTGTGAACCCCAGGAGCCTCAGTTGTCACACGCTCTAGTTTGCGCTTTGTGACACTTCAGTTTAAGAAACGCTGATTTAGCCTAACCTCATTCTGTTGCTGCTTCTGCACTTTCCAGTTTGAAATTACATGAAATAATGAGACAATGTAATTCCACTTTTTTTTTTTTAATTCTTTACCTGCCTTCTGTTTTTTACAGTAGAAAAGCTAGAGTCTGCAGACAGCTGCCTCTATTTTTTTTTTGTACAGCTCTGATCTGTTAAAAAAGTATGTGCTGTGCATTGCATGAGGAGGGATTAGCTGGGGGAAAATAAGTTCATGTATCAGAAAGGCGGTTAGGACTGAATCAGAACACAGCACCAGGCAGCTGAGTTACGCTTCTGTGGCTGCGGTCAATTTGAGATCTTCCACCTCTGAACATTTTAACTTTTTAACCTTTCGGATATAATTTCTGGAATATTTTAAAAATTGGAAGACAAATGCTGCTCGCCCGCTTCCCAGCCGCCCTCTAGATGCCAGAGCAGCTGCATCTGCTGTTCCCTCCTCGCTGGACGCTTCCCTGAAGTAAAAAAGGCAGTGGGTTGTGCAGGTATTTGCTAGAAAAGAGCATCACAGAGTCTTTTCTTACAGTTCTAGGAACACCTAGAAAAGCGTTGTTCTTTGAGAAAGCAGAAGGCAGTATTTTTCATGTAAATTAACAAAAATGAGTCATGTCACAAAACAAGGGCAGAAGTGAACGTGAGGGGCTCAGAGGGGTGAAGTGAACAGGCTGGCAGAGCTATCCGGCACCGGTCTTTGTGCAACGTATCCTTTGTCTACATCAACACAATTAAAGTAGGTTAGGAAATATCCTTGTAATAACGGGGGAAAAATCAGAAGGAAAAAATAGCAGTCACTTCTGTGTTCTGTTCCTTGTGCAGACTGCCCTGTTCCCAAAAGCAGCACGCAGGCGAGAGAAGCGCTGCACGTCAAGGAGAAAAGGGAGATTCCTGCAAGGCTCAGCGCGGGTGTGTGTGGCCTGAGACTCCTCCAAAATTAAACTGGCAAGACGTTGAAACTGCACAGGCCGGGGGAGTTATGGGGGGGGGTTCTAGTGCATCCCTGCTTTTTTACCCAAATCTTGGTTTCTTTGTGCGGATGTAGCCACGGTGAGTCAGGAATTGTTATTCTTTGGAGATTTATGTTTCATCACATCAGATAAAGGGAACGTTTGGAATCTTTTTGTTCCAGGCTCCGGTGGTACCGTCGTCGAATCCAAATTGCAGAGTCACACAAAACATGTGGAAAATACAGAACTGCGCAGATCATTCTCAGGAGGATCCCAAGACTCAAGTCACCAAATTTCAGATAAGGGGGTAACATCTGGGAGTCATCAGAATTTGGCAGCAGATCAGGCAAATCCAACGGGAAACCGAAAAGATAACTCTCTTGAGGAAGAAGAACCTGATAAATTCGGAGAGATCCTTCTGCATCAGCAGCCCCATACAAGAGAAAGACTGTATCTGTGTGCAGAATGTCAGAAGACTTTTAAATTCAAAATTGGACTTCTAAAACATAAGCAGATTCACACCAAAAACAATTGGGGGTCATCGTACATATGCACAGACTGCGGCAACAACTTTGGTTGCTACGGGGACTTGGTTCACCACCAGAGAACTCAGATGGGGGAGAGGCCCTACAAGTGCACGGAATGTGAAACCAGTTATGTGGAAAAACCGAGGTTCACTGATCACCTGCAAACTCCTAACGTGTACGTGTAATCACTGTGCCCAAAGCTTTCCTGGGATAGGTTTGTCCATTTGGTTACCAAAAAAAAAAAATCTCTCTCCATCCAGAGATGGTGGCTTATAGTCATACATTGATTATAAGGGAAGCTTTAGCATAAAACAGTTTTACTAAACTGAATCGAGTTCAAACACGAAAAGCATCTGGTTGGTGCCAGCTTAATAGTCATTGATTAGGACCTGATTTTAATTAGTGGCTAGATGATTCATATCTGGGAGGAGGAATTGTATAGAGCAGTGCTGACTGTACCAAAAACATTATTAAAAAACTTCTGGTGCACTGAACAGCACGTGCTAGAGAATGTCTGTATTAATGCAGAAGAATGCCGTAAGTTTTTTCAAGTGTGAGAATACCGAGAGAATGTCACGATTGGAACAGGTTTGCCCGCAGAGCTGTAAGCAGGAAACGGAGCTTCTGAGAGTGTAGGGGAAGGTGGATGGTTGGGTTTGAAATAAAAATAGCAACCAAAAAAAACCAAAAATTTCAGCAGTTACAGTCGTAGGACAGCAGCGGTGGCAGCGAAAGCACTGTCACAGGGAAATAATGGCCAGAACTGGTTGCTTCAAACATCTGTTTACTGGAGGTGAGATGCCAGTTGAATTTTCTGAGGTTCTGGGAAGGAGTGTGGGGATATTCTTAACGTGTGTGCAAAGTACAGGTAACGTCGCAAGCTAAAAAAGCAGCAGGGACAAGATCAGCAGCTGGGGGGGGGGGAGGACAGCGTTTGTGGATCACGCATCTTCTCTCCACAGGCTGGTGATATTCAGCACTTTTGCTTATTCCGGTTGAGTGCAAAGGTCTAAAAGGTGGTGGTAGCTGCAGCTGGAGCCTGTGCTTTGCAGCCAGCCCGGGGGTGCAGTTGATGTCCTCGGCGTCCCGTGAGGAACAGCAGAGCAAAGGGCTGGTGCTGTGCTGGAGTTGGGTCGCTTCTGAAGGGGACTGGGGGGAACACGCTCAGCCCCGAGGGACCCCTGCCCATCCCCACTATGGGAGTGACGTCCAGAAAACTTTTTAGCATCAGCTTCTCATTATTTCTCATGATGACAGTGGGATCGATGCACCCTCAGCAAGTTCACCCCCGACCCCGAGCTGCGTGGTGGGGGACACGGGGGAGGGCAGGGATGTCACCCCGAGGGACCTGGGCAGGCTGGAGAGGGGGGACCGGGCAAACCTCCTGGGGTTCAGCAAGGCCGAGGGCAAGGTGCTGCCCGTGGGTCGGGGCAATCCCCAGCACAAACCCAGGCTGGGCCCTCGAGGAGTGGCTGGAGAGCAGCCCCAAGGAGAGGGGCTGGGGGGGTTGGGGGGGGGAAAACTGCCCGTGAGGCAGCCCCGTGCGCTCACAGCCCAGAACCCCCCCGTGCCCTGGGCTGCAGCCAGAGCAGGGGGGGCAGCAGGGCCAGGGAGGGGATTGTCCCCCTCTGCTCCGCTCTGGGGAGACCCCCCTGCAGTGCTGGGGCCAGCTCGGGGGCCCCCAACAGCAGAAGGACACGGAGCTGCTCGAGCGGGGCCAGAGGAGGCCACGGAGATGCTGGGGGGGCTGGAGCAGCTCCCCTGGGGGGCCGGGCTGAGAGAGTTGGGGGGGTTCAGCCTGGAGAAGAGAAGGCTCCGGGGGGACCTTCGAGCAGCCTCCCAGGGCTTAAAGGGGGGACAGGAGAGGGGGGGAGGGACTCTGGGTCAGGAGGTGGGGGTAGGACGAGGGGGGACGGGTTTAAGCTGCCAGAGGGCAGATTTAGGTGAGATCTGAGGCAGAAATTGTTCCCTGTGCGGGGGGGAGGCGCTGGCCCAGGGTGCCCAGAGCAGCTGTGGGTGCCCCCTCCCTGGAAGGGTTCAAGGCCAGGTTGGACGGGGCTGGGAGCCCCCTGGGCTGGGGGAAGGGGGCCCTGCCCAGGGCAGGGGGGGCACTGGGGGGGCTTTAAGGTCCCTCCCAGCCCAACCCATCCTGTGAATTCGGTGATAGCCACCCTGGGGACAGCTTTGCTTTTATTCTCCCATACAGCTCAATGCCTCAGTGGTCACAAGGATGCTGTGTGCTCCTGCACAAAGATCCTGTGGAGTGAGGCGATTCCTTGCGGAGCAAATCCTGTCAAAATCCGTCCCGCCGAAGCTGCGGCTCCTGCTGTGAAGCAGCTGAGCACCCGGAGCAGCGGGGCTGAATCTGGCCCGCGGCCGGGCGCCTGCAGCGGTTTGCTCGGGAGCTGCTGGAAGGAAATCCTGAGTGAAAGACCTCGTGAGGAAGCTCTGCCTCTTTCCCTTATTCACAAGCACAGAGCTAAGGGGCATGTGACTGGGCAGAGGCTTAAATCTGAGATTTTATATGTGCCAAAATATAAATAATAATCGCCTTATTTAGAGGTTTAAGTGGAGACAGATTAAATGGAGCTCGAGACGGAAGGCCACAGAGGCAGGGTGGCTATCCGAAACGACGACGGCGTGTGTCATTCCACTTGCTCAAAATGCTGAGCAAATCTTAAGCAACAAAATTAAGCAGAACCGACGGGGTGCTTCCCAGGTGGGGAGCGTCGGGAGGTCAGCTCCTGGGGTTGCAGCGGGCACGGTGAGGGTGAGCAGCTACCGGGGTTGTTTGCCCTAAAGCACCGTCCGTGCTCCTGCGCTTGCAGTAAAAGTTCAGATGTGCAGGGGAAATCCAGAGTCCGACTGCCGAAATGACTCGTGTCCTGAGAAATGAGCAGCAGAAGATCCGGGAAGAGACGATTTATCTGTGATTTGGCGAAAAGTTTTGTGTCCGTTTTCTCCGGCCCGTAAGCAGGAGGGCTCTGGCGCGGCAGATGGGTTTCTCCCAACATCCCAAAACTCAGAGCAGATGCGGAGAGACAGGGGAGGTGTTCTCTGCAGGGGATATAAAAAGTGCAGAGGTGTCAATGCAGAGATCCAGCTTAAAAAAAAAGATAAGTTTCATTGGTTTTGTTTCTAATGTAGACCCTCCTTCTCGTTTCACTGGTGCCGGCAGGGATTTTGCCTTCACTGAGCCTCAGCTTAGCCCAGAATGACCAAACAAATAATTTATGTACGAGAGTAATCGGTCCCTCCACATGGTGCTGTTATAAGCTTCAAAAAATAGTTATTTCTGAAGCTGTATTGAAACATTGTGTTTCCAGTCTCCATGGGAAAGTAACACTAAAAGGTAAAACGTTAAAGATTTATGCCCAGCGCTAAGGGACGCGAAACATTAATGCACAGAGGTTACTCAGGGCTTTTCTGTTCCTTCTATATCCAAGGAGTGACCCACTGTAGAGCAAAGCACCCCGTTTTCGAGAAGATTTGTACGATACCTCCCGTGGGCCCACTTTTACTGGGCAGTGCATCTCTTCAGGCATTTGGTGTTGCTGTGGACCCTGTTCCCCTTGTCCCCATACTTACATGACCTGCACATGGAATGTGCTGCTTCAATTTAAAAAAAAAAAATAAAAAAAATTAGAATAGCATAAGGTAAAGCATCAGAAAGCACAACGAGGTAAACAGTTATTCCAGCCCACAGCTAAGGCCAAGGGAGAACAGAATAAACTTCACTGAAGTGGAGTAAAACCGGCGCAATCCTTTAGTGCAGCGTCTGCTGGGGTTCCTGGGAAGTTGAGGTGGGAAATGAGTAGAAAGGTTGTAGAAACTCACCGTTCCTCGCCTGAATCTTTTCCCAGGAGGATGCATGGGAATCGTGAGACTCTCTCAGTTCCTCTCTGGGAAACTGTCTTAATTCTCTTGCAGCAGGGAGAATAAGGGTTTTTTGTTGACAATGTTAGTTCAGTAAGAAACCTAGGCTGAGAATCCATGTACTTGCCTTGAGAAATAATGTTCATGCATTGGGGAATAAAAATAACTGCATAACCTCCTGGGTTTGTGCAGTCAGAGGGAAAAAAGCCAGCTCCTTAGCAAGATAGGCTTTCTTTAAAGAGAATTTCCAACACATTTGTTGGTTTATTTCTTTTAAAAAAGCTTTAGGACACGTTTAACCTGCAAATGTAAAGCTCACCCTGCTATGTACCACCCTGTCAGGAGTGGCGGTGACAAACACGTCTGAGAATAAAACGCTTTTGGTTTTAAGAGCCTCTGTGTTCTCAAAACGGTAGAAACAAGGTCAGGATGTAGCATGTGTGGCTTTTCTGCCCTTTCCGTTTTAATTACGCTTTATGGATTGCCTTCTGAAGTGTCCTCTCCCATTCTGTTCCCTTCAGTTTGCAAATTGAGAGGTCTGGCATTTCATGATCCATGTTGATAAAAGTTTATTTCTTTTTAAATTTCTCTGTACTTGTCTCTCTTTCCACTTACCCCTTCAGATGAAGGGTCTTCGCCTCGTGTGTTCAACGGGGGCCTCGTGAGCTGCGGGGGCTGCTGTGCTGCAAATAAACTGCAGAAACCGAGGTCTTGTACAAGCGCTTTTGGGGAAGAGATTGTCTTCACTTCTCAATGTGGCTTTTCAGCTAAAACAATCAAAAAAAGAACCCATTTCCCAGACAGCTTCACCTGCTTTTGAGGGGAGTTTGACCTTATCTTGTTTATTGTGCATAATTTCTAGTCTATTCTATCCTGTCCTGTCCCGAGTGGGTCAGGGCTGTGCCCACGCATCGTGTACCCCAGGCACTTCCAGTTGCTCCAGTCTGGAGGCAGAACTGGAAATGGTTTTGTGGAGGGTGCCTGGAAGACATTGAATTAAATGGATAAACGGTGGCTTCAAAGCCAAGGGAGGTTCTTGACACAGCAGTTAGTTACGCTGGTGGCATGCAGGCAGCAAGATGCTGCAGGTGCAGGGAATTTACACAGGTTCAGAATTGGCTCCATAAATTCCCATAAGGAGAAAAAAAAAAAAAAAAAAGAAAAAATATAGAAACTCTTAAATGCAGAGATGCCACTCCCGGCTCAGGGTGCCTGCACCCTCGGAGTGGTCCTTCGCCCACCCGAGGCGACGCCGGAGCTGCTCCTGGGACGGGTCGGGACCCAGCTGGGTGTTGGGGTTTGGTCCTCGTGGGACTATTTGGGTGCCCACGGAGGGACCCCGGGGAGCGAGCGGCAGCGCCGGCGGGCTCTGGGGGTGCAGCGCCCACCCCGAGGGAGCCCCGGGTCCCGGGCAGCTCTTGAGCTGTCAAACCCCAAAACAGGCGAAATTCACCCAATCCTGGGGATGCTCCGGGGTGGGACGTGGTGCCGCGTCCCCTCCCCGGGCTGGGCTGCAGCTCGGCCCGTGCGGAGGGGATGACTCCTCTGTCCCGGGATCCCGTGGGATGCTGCTGGCCCCAGCACCCCTCGAGGGGGCAAAACCAGCGCCTCGGGCCGCGCTTGTCATTCCCCGCTGCCCCACAGAGCGGGGTCTTCAGCAAACGGTGTCCCGGGGCGTCAAAGCTTCCCCCTGGGAAACGTTACCTGCGTGGTGAGAGACGTTTGAAAAATCTGCGGGATCAGACAAGCAAACCCTGCCCGAGCTGCCACAGGCTGGATCCGTGGCCAAGAAAAAGCAACCCCCAGGTCCCAGCGGATATTTTCCATTTTTTTCTCAGTATCCCCAGCACGGGAACTGGTCTGCTGTGGCAGCGGAGGAGCCCTGGCTCCGCGCCGGCTCCGGGGGCCTCTGACCTGGCTGAGCCTTAACCTGCGGTTTTATACGGCGGAGGAGCAGCCGCAACCTCAAATCTCACCCAAACCATGCGGCAGCAAGAGGTCTCGTGGGAGGGGAGGCTAAAACGAGGGGCTCGCTGCCCTGGGTGTGGGGGGCTGGGTGCTCCAACCCCCCTGCACCGTCCTTCTGCTGGGTCTGGGGGGTCTTTTTGGTCCTGTGCCCTCACAGCGGTGGTGGCAGCGGTGGCTTTGCCCGGTGAGTGTCCTTAAACACGGCCGGGAAAACTCGGCGTGGCGGGACGTGCGTGGCCGTTCGTGCCGTGGGGGGGCCGGGGCGCGTCGCTGGCTTTGCAGACACAGACCCGCTGGGAGCGGGGAGGCCTTTCAGCAGCCCCCCGCGCCCCTCCTCCGGTCACCAAAAGGCTTTGGTTTTGTCCCCTCGTCTCCGAGGGTCACCGGTGCCTGACGGCCCAGGGCAGGTTTGACAGACACAGGTTTGGTTTTATTTTGCTGCCTACAGCCCAAAAGGCCTCGGTCTGGCAGCGGCCCCGAGCTGGTGAGGAGGTGGGGGAGCCGCTGGTCCCTGTCCCCTCCCGGCAGGGATGGCCGTGCCCTTCGGCAGGAGCTGGCTCCTTCCCACCCAGAGCTGCTGGGTGCAAGGGGGATGATGGGGAGCGGAAAAAAAAAAAAAAAAAAAAAAAAAAATTAAGCTGCCATTATTTGCTGGTTCCCCAAAGAAATGGGGGTTCCATGCCCGTGCTGTGTCTGCCTGCTGGTCCCCATCGCCACAAACTGTCCCCTGGAGCCCTCCCGGTCCCCGGCGGCTCTGCCCCCAGCTCCGGGCCAGGGGATGTGGAGGGATCCCGGCACCTTTGGGACCGGGGAGGGGACGGCGGTGCCCGACGGGCAGCAGCTCTGCGCCCCACAGCTGGGCTGGTTTGCTTGCTTGTTTGATTTTTTTTATGTAAAAACCATCGTTTCCCACCTTTTCCCCTTAAGTGCAGAGGGAGAACGAGCTCCCCTAAAGCTGCTTTCAGCGGTTCCCTGGGGGGTCCCTGTCCTGCTGCCCCCAGCTCGGGGGGGGCTCCCCAATCCCCGTGGGGCATCACGCCTCGGGCTGAGCCTGTACCCTGGGTCCCCGGGGACACCCTCATCCCTCCCCAGCCTGGGGCGGTGGGTGCCAGCGGCTGCAGGACCCCCCCGGGGCGCTGGGCCATGGGGCAGGGGTCTTAGGGGGTGTCCCAGCTTGGGGGGACGCAGCGCTGGAGGGGACGAGGGAGCGATCGCAAGCGAAATGGCTGCTCAGGCTCCCGTGACGCTTGCTCAGCCCGTTAACCCTTTTTGTCCCGCCGCCCTCTCTGCCCGGAGGCTGGGGCCGGCCCGGTCGGTGTCCGGCAGAGGGGACCCCCCGCCGTGGCCCACCCGGACAGACCCCGGGGCACCGAGGGAGTTTTTCCCGGAGGTTTCCGTGAAGGCAGGCCCGTGATGCTTTTCCCTGCTCTGGCACCGGCACCAGCCCCCAGCACTGTCAAACCGAAGGGTTGGGGCGAGTGAGCGGGGGGTGGGGGGGGTCCCCAAACCCAGCACATCCCCACAGATGGGGTCTCCCATCGGTCTTTGGCTGGGATGGGGGGTCCTGGTGTGGGTGGCTGGGTGCTCCCCTCCCCACACCAGGTGCTCACCCCACGGCCCCAGGCTCATGGCACTCCGGTGTCACCGGGTGTTTTCGGGAGGGAGATGGGGGGTCCCAGCAGCACAGCCCAAGGGTGTGGGGGGGGAGACACCCCCTTCCCCATCCCCAACCCGCTGCCTGTGGGGCCGTGACCCCGGGGTGCCGGCGGGGATATGGTACCCAGCTGAGCGGGGCTGCCCGGGGGCTTTGGGATCCGGGCACCCACTGGGCTCAGTGCTGGCTTCATACTGGGGCTGATACTGGGGCCGGGGCTTGGGGCTGATACTGGTGGCGATGCTGGTCCTGATGCCAGTGCCAGTGCCAGTGCCAGGGCCGATGCCAGTGCTGACACTCCTGCTGATGCTGATACTGGTGCCAGTGCTGGTACCAGCGCTGAGGCTTGGCAGCAGTGCTGGTGCTCGTGCCAGTGCTGATATTGGTGCTGATGCTGGTGCCGATACCGGTGCTGACACTGGTGCTGATGCTGGTGCCAGCGCTAGTGCCCATGCTGGTGCTGATACCAATGCCTGTGCCAACACTGGTGTCAATGCCTGTGCCCGTGACAATACCGACGCCCATGATGGTGCTGGGGCTGGTGCTGGGGCTGGTGCTGGTGCTGGGGCTGGTGCTGGTGCTGGTGCCGATGCCAATGTCTGCGTCAATACTAACAGCCGTGTGGGTGCCGGTGCCTGTGCCCATGTCGATGCTGACACTGGTGCCAGTGCCGGTGCCAGTGCTGACGGTGATGCTGGTGGTGGTGTCCCTGCCCGTGTCAGTGCTGACACTGGTGCTGGTGCTGTGCTGATGCCAGTGCTGGTGCCGGTGCCAGTGCTGGTAGCAGGGGAGCCAGGGCTGCTGCTGCCAAATGCAATGCCGGTGCCAGTGCCAGTTCTGGTACCAATGCCAGTGCCGATGCCAAGGCCAGTACTGGTGCCGATGCCGGTGCCGGTGCTGGGGTGGCTGAGGCTGATGATGCGGATGCTATGCTGATGCCGACGCTGGTGCCGGTGCTGATACCGATGCTGGTTCCCATGCCGGTGCTGGTGCCAGTGCCAATACTGGTACCAATGCCAATACTAGTACCGGTGCTGGTTCCTACTCCAGTGCCGGTGCTGGTGCCAATACCAGTGTCCATGCCGGGGCTGATGTCAGTTCCCATGCCAGTGCCGGTGCCGGTGCTGATGCCAGTGCCGGTGCCGATAATGATGCCGGTTCCCGTGCTGGTGCCGGTTCTGGTGCCGATACCAGTGCTGGTGCTGGTGCCGCTACTGATACCGATGCCGGTGCCGGTGCTGATGCCGATGTCGATGCCGGTGCCGATGTCGGTGCCGATAGTGATGCCGGTGCCGATGTCGATGCCGGTGCCGATGCCGGTGCCGGTGCCGATGCCGGTGCCGATACCGATGCTGGTGCCGATGTCAGTGCCGGTGTCGATGCCGGTGCCGGTGCCGATACCGATGCCGGTGCCGGTGCCGATGCCGATGCCGGTGCCGGTGCCGATGCCGATACCGATGCCGGTGCCGGTAGGCGGCAGTGCTCCGCGCTCCGCGCCGCTCCCCCCCGCCCCCCCGCCCGCTGCCGCCAAGCCCGGAGGAGGCGGATGCAATTCCCCGGCTGCCCCTGGCTCCTCGGCGGGGCGGCGGGGCCCGGCCCGCAGCGCGCAGCCACCGACAGCGGCCCCGGCCCCGGCCCCGCTACCGGCCCCGGCCCCGGCGCGGCGGCGGGCGGCAGCGCGGCCCCGTTCCGCTCCGCGCTCTCCCCGCCGCGGCCCGGCCCCAGCCGCCGGGGCCCGGCCCAGCACCGCGGGGCCATGGCCGAGTGGGCGCCCGCCCAGGTAAGAGCGGCCCGGCCCGGCCCGGCCCGGCGCGGCCCGGGGCGGGGGGGGCACCGGCACCGGGGACCGGAGGCGGAGCCGCCCCGCCCGCGCCGCCGCCCCGGCCCGGCCCGTGCGCCCCGGCCGGGACTCCCCCGCGGTGCCCCCACCCCCGGCACCCCCGGCCCGGGGAGCCCCGGCCACCCCCCCGCGCTCTCCAGCCCCGGACTGGCCCCGGGGACCTGACCCGGGATGTCCCGGTGCCCCCGGGATGCGCCCGGGCACCGCTGACCCGGGATGTCCCGGTGCCCCCGGGATGCGCCCGGGCACCGCTGACCCGGGATGTCCCGGTGCCCCCGGGGTGCGCCCGGGCACCGCTGACCCGGGATGTCCCGGTGCCCCCGGGATGCGCCCGGGCACCGCTGACCCGGGATGTCCCGGTGCCCCCGGGATGCTCCGTGCAGGCTCCAGCCCCGGGATGCCCCCGGGGATCCTCTGGCCCGGGATGTCCGTGTGTCCCCAGGATGTCCCCAGGCACCCCCGGTCCTACCTGCCCCGTGTGCCCGTCCCGCTCCCAGGGGGGTCGTGCCTGGCCAGGCCCGGGGAAGCCCCCACAGGGTTGGGGTGCCACGGTGGGGGGGGGGTCGCTACTCTGTGAGTCCAGCAGCAGCCACCACGGCGCGGTGACCTGCCTGGTGCTGGCCGCTGTCCCACGGGGACGGTGACCAATGCTGATCCCACGGCTGCCGTGGCTGCACGGCGATCCCTCCCCGACCCTCCGGCTGAGCAGGACGCATCCTGCCCGGCGGCACTGGCCAACCCTCCTTGTCTGCCTCTCACCGTCCCCTCAGGCCTGCTGCACCCGCCCTGTCCCCTCCTGGAGCTCAGACTGGGCCCCAGCAGCTCTTTCCTCTCCTGGCCAGCACCCGCCGCTCCAGGGACCGAATCCTGCCCGGCTGAGCTGTTGGCATGGGACGGGGACAGCGGCGGCTGTAGGGCAGGTCCCTGATGGTGCCCGGGGCAGGCAGGGCGAGGGGTGGTGGGGCATCGCACACGGGGGGGTCCTCGCCGCAGCGCTGGGGACAGCAGTGGGCCAACCCCCCCCCCCGAATTGGAGCGAGGGGAGCAGTGCCTGCCACGGGGCTTGACCTGAGGGGGGAGTGCACGTGTGTGTGTGGGGTGACCATGGACCCCTCCCCACGGCCCAGGTGCAGGAGTGGAACGTAGAAGCCCCCCACCTGATGCCGCTGCAGCCGCCGCTGCTGCCGGAGCGGGCGCACGTGCGGGAGGCACAGCTCCACTCCGCCGAGGCTTCGCTCTGGACCGTGGTGGCCACGGTGCAGGCGATGGAGAGGAAGATCGACCTCCTCGCCACCCGCCTGCTCAGCCTGGAGGGTCGGTCCGGCACGGCCGAGAAGAAGCTCCTGGACTGCGAGAAGACGGCCATGGAGTTCGGGAACCAGCTGGAGAGCAAATGGGCCGTGCTGGGCACCCTCATCCAGGAGTACGGGCTGCTCCAGCGGCGCCTGGAGAACGTGGAGAACCTGCTGAAGAACAGGAACTTCTGGGTGCTGCGGCTGCCCCCCGGTCCCCGGGGCGAGGTCCCCAAGGTAACGGCACCCAAGGGGGCTGCGGGCTGGGCAGGGGGACCCTCGGCTCCCCCGGGGAGCGGGCGCCGCTGAGCTGCCGGGGGCTTGTCCCTGCAGGTGCCGGTGACATTTGTTGACATTGCCGTCTACTTCTCGGCAGAGGAGTGGAAGAATTTGGAGGAGTGGCAGAAAGAGCTGTACAATAACCTGGTGAAGGAGAACTATGAGTCTTTGATCTCCCTGGGTAAACATCCCCTTTTTGCCGCTTTCCCGACAGGCCGGGGTGACGGCTGCATCTCCCCGGAGGGTCCCGGACGTGGGTGCCCCGGTCCCCCGCGAGCGGTCGGCGGTGGCACACGCTCCCATTTCGGAGGGAACCCGCTGCGTCTCGTGCTGCGAGCATGGGGACAGGATGAGGTGCCAGTGCCGGTGCCGCTGCGTGGGGCAGCCAGTGCCGCCTGGCTCTGGGGAGCTGGGGCGAGTCCTTGTCCCCCAAAATCAAGGGTCTGAGCGTCTGCGCTACCCAGGTCGCGGGCAGGGAGGTCCTGATGAATTTAGGCAGATTCTCCGCCGGGAGAGGTGCCAGGGCCTGGGGAGGGTCGGGCGGGCGCAGCCCCACCGCCGGTGCCAGCCCCACTGTCTCCCCGTGCAGACGGTGCCCTCTCCAGAAGCGAGGCGCAGCCCCGCAGCGAGCGCGGGGAGGGTCCCTGCGTCCCCGAGCAGAGGGAGCTGGAGCAGAGGGACCTGCCGCCGGACGCCTGCGCGGGTGAGGCACCGGCCGGGAGCCCCGGCAGCGCCGGGCGTCCCCCCACCACATCCCCGCTGCCTCCCACCCCCCGTGTCGCCCCCCGCCCCACCGCTTGCCCTGGGGATGTCCCTCCTTCCCCCACGGTCCTGGCCCCGCAGGACTCGGTTCTCAAGTGGTGGCCAGACTCTGCTCCCCACGGTGCAACCAGGGGCCACCGCGAGCGACCCCGGAAAAATCCCCCATGATTAATGTGCCGGGGGAACTTGGGCATCTGTCCCTGGGAGATCCGTGTGCCCCCCACTGACACCACATCGTGGCAGAGCCCGTGGGCTGCGCCACAGCCACCCATCCCCACGGGCTGTGCCGCAGTCACCCATCCAGCCCCATGGGCTGTCCCATGGCCACCCAACCCCAAGGACTATCCCAGGGTCACCCATCCCCACAGCTCCCCCGGGGGCCCCATAACTGCTGTGGGACGGGGACGTCCCCTGCGGCCGGAGCCCGGGGGGGGTCCCCCACCCCAAGGCGCCTCGGCCGTGGGTCGCATCCTGGCACCGGCCAAATCTCTCTTTGTGCACAGAGTCGCTGATCTCCACCTCCGACATCCTGTCCCGGATCAAGCAGGAGGTGGCCTTCGTGGGCGAGCAGCAGTTCGCGGAGGAGCGGGCGATGCCGGCGGACCCCTGCGCGGGTGAGCCCGGGGCTGTGCCACAGCCGCTGCCTCTCGGAGTGCAGGATGCGGCCCCGCTCGGCTGAGTCCCCGTCCCCGTCCTTCCCTGCAGGCGCGGACGCCCTGATCACGGCGCACGACTTCTTGTCGTGGATCAAGCAGGAGGAAGAGCCCTGCGTCCGCGAGCCCTGGGAGCTGCCGGAGAGGGAGATGCTGACGGGTCCCGGTCCCGGTGAGCGATGCTGAGCCCGTCCCGGTGGCGTTGGGATGGGGTTGGTGGCTTGGGGACGTCCCCGGTGTCCCCGGCGGGCGCTGACCAGAGCCTTTCCCTCCCCTGCAGCCGGCGAAGGGCTGCTGGTGAAGACGGAGGAGCGGTGCCCCCACGCCGAGCCCCCCGAGGAGGTGGGTTTGCCAGGCGGCTCCGGGGAGCTGCTCTTCCCCGGCGCGGGCTTCGGCAGCCCCGAGGGACAGGCAGCGGCGACGACGGCGGCGGCTCTGCCGGCACAGCACAGACTGGGCAGGGCCCCAGGCTCGGAAGCGGGGGCCGAGGCGGCGGGGGTCCCCACCGCCCCGCCGGGCCCCGCCGAGGAGCGGCCGCACGGCTGCGCCGAGTGCGGGAAGAGCTTCAGCGGGAAGAAAAGCCTGCGGATCCACCAGCGGAGCCACGCGGCCGAGCGGCCCTACCCCTGCGCCGAGTGCGGCAAGAGCTTCAACTGCCACTCGGGGCTGGTGCGGCACCAGATGATCCACCGCGGCGAGAGGCCCTACAAGTGCGCCGAGTGCGGGAAGTGCTACAGCCGCAAGGAACACCTGCAGAACCACCAGCGGCTGCACACCGGCGAGCGGCCCTTCGCCTGCGCCGCCTGCGGCAAGAGCTTCATCCGCAAGCAGAACCTGCTCAAGCACCAGCGCATCCACACCGGCGAGCGGCCCTACCAGTGCCCGGCGTGCGGGCGCAGCTTCCGCTACAAGGAATCCCTCAAGGATCATCAGCGGGTCCACGGGGCCGAGGCGGGGCCCCCCCCGCTGCCCCCCCCCGGCATCATGCCCCCCGGGGACTAGGGGCTGCCCCCGCTGCGGACTGACACCCCCCACCCCCCACCCCCCCACACCCCTCTCCTTGCAGACTGACACCCCCCCCACACCTCTTTCCTCTGGGATGGGGGGCCGGGGGGGGGGCAGGCACCGGCCACGCAGCTTCCTACCAAATACAGGTGCCCGGCTGGGGCAGGGAGGCACGCGGGGAGCACCCCCCCCCCCCAAATTGAGTTGGGGATGGAGGGGGGGGCCGTGCACCCGCAAGTCGCCACAGACGGACACTCTTCAGCCCCCACCTCTCTCCCCCCCCCCCAGACAATCTTGCTGTGCAGGATGGGGAGCAGCCCCCGTCCCCCCCCCCCCAGCATCCCCCTGCCATCCCCCCCCCCGCCTGCTGCTCTGCTCCCCAGCCCCCGTTGCTTATTTTTACTGCCCCCCCCTGCCGCGCCGTCCCGCTCTGTACAGTGCTTGGGGTGTAGTTTTGTATGGACCATGCAATACAGAATAAAGTCATGCTGGGCTGCAGTGCCTCTGACCACCCCCCCGGCGCCCCCAACCTCCCCCCGCAGCCCTGTGGGGTCCCCAGTCCCGCCCCCCCCCCCCTCCAACCCCACATCCTGCAGCCACACCACTCCGGCCCCATCCCCATGGCTCTGCACCCCGGGAAGGCAGCGGCAGCAACCTGCAAGCTCAGGGATGGGGAGGTGGGGAGGGGGGAATTATCACGGGGTGGGGGGGGCACAGCAGAGCTGAGGGGTGCAGTGGCTGCCAGCGGCCCCCGTGTCACCAGCTGTGGTGGCTTTGTGCTGGCAGGGATGCACAGACCCACCCCCCCACCCCCCCCCGACTTGCCAAACCCTTTCTAGCATCGCTGATTCCCACCGCTTCTCATTTTTCCCGCCTGTCCTCACGACTTGGGGGCAGCAGGTGGGGGCCAGGTCCCCCCCCCCTCAACCCCCCCCCGCCTCCATGGGTACAACCCCCCAGCACCCACCTCCCTCCAGCCCCCCCAAATCATTTCCCCCACTGATAAACCCCAGTGCCCTGCTCACAGCAGCGGCGGCGCTCCCGCCCGTCCTGCCTTCATTTTACCAGCTGATCCCCCCCCCCCCGCCATCACCACCCCCCCCCGGCACCTGCCCACCGTCACCAAACCCCGTCCCTCCCACCCTTCATTTGGGGCTGTAAGTTAGTTCACCCCGTTTTTTTTTTTTTTTTAACCCCAGCCATGGAAAGCTCTGCTCACGGGGTCCCCAAGGTGGGGGTCACTGTCCGTGCCGCCCCCCCCCCCAGGTCACCCTGGGGGGCCCCAACCCTGGTGACCCACCAAGTGCCACAGCTCGGGACGCTTTGCCCGACGGCTGGCACTGGGGGTGCTGCCCCGCTGCCCCCTCCCCGGGGGGCTGCACCCCCCCCAGCCCCATCCCACCCAGGTGACGAAGGAGCTGCCACCGAGCGGGGATGTGGCTGCGGGTCCCCCCCGTGCTGGGGCTGGGGGGGGGGATCAGCCTGGGGGGGTGTGTTTTAGTGTGCCCTGGAACCGCTGTTGATGCTACTGGGGACACTGGACACTGCTGGGGACACTGGACACTGCCTGGGGACAATATATACTGCCTGGGGACACTGCACAGCGTTGGGGACACTGCACACTGCCTGGGGACACTGCACACTGCTGGGGACACTGCACGCTCCCTGGGGACACTGCATGTTGCCTGGGGACAATATATACTGCTTGGGGACAATGCACACTGCCTGGGGACACTGGACACTCCCTGGGGACAATGCACACTGCTGGGGACATTGCACACTGCCTGGGGACACTGCACACTGCTGGGGACAATGCACATAATTGGGGACACTGCATGCTGCCTGGGGACACTGCACACTCCCTGGGGACACTGCACACTGCTGGGGACACTGGACATTACTGGGGACACTGCACACTGCTGGGGACACTGCATGTTGCCTGGGGACACTGCACACTGCTGGGGACAATGCACATTATTGGGGACACTGCATGTTGCCTGGGGACACTGCACACTGCTGGGGACACTGCACACTGCCTGGGGACACTGGACACTGCTGGGGACAATGCACATTATTGGGGACACTGCATGTTGCCTGGGGACACTGCACACTCCCTGGGGACACTGCACACTGCTGGGGACACTGCACACTGCTGGGGACAATGCACATTATTGGGGACACTGCATGTTGCCTGGGGACACTGCACACTGCTGGGGACACTGCACACTATTGGGGACACTGCATGTTGCCTGGGGACACTGCACACTCCCTGGGGACCCCACAGGCTGCCTAGGGGACCCTGCACACTGCCCCCCCCAGCCACGCAGGCACAGCCAGCCCAGGTCCTGTTCCCCCCAGCCGCGCCCCTGGGGTGCTGGGCTCCCCCCGAAAGGAGCGGGGTGAAGCTCCGTGCCACCAAGCCTGGGGTGATTCACCCCACGGCCCTGCCCCACTCAGCCCGTACGGGCAGAGCCGTGGGGCGAACGACCCTGTTAGCAGAGCGCAGCACCCAGCCCATGCAGGCCGCGGGGTGGGGGGGGGCTGCCCACCCACCCCCCAAATCACCCTGCCCGGCTCGGGGCAGCCCAGCGTGGCACTGCCCCGGCAGCACCGGGGATTCGAGCGGGGAGGAACGGCGAGCAGGCGGCGAAGCAGCAGCGGGACGCAGCGTCGGCTCGGCACGAGGGACGGGGGTGACAGAGGAGGGAAAGCTCACGGCGAGGGGGGGGGGACGGACGACCCGCTCCCCCGAGCCCCTCCTCAGCGCCCTGCTCCGTCACCGAGTTCACCCACAGAGACGGCTTTTCTGGTTTTTGGGGGATTTTTTTTTTTTTTTTTTTTTTTAAACAGAAGTTTACGGTTATATGCAAATTAAGTCATTAAATGATTTGCATAAAATGTTCGCTCCTCAGCGACTAAGTTTTTCCTAACTCCCCACCCCCCAAAAAGGTAGTAATCCTACTCGACTAGCGCTGTCACACGGCCCCGCTGACGCTCGCCCACGCGTGCCCCCCGCTCGCCCACGCGTGCCCTGCCCCGGGGGCCGCCCGCGCCGGCGGAGCGCGCACGGTGCCGGGGGCGGGCGAGGCCTCCCGGGTGCTCGCACACACCTTTCACACGTGTGCGTGCCTACCGTCGTCTCCCTCCCCGGGGCGGGTGCGCGCCGGCCGGCCTCCCCGCTTCGTACCGTCCCCCGCTGGCACCGGGGATGCCGGCAAACCGCACCGGGGGCGGCACGCTGGTGCACAGCTCCCACGCACCCCACTTCCCCCGCGCCCCTCTGTCCGTGGGGGGCACCCACGGCGTGGCCGGAGCCGCGGGGCGCGGGCACACCATGTCCTTCGCGGGACAGCGTCCCCCCCCGGCCCTAGCTGTTGGTGAGGAAGAGCCGTCTGTGTCTGGAAGCAGAACCGCGCGGCCGGCCCCGACGCCGGCCCCGGCCCCGGTTGCCGAAGGGGCTTCGGTTGGGCACGGCGGTCTCTCCCCAGCTGGGGTTCCCGGTCTGCGGCTCGGGGAAGCTGGGCTCGGCTTTGGGCTGCTCGAGGAGGGGGCTGGGGTCCGGCCGGGGCTCTGCCGGCGGCGCCTGGCTCTGCCGGGCGCTGGCCCTCTCCTGCCGCAGGTAGCGCAGCTCGTCGCGGATGTCCGTCAGGACGCCGAGCAGGCGGAACTGGAGCTCGCGGTCGCGGGCCCTCTCCTCGCGTTGGGTGGCCCGTTCCTCCTGCCACATGGCCAGCTCCTGGTGGTACAGCTGGTCCCACTGCTCCTCCAGGTCCAGAAGGTGATGGATGTTAGTCCTCCAGCTCTCCCGGCGGTCATCCCGCAGGCGGGAGCAGCCCAGGCCGCGGGGTGGGCCGGGGGCGGCGGGGGCGTCCCCCGGGGGGGAGGCAGAGGAGGGCAGCGACTCCTCGGTCAGGGCGCCGTGCAGGGGGGAGCGGGCCGGGGGCTCCTCCTCCGCCGACGGCTTCTCCCAGGTGGGCCCCATCAGTACCCTGGGCAAAGCGCCCATCTCCGGGCCCGGGCCCCCCGCCTGCTCCTCGGGGTGCGAGGAGTCGAGCCCGCGGCCCAGGGGGGGCAAGTCGGACACCCCTTCGTGGCCCCAGTCCGAGTGAGCGTCCACGGGGTTGAGAGGGTCCTCGGGCAGGGAGGTGACGGAGCCCTGGGAGCTGCACCGGCGGATCAGCATGGCCTGGCGGGACAGTTTCATGTCTTCCTCGGCAGACATGGGGGCCTCGGGCCCGGGCTGCATCCCCGCGGCCCCGCCGTGGCCCCTCTCCACCTCCCGGCCTTCCCGTTCCTCTTCCTCCGACATGGAGGCGTAGGAGACGAGGGACTCGTTTCGCAAGGACGGGGAAATGGCTGACACGTCTGGAGTCCGCAGCTCTGGTCCCGACTCGGCTGGAAGAGAAGAGAAGCCCGCTGGTGAGCCCCACGGCTCGCTGCCCCTCCCTGACACACGGACATCCCGGATGGACACAGCATGCCAACGTGCCCCGTCTGCGCAGCCCTCGGCCCTGCCTGCCCCACGCAGTCCCTGGCACCCTGCGGCGAGCTCCCCAGCCCCCCGTGTGACGCAGGGATGGCCACAGCCTTTGCCTTCCCTTGCATTTGCCGCCTTCTGCCACCAAACAACCCTCGGCCGTCACGAAGCTGTGCTCCAGGTTCCCCTTTACGCCCCCGCAGCCTTTCAGGACTCGCACACCAGGAGGTATTTGCACCGACTAGGCAGGCACGGGGAAGCGTCTCCCACCGGGGTGTCCCCGGCCGTGCTGCCCCCGCAGCCACCCCCAGCGTGACGCTGTGCCAGGACGGGGTCCTGGGCACAAACCACCACCGCAACCTTTTACCGGCCGCCGCGCTCCCAGCGGATCCGCGTCCCCGCAGCAGCCTGTCCCGCGGCCTTACCCGAACTGCTCTGTCCTTCCCCCCGGCTGTACTCGCAGATGACGGAGGGGTCGGGGCTCTGCACCGCCAGCCGGGGCACGGCAGAGCCCTCCACGTCTGGCAGGGACGAGGGCTGCCCGTTGGTGTCGATGTAGATGCTGGGGTGGCTGACGCCGGGTTGCAGGTGCATGAAGGACTGCTTGGCCGCGCCGGGGAAGAACAGATCTGTGGGACAGAAAGAATCCAGCCTCAGCCGCCGCGGCGACGGCACCAGCAGCTCACGTACCCTCCCCGTGGGAGGGCTCCCCAGGTGAAGGCTCTCACGGGCGTCCGCGGGGCAGCGACGCTGCAGGGGTGGGCACGGTCGCACCGAGGCACAGACGCTCCTCCTGCAAGGCCGGCCCGCCCGATCGCTCGCCCTCGCTTCCCCCAGCACCGTCCTGAGCTTGCCCAGTCCCGAGAGGGTTAGCATCTCCTAAATGTCCCGCAGGACTTCGTCCTTCAGCCCAGAGACCTTCTGCTCTGCAGCAAGGTGGGCGTCTGGCTCAGAGACAGCCCAAACCGAGCAAAGCGAGACCCACGCCGCTCACCCTGCCCCTCCTGAAACCTGACAGGCCAAGCCAAAATCAGAGAGCGGAGGAAGGAGCAGGAACAACTAATCCCGGTGCCCTCTGGGGACACAACGAAGCCGGACACATCCCCTTTGTGGAAATGAAAGGGCAGGGTGGGTATTTGCCTCCTGGCCAGCAACAAAGCCCAGTTGGGGTGTACCCGTGGGCCCGGCTCAGCACTGCCGCAGGAATGATGTCAGCTCTTTCACCAACATCTTCCCCCCAGCATCTCTCAGGCATTGGAGCCAAACAAGCAGGACCGGCAAGAGGCCTCCGCGCTCTGCTGAGACACGGGTCGGGCTCTGCCAGGCGGCAGTGGGGTCACAGGCACAGCCCCATCGGGAAGGCACGGCTCGCCCAGGGGCCCGCCGGCCCCCCCCAGCCACGAGACGCTGCGGGAGGACGGTGACTTTGCACCGAAGCAGCAGCTCCCGCTCCCCCTGACCTCGGCTAACCGCGCGGGACACTGACCCTGAAAGGAACGAGGGAAATAAAATCCCATCCCATCTTTTACCGGCTGCCTTTAGACTGTATCCAGCCAGGCACTGTGTCAAATGAAAAAAAAGTAAAAAGAAACGGAGAAAGACCCGCTCCCACCAAGTTTGAGGTGTTCCTGTTGATCCCAGGTTATTTCCACAGTGGGTTTTTAATTCCAGCGCATGCCGCTTCCAACCCTGGTGGTTTGCTACTCAGCCACGACAGGACCACGGCTCTGCCGGACGCTGTAACCCCGACACAAACCACGTACAAGAGCAAAACCCCAAAGTCTCCTTCCACGATCCACGCCGCACCGGCCGGCACAGAATGCAAACGCTCGGCAGACGCCGGAGCTCGGGGGACCGCGGCCTGGTGACGTTACCAGGCTGGACGTCACTCGGCGAGCGCAGGTGGGGACACAGCACGGGCCTCTGCGACTCCAACTCTCCTCTCCCCAGAGAACCACCACGACTGACCTGGGTCCAAGATGATTTCGGGTTCCGAGTCGTGGCTGGCCTGCAAGAAGGTGGAAGCCACCATCTTCTCCAGGGGCGTGAGGCGCGGCTTGTGGAGCGGCCCGCCGGCGCGGTTCATGGGCAGGTGCTTCTTGGAGGTGATCTTCTTCTTGACGTCCAGCCGCAGGTCGCGCCACTTGTGCTTGAGGTCGTCGATGGAGCGTTCGGTGTAGCCCAGGAAGTTGACGCGGCTTTGGATTTGGGTCCAGAGCTGCTTCCGCCGCACGGGGTGAGCCCGCAGGGCTTCAGACCCATACAGGGCGCTGAAATGCCGGACCACATTCCAGACCAGCGTCTCAGTCTCGTCATTGGAGAAGTTGGCCTTCCTCTTCCGGCCAGACGCTGGCATCGCCTGCGAGGCTGCGGCAGAGGTGGAAGGGGCACAATTGAACCTCGGTCCCCACTCCTCTCTGTCAGCTCCTGGGGGGAACATGGGGCTGCGGGAGCCCGAGGGAGCCGCGGAGGAGGGAGCCGAAGCAAGAGCCCCCGAGGCATCCATGGCAGGGGAGGCTTGGGCCGGGGAGGATCTAAAGAGCCGCTTCGGCACACCACGCGGCAGGGGGGCACCTCATCCCCTCGCCCCGGCTCGAGAGCACCTGGGAGGGGAGAAAAGGAAAGGGCAGCGGTGGGTGGCGGCAGCGCGGGGTGACGGCGAGGGCCCCCGGCCCTCTCCAACCAGAGGCACCCGGGGGCCCCCAGCCAGCTACCACGGGGGCCGCGGAGAGGGTCGTGGTCGTGGTGCGCGCGTTGGGACTGCGGCGAAGGCCGCGGTGAGGGCCACGGCACCCGCTTCGGGGCCGTGGCAGGTGCCTCCGGGCCGTGCAGAGGGTGCTGAGGAGCACCCCGAGAGCAGGCTGAGGGCGACGGGGAGTGCCTCGAGGCCACGGCGAGGGCCTCGTGGCCGTGCTGACCGCGACGGGGAGCGCCTCTGGTGAGTGCCTCCAGGACACGGCCTTGGCAAGCACCTCAGGTCCACAGCAAGGACCTCGGTGATGGCAAGCACCTCAGCACCATGGCAAGGGCGAGAGGCACGGTGAAAGCACCCGGGCCGCAGCACGAGGCCTCAGGGCCACGGTGAAGGTCTTGGCCACGGTGAGCACCTCACGTTCCCAGCAAGGGCCTTGAGGCCTTGGCCACAGGACAGGTCTAGGGGCCATGGCAAAGGCTTTGGTGAGCATCTCAAGGCCGTGGTGAAGACTCTGACCAAGATACAGACCTTGGCAAGGGTCTTGGCCATGGTGAGAGCCTCAAGACCCCAGTGAGCACTTCACGTTCCTGGTGAGGACTGTGGGGCCATGGTGAAGTCCTTGACCACAGCCAGCACCTCAAGGCCACAGCAAAGGCATTATGAAATGCCTTGGCCAAGGTGAACACCTCAAGGTCCCGCTGAGGGCCTCGGGGCCATGGCAAAGCCCATGGTCACGGCAAGTGCTTCAGGGCCACGGCAAAGACCTTAGCAAAGGCCTTGGCCGTGGTGAACACCTCAAGGTCCCGCTGAGGGCCTCGGGGCCATGGCAAAGCCCATGGTCACGGCAAGTGCTTCAGGGCCACGGCAAAGACCTTAGCAAAGGCCTTGGCCGTGGTGAACACCTCAAGCTCCCACTGAGGGTTCTGGTGCCATGGCAAAGAGCGCGGCTATGGCAGGTGCTTCGAGGCCATGGTGAACAACTCAAGCTCTCACGTAGGCCTTGGGGCCGTGGCAAAGACCATGGCCACGGCGGACACCTCAAGCTCCCAGTGAGGGCCTTGGGGCCGTGGCAAAGACCTTGGCCATGGTGAACACCTCAAGCTCCCATTGAGTCCCTCAAGACCCTGGCGAAGACTGTGGGCCACCATGCAGGTCCTGGGCCCGCCGCAAAGCCCCCAGCCACGGTGAGCCCCCGAAGGGGAGGCCGGGGAGCGCCGGCAAAGCTCCCGCCCATGGCGTGCCCCAAGCCCCGGCCCTGCCGTTCCCCTCAGCCCCCCCAGCACCACGGCAAAGTCCTCCCCCCCCCCCCTCAGCATCCCTGCCGGGACCCCTCCAGCGGCCACCTCAAGGCCTCGATCGAGCACCTCAACCCCCCACCCCCACCCCCCTTTCCCCACTGCAACGGCCTCTTCCCGCCAACCCCCCCCCCCCTCAGGGGCGGGGGGCAACCGCTGGCCGGCTGCACCCCCCCGGGGCCTTGCAGCGGGCGCCTTTTGTTCGCGCTGCCGCCGGGCACTGGGGACAAAAGGGGCCGGGGCCGGTGCCTGCCCCGCTGAGGGGATGGAGGGGAGGGGGGGGGGCCCGGTCCCGGCTGCAGGCCTACACACACACACACACACACACACACACACACACACACACACACCACCCCCCCCCCAACACACACACCCCCCCGGGGTCAGGGTGGCGGCGCCTACCTGTGCCGGGCCGGGCGTGCGAAGGGGGGGGGGGGGGGGGGAAGGGAAGCGGGGAGGGGGGGGGGGGGCCGGCGGCGGCGGGTGGGGAGGGGGGGGGGGGGCTCAGCGGCGGCGGCGGCGGCGGGTAATGGCTCCCGCCTCGGCGGAACTCGCCTTCATTTCCTCCGCCTCCGAGCGGCGCGGCGCGGGCCCCGCGCGCTCCCGCCCTTGGGCGCCCCCTGGCGGACCCGCCGCCCCACCGGCGGCGCTGCGGGGGGGGGGGGGATGCGGGGATATGCCTTGGGGGGGGGGGGGGTGTACCCACTCACCCACCCACCCACCCACGCACCCACCCTCTCATACACCCACACACCCGACCACCGGCGGCACGCGGTGCGCCGCGGAGGCACGGGCAACCCCCCCCCCCCCACGTGGTTATGCATCCCCCCCCACCGCGGTAGGGACTTCGTTCCGCACTAGCCCCCCCCACTGCACCCCGTCCCTGCACGCACCTCCTCCCCGCGTGTTGCTTCCACGCTCGGGATCGTGCATCCCCGTGGGGGTGTCCCCACTGCACCCCGTCCCTGCACGCACCTCCTCCCCGCGTGTTGCTTCCACGCTCGGGATCGTGCATCCCCGTGGGGGTGTCCCCACTGCACCCCGTCCCTGCACGCACCTCCTCCCCGCGTGTTGCTTCCACGCTCGGGATCGTGCATCCCCGTGGGGGTGTCCCCACTGCACCCCGTCCCTGCACGCACCTCCTGCCCGCGTGTTGCTTCCACGCTCGGGATCGTGCATCCCCGTGGGGGTGTCCCCACTGCACCCCGTCCCTGCACGCACCCCCTCCCTGCGTGTTGCTTCCACGCTCGGGATCGTGCATCCCCGTGGGGGTGTCCCCACTGCACCCCGTCCCTGCACGCACCTCCTCCCCGCGTGTTGCTTCCACGCTCGGGATCGTGCATCCCCGTGGGGGTGTCCCCACTGCACCCCGTCCCTGCACGCACCTCCTCCCCGCGTGTTGCTTCCACGCTCGGGATCGTGCATCCCCGTGGGGGTGTCCCCACTGCACCCCGTCCCTGCACGCACCTCCTCCCCGCGTGTTGCTTCCACGCTCGGGATCGTGCATCCCCGTGGGGGTGTCCCCACTGCACCCCGTCCCTGCACGCACCTCCTCCCCGCGTGTTGCTTCCACGCTCGGGATCGTGCATCCCCGTGGGGGTGTCCCCACTGCACCCCGTCCCTGCACGCACCTCCTCCCCGCGTGTTGCTTCCACGCTCGGGATCGTGCATCCCCGTGGGGGTGTCCCCACTGCACCCCGTCCCTGCACGCACCTCCTCCCCGCGTGTTGCTTCCACGCTCGGGATCGTGCATCCCCGTGGGGGTGTCCCCACTGCACCCCGTCCCTGCACGCACCTCCTCCCCGCGTGTTGCTTCCACGCTCGGGATCGTGCATCCCCGTGGGGGTGTCCCCACTGCACCCCGTCCCTGCACGCACCTCCTCCCCGCGTGTTGCTTCCACGCTCGGGATCGTGCATCCCCGTGGGGGTGTCCCCACTGCACCCCGTCCCTGCACGCACCTCCTCCCCGCGTGTTGCTTCCACGCTCGGGATCGTGCATCCCCGTGGGGGTGTCCCCACTGCACCCCGTCCCTGCACGCACCCCCTCCCTGCGTGTTGCTTCCACGCTCGGGATTGTGCATCCCCGTGGCGGATTCCCCCAGCCCGCCCCATCCCTGCACACACAGCCCCCCCCTCCCGGGGATTGTTTGCACACTCGTGATGGTGTGTCCCCATGGGGATTCCCCCTGCTCCATCCCATCCCTGCATACCCCCCCCCCCCCCCACGTGTTGCTTCCACACTTGTAATTGCACATCCCCGTGGGGGTGTCCCCAGTGCGCCCCATCTGCTTGCACCCTCATGACTGTGCACCCCCGTGGGGATCACCTGGTGCAACACGTCCCCACACCCCCCCCCCGGGCTGCTGCTTGCACCCCAGTATTTGTGCATCCCAGTGGGCTCTTCCCTGCGCGCCCCTCCCTCTGCACCCCAATACCCCCACACTGACCCTGCCCCCCGTGGGTAGCCCCCCCCCCCGATTATGTATCCCGGTGGGGACTTCCCTGCACACCCCTGGGTGCCCCTTGCCCCCCCTTCCTTTGCACCCCAATGCCCCCCTCCTGCTGCACCCCCGGGGGAGCCCTGTGCACCCCCTGCCCTGTTCACTCCAGCAGGCATCCGGGTGCCCCCTGCACCCTTGGGGGGGGAGGGGGAATCTGGCACCCCCCCCCCCGCACCCAGGCAGACACGTCCCCGTGCACCCTGCCCACACACCCCTAAGGGTGCCCCTTGCACCCTTGTGCACCCCACCCTGGACACCCCGATGAGCACCTCTTGTGCGTCCCCCCCCACCCCGTACCCCACCACTCACCCTTCCCCTGGGTCCCAACCCGGGTCCCCTCCATGGGAACAGCTGTGAGGGCTGGGTGCAGAGCACCCATGGGCGCCACGGTGCTGTGGGGAACACGCCTGGCCCCGCCACGGTGGCCTCCAGCTGCCCCTGGCTCCCCGTGCACACACTGAGGGGGGGTCGTCCCTGCACCCCATCCCACCTCGGGGACCCCGGTGCTGCAGCCGTCACCGTGCCGGGGACAGGGTGCACCGTGGGTGCTTGTTAGGGTGCACGTTGGCAGGGGGGAGCCCCCCCCCTCCCCCGGGCTCCTAATTAACAACCGTGACAGGGTCGTCAGCCAGGTCCCCCACTGCCCACGGGTGCTGCCGGTGGCCCTGGCACCCGGGTGGGGACGGCGTGGGGTTGGGGTGCTGCGGGGGCCCAGGAGCGGCCGCGGTGTCCCCAGGCCAGGGGGAGGGGAGGGGAAAGGGAGGTTTGGGGGTGACCCCGCTGGTCCCGGCAGCCCCGGGGGGCTCTGCCCAGCTCACGGCGGCGCTGGATGTGACGTTCAAATATCACAACCACCACCCGCGCTGCGTTTTGCTGAATTCTGCCTTTTTAATGCCTCTTGCGAACCTCCGGGCGCCACGTGGTGACAGCAGCAGGTGGCGCTCGGTCCCCCCCCCCCCCGCCGAGCCACTGCCCCCAGCACAGGGACACCCCAGCACCACGCCACGTCCCCCCCCACCCCCCCCGGCAAACACAACCACCCCACTCAGGGCAAATCCCCCCCCCCCGGGGGCAGCTCTGTGATGGCTCCCGCTGGCTGCAGAAGCCCCCCCGGGGGGAGAAGGTTTCGGCAGCAGGTTGGTGTCCCCGCCGCTGCCCCCATGGGTGACACCCAGAGCGCGGCGGCTCCGCAGCCCCCCGTGGCACGGCGCTCCCCCAAAGCCACGCGGACCCACAGCAAACCCCACGGCACAACTCAGCCGGGCGCTGCCGCAGGAGACGGTGGCCGGGCCAGTCCGGTGATGGCCCCGACAAGCGCCGGTCCCCGTCACGGGCACAGGGGGGTCCGGACACACGTTGGCCGCTCCGCTCACTGCTTGGGAGCGGTGTCCCCGAGGAGGGCTCTCCCGGCGCCGGCTGACACCATGTGCACCGTGTCCTCCAGCTCGTAGAATGCCTGGAAGAGCTCCGGCGAGGTGGCCCGGCACTCCAGGTACCGCCGCAGCGTGGCCAGGCTCCCCCAGACCTCCTGCTCCGAGGGGCAGGGCCGCACCGCCGCCGGCTCTTCCTCGCCCTCCGCCATCCCCTCGTCCCCCGGCTCCTCGTCCGTCGGCGCGCAGTGCTCCGGCTGCTCCTGGCTGAGCGGGCCGGGCGCCGGGGTGAGGGTCGGGGCCTCGGCGCCGGCGTCAGGGCTGAAGCCGGCGGCACGGAAGCAGCTGGCGATGAGCCCCGGCGGCACGTCGCCCCAGGCTTGCGCCAGCATGTGCAGGGCATCCAGGAGGGTGGGCTGCCCCGCGCCACGCTCCGCCGGCAGCCACCGCAGCAACCGGCACCGGTAGTGGCCCTTGAGGTCGCTGGTGATGCCGCGGTCCAGGGGCTGGGCGGTGGCCGGCGGGACGAAGACCATCCTGACGTTGGAAAGGTGGAGGTAGGGGTGGGCCTCGTGCTTGGCGAGGAGGAGGAGGACGCTCTTCCCCTGCCGCCGCATCCCCTCGTTGAACTCCTGCAGCCACTCGGCGAAGAGAGGGGCTGTCACGGCGGCCAGGCTGCCGGCGCGGTAGCTCCAGGGCATCTGCCCCAGGTTGACTCCCCGCAGGCAGCGGGGCCGGGGGCTCTCCCCCACCACCCGCAGTGGGGTTTTCTCCGAGCCGTCGGCGTTGGCGCAGAGCAGGAGCGTCAGCCGGTCGCCGGCGCTCTCGCCCTTGCCGGGGGAGCTGGCTGGGAGGGGGACCCCCGTCTCCCCGCAGGCGTAGATCTCGGAGGGCGCGTAGCTGCGGAGGAGGCCGGGCAGCACCGCGCCGGCCCAGTGCTCGGCCGTGGGCTGCTCCGCGTCCCCTTTTTCTGCCGGCGGCTTCTTGAAGGCGAGGCTGTGGCGCGCCTCGAAGCGAGCCAGCCAGCTGCCGCTGGGCTCCGGGTCGGGCCGGCCCAGCGCCTCGGCGAGGTGTTTGGCCTTGAGCTGGAGGAGCGGGCTGCCGGCGGGCAGGTCGGCGGCGCGGGCGCCTTCCACCCAGCGCAGCAGGGCGGCCTCGAGGGCCGCGTCCTTCCCCTCCCGCTTGCGCTTGCGCTCGGGGTCGCCGCTGCGGTGCCACTCGCTCAGGATCCGCTCCTTGTTCTTGATGATGCGGCAGATCTGGGGCTGCGACACCCCGAAGCGCTTGGCCAGCTCGCTCTGAGACACCTTGGGGCCCTCCAGCATCTCCAGCACCCGCACCTTCTCCGTCAGCGACAGCTCCTTCCGCTCCTTCCGGGGTGCTGCCGTGCCCCCCTCTGCCGTCCCCGGGGAGCGGCCGGTGCAGGGGGTGGGGCGGCAGGGGCTTCCCGCGGCCCCCAGACCCGCCGGTTCGGCCAAGCCTCTCCCGCAGCGCCCGCAGGCGTGGGCGCGCTCCCCACCATGCGCCAGCCGGTGCCGCACCAGGTCCGGCTTTTGCCCGAAGCCTCGGCCACACTCACCGCACTCGAGCGGCGGCTCGCCCGGCCGCCAACGGCGGCTCTCGAAGGCGGGGGACGGCACGACGAACCCCCCGTTACCGGCGCCGGGATTCGGCTCCGGCTCGGAGACGCCGCAGTAGCTGCAGCCCCGTTCCTGCAGCGGGACGGGGAAGTCGTCGGGGCTGGCGCGGCGGGACGGGGGGGAGCCGGGTGGCGGGGACACCCCCTCCTCGCTCTTCACCTCCTTCCCCAGCCAGTCACCTGCAGAGACGGGAGCGTGTTGGGGTGTGACCCCCCCCCTCACCGGGAATCCCGGTTCGACGGGATTCAGCCAGTCACCCAGCCCCGGTCCCCCCTGTGTCCCGCTCACCCTGGGAGGGGCCGGCAGACGCCGTGCTCGGCTGGGGGCTCCGGTGCTCCCCATAGTGCCCCACCGCCTCCTCCCCTCGCTCCACCTCGGCCAGGATGTCGGGTTTGGTGACGGCGTAACCTGTCACGGAGACAAGAGGAGGGACGGCCGGTGATGCGGCCGGTGATGCTGCCGGTGATGCCGCCGCACGGCACCGCATCAACCGGTCACAGCAGGCCTGCGCCGGTGCGTGTGTGTGTGTGTGTGTGTGTGTGTGTCCCCGCCGCCACCGGGGACAGGCGGCTGGCGAGGTCCCGCGATGACCCCGCAGCCACACGCCGTGCCCGGTAGCAGCGGGACCGGTGCCGGGCAAGCCCCCCCGCCGTGCCTCACCCAGGGCGACGGGGCGCTCCCGGTTCTCCTTCATGGCACCGTCCCGGTCGTTCAGGGGAGAAGAGGCGGTCGCTCCCCGGTGCCGCTCCCGGCGAGGCCTCACCTGCGGGAAGCGATGGCGGTGCTGGAAGGATGAGCCGCACCGGGACCCGGTGGCGCGGGCAGCGGGGCCGGAGCGGCGGCGGGAGGATGAGAGGAGGAGGAGGAGGAGGAGGAGGAGGAGGAGGAGGAGGAGGAGGAGGAGGAGGAGGAGGAGGAGGAGGAGGAGGAGGAGGAGGAGGAGGAGGAGGAGGAGGAGGAGGAGGAGGAGGAGGAGGAGGAGGAGCGGGGCCCGGTGTGCCGCGGGGCCGTGCCCTGACCCCCCCCGCCCGGTGCAGCCTTAGCCCCGCCGCCCCCGCCCCGCGCGTCCCCGCGACCGGCGGCGGGTACGCGCGTCCAGGCACGCCCGGCGCCCCGCCCCCGCCCCGCCCCTCCCCCTCAGCTATTGGGCCCGCCGCCACGGGGAGTGGCGCGGATTGGCCATACTGCCGCCCAATCAGCGGGGCGGGAGGGGCGGGGCTGCGCCGCTGGCGGCTCTCCCCCCGCCCTCCCTGCTCTGGCGCTGGGACGGTCCGCCCGCCCGCTAGGCGTCGCCGCCGCCGCCGCTCCCAGCGTGCGCCGCGCCCTCGGCATGGCCGCTCTGCCCCGCCGCTGCTGAGGAGGCGCCGCTGCCGCCGCCCGCTCCGCTCCGCCGCCGCCCCCCCCCGCCGCCGCCCGCCGCGCCCCACAGGGCCATGGCCGACTGGGCCCCCGCTCAGGTAAGCGCTGCCCTCACCCCCCTTTCTTTCCCCCCCCTCCCCCTTCCCTCGGCCGCCGCCCCCCGGCCTGCCCCCGTCCCCCGGCGGCGGCCGGGCCCGAGGGCTCTCGGCGTCGATGCGGGCCCGCCCTCCCCCTCCCCCCTGGTCCCGTTCACCTCGCGGCCGCCCGACGGGGGGCGGTGGAGCCCACGGCCGCGTCTGTGCTCCCCGCAGGACCTGGAGTGGGACATGGAGTCCCAGGAGCTGGCCCTGGAGCAGCCCCTGCCCGCCCCCGAGCAGGGCCCGGCCGGGGAGGCCGAGCTGCCGGCCGCCGAAATCTCCCTGACGCTTGTCACCGAGATCCAGGCCGTGGACAGGAAGGTGGACGCCCAGGCCGCCCAGCTGATGAACCTAGAGGGGAGGATGAGGATGGCGGAAACCAAGCTGATCGGCTGCGAGAAGACGGCGGTGGAGTTCGGGAACCAGCTGGAGAGCAAGTGGACCGCGCTCGGCACCCTCATCCAGGAGTACGGGCAGCTCCAGAAGAGGCTGGAGAACATGGAGAACCTGCTGAAGAACAGGAACTTCTGGATCCTGCGGCTGCCCCCGGGGGCGAAGGGGGAAGTCCCCAAGGTAACGGTGTCCTGGGGCTCCCTCTTCCAAACGAGGTTGTTCCACACATCCTGTTCCAGGTGCCGAGCGGGATGCGGCTTCCCCGCGGCGGTGCCTTTCCTTCAGCGCTCGGCGAGGAGCGCCGGCACAGGGTCTCCCATTGCCTTAATGATGTGCCGCTCATTACGCCCGCTCTGCGTGGGGTCACGCGCTCCTCCGCGGAGCCGGAGCCGGGTTTGGGTCGTGCTGAGTTGCGTGGCTCAGCCCCGCTGTGCCTGGCGGGTTTGGTAACGCCCCCAGTGCCTCTTTGGAGGTGACGAGCGGGCAGAATCGCGCCGAAGAAGCGGCGTGAAAAGAGTCAGCGTTGGGCACTGCACACAGGGCATCACTTGCAGCACAAGGAGGCTGAGCCGGGGGGGGCGAGGTGCAGGCGGGCGATGAGGGGAAAACCCCTTCGTGTCCCTGCGGGCAGGAGGGAAGCTGCCTGAGCCATGCACGGGGCCGGAGCCGGGTGCGTGGGGAGGGAGTGGGCAGTGCTGTGTGGGACTGCCCTGTGCGACGCTGGAGGAAGTTGGATGAGAAAACGTTCCCGGGTGTCTTCTTCAACAAGGGATGAAACGTCTGAGCGTACAATGCTTCTGATTGCAGGTCCCTGTGGCGTTCAACGATGCTTCGTTTAACTTCTCTGAGGAGGAGTGGAAGAGCTTGAACGAGTGGCAGAAAGAGCTTTACAGGCATATCATGAAAGGCAACTACGAGGCCGTCATCTCGATGGGTAAAGACGAGCTGGGGTTTGCCCTGAGCCCTTTGAGGCGCCAGGTTTTCCCCGGAGCCAGGCGGATGGAAGCACCGCACTGCCCGGCAGGATCGGGGAGGGTGGTGTGGGAACGCCCGATGCCGGCTTCCAGCAGCAGCCCTGGCGATTAGTTGAGTCCTCCCCGGTTCGGTTGGGCGGTGGACGGACGTCAGGAGCATCCCTGCGGTGACCGCGGCTCCCTGACGGTCCCGGTGGCCGGTAGGAGCCGAGCGAGTCCCGGGGTCGTGAGGAGGAGGGGAAGCAAGAGGACCCCCGAGCTGAGTAAAGATGGGGAAGAAGGGAGTTTCTTTGTCACGCAAAGGTCCACAGATCCACTGCGCTGGGTGCATCAGCCCGCTCGCCGCTTAGGGCAGCAGAGGGGTGCCCTGCCTCTGAGGTTCCTTCCAGCCCTTTCCGTGGGCGAGCAGTCCTTCAGCTGCAGAGCTTTTTGTGAGGGAGGAGAGCGAGGTTTGTGTGCTGCTTGCCTTGGTGCTCTGTCAGATCCCAGCCGCAGCCCAGGGAATGTTTCTTGCACAAGCTGTTGCGGTGTCTGCTCCTGTAATGCCAGGGTAAAGGCAAGCTCTGCCTTCCGCTTCCCCCTCCAGCGGCTCAGGGCAGCGCCTTCACAGCTAAACGAACGTGCTCTGCTCGCTCCTTCCAGCCCCGGCTCCTTCCAGTCCCCCCCTCCCGGGCACTCGTTGCCTTCACAAGCACCTACGTGTGTTCTGAGACATGACCTTGCCTTGGCTGACGTCTGTGTGTCATGGGTGGGAGCGCAGATGCAGTCCTTGGGAGGCCGGTGTCTCCTCCCTGTGCTGAGGCTGCTGGTGTGCAGGCTTGCTTGCCATCTAACTCCGGGTGATCCAGGCCTTTTGTCCTTTTTTTTTCCTTCCTTTTTTTTTTTTTTTGAACTGAGGTCTTGTGCATTCCTTGTGTGTGAGGGGAAAAAGGTGAAGGATAAATACTGTCCCCCCCATTCTGCTGTTTAAAAACCAATCCTGCGTCCTTCTCTAGAGACGCAGCAGCCTGACAGTCCCGCTGAAGGGGATCTGTGGATCTGAGCCTGGAGCTTAGAAAAATGTATCTGTGCTTCATCTGAAGGTTTCCTTTGAGTAGTGAGGTTTAGGGGTTTGGCCCTCGTATAAGGCAAACGAATCCACCAGAGCAGTGGTGGAAATGAATACCCAGGGACTCACACTTGTTTGGAAATGAAGTTTTCCCCTCTCCGCCCTAGGAGAGATTGTGATTGTCCCCTTTCCCCCACCAAAATCCGCAAGCAGCCTGTGACTCGGACGAGTAGGATGGAGCGGTCCTGGCTGGAGGGAACCGCATGGGGAGGGCACTTCCCCTGCTGCCGCTGGCTGACAGCCCTGGTGCTGTCCCCGAGCTGAAGTCCCCATTGTAATGGATCCGCGGACCTTAGCAGAGAGGAGAAGGAAGGAAGCCTGGAGGTAAGCACAGATGCATTTTCTTATTCTCCTCCTCACGCTGCAGGCTGGGAGGTGCTCCTCACCTGAGCAGAGTGTGCTCCTGCAGTCCGCTCATGTTCCCAGGGCCCAGACCAGGTGAGCGGTGCAGAGGTGTGAGAGCATCTTCTTAAGCCTCTCTTTCCGTTGCCCGTCACCCCCAGCAGCGAAGGAAGGTTGGTGGGCGAAGGTTTGAGAGTCTCTCTCCGGCGAGGGCAAAGGAAACGCTCTGATCCTCTTTTTACGTGCAGATGCTGCCATTTCGAAGCCTGACCTCCTGTCACGGATTGAGCAAGGAGAGGATCCCAACGCGGAGGATCAGGATGACTCTGAGGGAGGAGAAACCCCTACAGACCCCAGCACCGGTGAGCCATAAGGTTCCCAGGACTCGGTGGGGAGGTGAGAAGCAGCGACGTGGCTGCCGCCGCCTGCCCACGCTCTTCCACTTGCCTCTGCCGTTGAGTTTTGCCAGCTCTGCCCGTGGGGACAGGGGTGACTTTGCTTTCCTGGTTGGCTCTGACCCGATGCAGCCATCTCTCCTGAAATCCTTTGTCCAGCAGCTGGGAGGTGTGAGCGTAAACTTCTGTCGTTCTCTCTCTCGTGCACAGAGTTCTCCTTTCCTGGGCCTGATGACAGCTCGTGGAGTAAATACGAAGAGACTCTGGCTGAAAGCCACGAGGGCTCTGAAGAAGAAGAGAGCATGGAGGTCCCTAGTACATGTGAGTTAGAAGCACAGAGCTTCGCCAAGAGGGAGAGAGAGGCGGGCTCAGGCTCTTGGCACTTGCTGGGGATCGCCCAGGGGGAGATCCTGCCTTCGCCGCGCTCCCTGCCAGGCTTGCCTCAAGGGCCAGCGTGGGAGCTGGGCGGCAGCCGAGGCAGAAGCAGCTGCGGCACGCGAGCAGCAGACTGTAAAAGCAGCTGTGGGCAGGCTGGGGGGTGCAGAGCACCTGTACGGTGTCGCGTCCCTCGGCGAGCTAGCGCGTTTGGTCAGCCTTGAAGTGGAGAGGAGCAGGAGCGTGCTTAGTGCAGGCAAGCTTCGATGGCGTGGGCAACACGGTTCTTAAAAGTTTTTTTTTTTTCCGTGAATACGTCAAGTGATGTTTTTCACAGCTTTCTCTGTCAGCCAAATGTTGAGGGTTCTTGTGGCGCAGCGAAAGGCTTGTCCTTGTCACTGCCTTGTCGCTTGGGGTCCCTGCTCCGGAGCGTGGGGACACGTGAACTGCTTTGGGAAACATCCCTGGCTAGGATGTGCCTTTGGCTTCCCGGCCTCGTTCTCGGAAGCAGCTCAACTGTTCTGGCTGATGCTTTTCCAGAATTTCAGCCTGATGCAAACGAAGCGGCCCGTTTCCAAGCCGCACGTTTAGATGTCTGGCAAAGCGACAAGCAGATGAAGAGCCCTGTGGTAGGGAGTGCCGAGCGGTCTTCTCTGGGCACGCAAATGCTCGGCACAGCTTTACTTTCTCGTGCTCTGCAGAAACCTGTGGGGTTTTCAGTCCTCTTCCCCACATCCCCAGATCCTCTGGGCTCTTTTCAGCCTCCCTTGGCCAGGGTCCTCGGTGGTTGCTTTGAGTTACCGTTTATACCATGGGAGATCCTTTGGCCCCAGTCACTGTGCAAGCCCAGAAGGAAAAGAGGTTTTATTCCCATTCCGTCGATTTTTTTTCTTACCTTTACCCTAAACCACGTGTTCTCAAAGACCTGCTCCGCTCCGTCTCCTGCTGAGGAACCCACTTTTTCCCTTTGTCTAGCTATATATAGAGATCTCGTCATTGTACTGTCTGAGCTTCCCCAGGAAGTCTTTCCCAGTGATCTGGACGAGGGGATCGAGTGCACCCTCAGGGAGTTTGCAGAGGACACGGAGCTGGGCGGGAGTGCTGACCCGCTGGAGGGCAGACAGGCTCCGCGGCGGGATCTGGACGGGCTGGAGCGATGGGCCGAGGCCGATCGCGTGAGGTTCAGCAAGGCTCAGGGCCGGGTCCCGCGCCTGGGGCACAACAGCCCCGCGCGCCGCGGCAGGCTGGGGGCCGAGCGGCGGGGAAGCAGCGCGGCGGGGAAGGACCTGGGGGTGCTGGTCGACAGCCGGCTGGATAGGAGCCGGCAGGGCGGCCAAGGCGGCCAACGGCACCCTGGCTTGTGTCGGCAGTAGCGTGGCCGGCGATCCTCCCCCTGCCCGCGGCACTGGGGAGGCCGCACCTCCAATACTGGGCTCAGTGTTGGGCCCCTCACCCCAGGAAGGACCTTGAGGGGCTGGAGCGCGCCCAGAGAAGGGCAACGGAGCTGGGGAAGGGTCTGGAGCACGAGTGCTGTGAGGAGCGGCTGAGGGAACGGGGGGGGGCTCAGCCTGGAGAGGAGGAGGCTGAGGGGAGACCCGATCGCTCGCTACAGCTCCCTGGAAGGAGCCTGGGGAGAGGTGGGGGTCGGTCTCTTCTCCCAAGCAACAAGGGACAGGACGGGATGGAACGGCCTCAGGTTGTGCCAGGGGAGGTTTAGATCGGATAGGAGGGGGAATTCCTTCCCGGAAAGGGCTGTCAAGCACTGGCACAGGCTGCCCAGGGCAGCGGTGGAGTCGCCGTCCCTGGGGGGATTTAAAAGCCGCGCGGATGCGGCGCTGAGGGACGTGGTTGAGTGGTGCCGTCGGCAGTGCCCGGGTACCGGTTGGACCCGATGAGCTGAGGGGTCTTTGCCAACCTAAACGATTCTGTAATTGTAAGGCAAAACGCTTCAGCTTTGTCCGTGTTCCAGTACTGCTTAGGTAGCTCCCAGATGGGACTTGCAACCCCGTAGTGCTGGGTACTGTCCTGAGTGTGCAAAGCAGAGACCACCTCTGCCCCGAGAGAATTGCGGTCTAAATAACGAGGCGGTTCTTATCTCAAAGAAATGACATGACTGTCTCTGCTCTGCCAGATGAACAGCAGTGCGATGAGGAAGGTCCCGAAAGCCTTGAGCTTCCTAGCTCGTTGGCAGGAAAGTGGGAAGAGGTTTTCTCAAGCCCGGAGGAAGAGATCAAGACGAGCGGCAAGAGCCGGAGCGGATCGACCCCGCAGCAGAGAACGGCAACGGGCAACGGGCTGAGGCGCTCCGCTCGCCGCGGGAGGGACTTGGCCAAGAAGGACGCTCCTGAGGACGTGGCCGCAGACGAGGGGCCGTACATCTGCTGCGAGTGTGGGGAGAGCTTCCTGGACAAGCAGCTCTTCGCCACCCACCAGAAAGCGCACGCCAGCGAGGAAGCCTGCACTTCCCTGGAGCACGGAGAAAGCTTCCGGCAGAAATCCAAAGCCACTCCTACGAAAGGCCAAGGGCCCTCCCGCTCCAAACCGTCCAAGCGCCCCGACGGGGAGAAGAGCTCTGGTTTCAAGTACGGCTTTGTCAGGCACCAGGTGAACAACATGGTGGAGAGGCCGTACACGTGCTCCCAGTGCAAGGAGAGCTTCAGCCTGGAAGTGAGCCTTATCTTGCACCAGAAGCTCCACACGGGGAAGGGCGACGGGCCGCTGACGTGCACCTACTGCGGGAAGGACTTCCGAGACCTCTCCAAAGCCATCCGCCATCAGCGCATCCACACCGGGGAGAGGCCCTACCAGTGCACCGAGTGCGGGAAGAGCTTCATCCGGCGGGACCACCTGCTCAAGCACTGGCGGGTCCACACCGGGGAGACCCCCTACCAGTGTCCCGTCTGCGGGAAGCACTTCCGCTACAAAGAGTCCCTGAATTGTCACCAGAAAATCCACTCCCGCAACCCCCGGCCCATGGAGGATTCGCAGCACAACCTGGAGTCGGCGACTCAAACCGGCCACTTCTGCGTGAAAAAAGAAACTAAGCAGTAGCGCTGCGGGGGGAGGCCGGGGCAGAAGGGCTCGCGGTTCCGCTAACGGTCTGGCAGGTGGACGTGCAGCATGATGGGAGGTGAACTTGTATCGCAGCTAATCCATGTGGTCATGCTACAAAGCCCGCTTTGTTCAAGCATCAAAGGAATTCCTCTTAAAAACTCTGATCGGACGGCCTAGGCACCTCTTGGACCCCGCGGGGTTACGTGGGACTTCATAGCGGCGTAGGCCTTGTACTAGTTGTCCCCTACGCAGGTTTGGATTTTGCCTGTAGAGAACAATCCCGAGCGATTCTCTGGGGTCCGCGTTTAGCAGGTGTTTCCCCACCTATCTTTGTGCATATTCAGGAGTGACAAGCTTTCGCTTTCTTTTTTCCACTCGTTTCACCGCAAGGCTGGAAGCGCGAGGGAGGGAGGGAGGGAAGGAAGGAAGGAAGGAAGGTGCCATTCCCAGGCAACCGGCCGCCCGCGCCCGTTGCGTTGCCGCACCTCGAACGGCAGCCCCGCGCTGCGAGGCCAGGGCTGGGGTGAAGGGAAGAGAGGCGAGGCAGAGACACGGTTAGGGGCACGAGGCAGGACTTGCCGAAGGCAAAAAAGCGGAGAGGAGAAAGCGGCAAAGAGCAGAGGTGAGAAGCAGCAGGTGCAGGAGGAAAGGATGGGCAGGAGAAGGGGCTGAGGACATTGGAGCAGTCGGGAAGGGCAGCATGTGGAGGCGCAGTCGGGTAACTCACCCGAGGAGGACGCGTCTCTGTTCTTTCGAAGGATGTTACTGGCACCAGTCGGGCTGTGGTTTCCCTCTGGCCCAAGGGAACGGAGCCGCTGGTCCGTCACACGAACTCCTGTCAATGAAGGCGATTTTATTATTATTTTTTAACTGGGTTTGGTCTCACACTCAGGTAAGTCAGATGAGTGAAAGCAACTTCTCCTAACCCCTGTAAAGAGCTGTTTGGTTTTTAGTTACTCTAGAAGTAGTATATTATTATTATTATTAATTATTATTATTATTGTTATTATTAATTATTATAATACTACAAGGAAACGTGTGGCACTATATTTCACAGTTGATCTAAAACACTTAAATGTATGAGATAACTGACTGGAGATTTTCAGACGTCTGTGTAAATATTGGTTGACTTCTCGGAGCTAATTGGTGTTGTTCCTGAGGTGGCTGTAAGTGGTGTCTCTTCCGCTGTGTATCGTCAGCTGCTGGTTCGTGATTGTGTTTTGTAATAACTTTTGTAAAGTCTGTCAATACAGTGTTTCCATTCTGAAGCCCGTGTCGGGTGGGTGATCGCAGCCCCGGTCCCCTCGCCAGCCTCTGTGTTTCGTCCTTGCTCGCCCCTCTCCTGCCGTGACACCCTTGCCCGGCACCCGCCTGTTATTTATTAGCTTTTTCCAGGTAACTCGCACAACTGGTGAACTGCACAAGCCAGACCGAGCATCCGGGGAGCCAGGTCTGTTAAACGAGGCTGCTCGGCGCGGCTCTGGGACTGCTCTGCTCGGCGTCCGGCGTTCATGGTTTTTTTGGTTGGTTTTTTTTTTAAGCTTTTTCTCTGCTGCCGCTACGGCTGGAAGCAGACTTCGGTTTTATGCGAGGAAAAACGGGAGCTGGCCTGCGCCACGCGCAAACAGGGCTGCAGCGATGGCTCAGGAGTCGCCGGGCTCTGCTGCGGGGTAGAGCCGGGACAGTCCCGTGCCGGGCGAAGCGCCGGTGCCTCGCGCCTCGGGGCTGGGAGGTCGTGGACTGACCGCGGCGGGTGAGAAGAGCCCCGGGCTCCATCGGCCGTGGGTTCAGCGCTGGCCTGGCCCCACGGTGCCCCGTGGCATCGCGGCGGAGCCGGAGGGGCACCGAGCCGGGCCGGGTTTGCGTCGCCGCTTCCTCACTCGCACCTACCCAAGCTCTTTGTACCGGGGCTGCCAATAAACTGTTTGTGCCAGGCCTGGCCCCCGCAGGGCAGCGCCCCGTTTTGTCTCGCTGCGCCAGGGGACGTGGGGACGGCTGCCGGGGCTGAGCCGTGGGGACGGCGGGCAGCGGGTGCTCCGGGGTATCCCAGGAGGGTCCTGCCCTTCCCCAGCAGCGCAGCCCCCCAGCTTGGGCTGCACCCCGTCTGCCGTCACCCCCTCATCTCGCCGGGGGGCCCCTGGTTCTGGGGCTGATTGGGGAGGGGGCACTGGCACAGCCCCAGCTCCCCCCTGCCCCGAGGCTGGCTCTGGCACGCGGGGCTGCTCCTGGACCTCAGCTGTCCCCCTGTCCTCTCTTCCACCTTCCTCCTTCTTGGGGCCGAATGTGGGACGGGGCCAGGGCTGCCTGCCCGTGGGGCAGAGCCAGCGCAGGGACGTGGCCCGTGGGTCCCCAGTTTTGCAGCCATGCTGTGACCGGAGGGTGCTGGGGCTCCTCAGCCAGCCCGGACTGGGCCGGGTGCCCGCAGAGCTGGAGCGGGTGACCCCGGCCAAACACCACCACTCCCCCCCCCCCACATCTGGGGCTGCCCAAGCATGGGGGGGGGGCTGGTGGGCAGCAGTGATGGGACACGACCTCGTCCCCATCCCCTGCGTCCCCTTCCTTTTTCTGCAAACCAAAAGGTTTCCTGCCTTTCAGTGTCTTCAGTGTCACCAACTTCCCCCCATTGTCACCCTGGGCTGGGGGTCCTCGAGGTCAGGGCTTTGGGGGGTGGGGGGAGCAGCTGCCACCCACGGGGCCCTGCTGGGGCTGTGGGAAGGGGTGGGACTGGGTGGGATGGGAGTGGATGGGATGGGACAGGGGTGGGGTGGGGATGGGACGGTGAATGTGACAGGGTGGAACTGGATGAGACCGATGGGATGGGGCGGGATGGATGGGGTGGGACAGGCTGGACCGTGACAGCACCGGACGGGACGCACCAGGCTGGACCGGACGGTCGGTCGGTCGGTCCGACCCGCCCCGGTCCGCCCGAGAGCTCCGGGGGGGGGGGGGGGGGGGGAATGGTTTGTGTGGGAACAGCGGTTTCCATGGCGACACCGCCCTCCGGCCGCCATTTCAGAGGCCCGCGGGGCCGGCAGCCGGCGGGAGCCGCCAGGGGGCGCCCGCGCCAGCCCCGCCCCCCGCCATGGCGGCGCCCGACGGGGCGGGCGGGGGGGGGGGGGAGGCCGCGCGCTCCCGGTCACCCGCGGGGCACCAGTTCCCGCCAGTCTCTCCCAGTTCTCGCTCGCTCCCCCCCCCCCCCCCATCAGCCCACTCCCCTGGCACCCCTCCCGCTGCCCCGCGTTACCCACAGCCACCCCGGTTACCCTGGGGGCCCTCCCAGTTACCTCTCACCTCTCCCCCCAGTTTCCTTCAGCCCTTCCCCGTTCCTCTGCCGGTTTCCCGCCCCCCCCCCCCCAATATCAGCCCAGCTACCCCGGGAACCGCCCCCGTTCCCCTCCCAGTGGCCCCTCGCCTCTCCCCAGTCCCCCCTGTCAGCCCAGCGCTGTGGTTTGAGCTCAGAGGGCAACTCAAACCCACGGGGCTGCCCCAGTTACCCCCAGCCCCTTCCCAGTTAACCTCAGTTCCCCCCCAGTTACCCCCAGCACCTCCCCAGTTGCCCCCAGCCCTTCCCCAGTTCCCCCAGCTCCTCCCGTTCACCCCGGTTCTCCCCAGCTGCCCGTCAGCCCAGTTACCCTCGGGGCTGCCCCAGTTACCCCCAGCCCCTTCCCAGTTCCTCCCAGCTCCTTCCCAGTTGCTGCCCGCACCTCCCCACTTCCCCCGGCCCTTCCAGTCCCTCTCCAGCGCCCCCCAGCCCTCCCCAGTTCCCCCAGCCCCTCCAATCCCTCTCCAGTCCCCCTCAGCCCCCCCCAGTCACCCCGGGGGTTGCCCCAGTTACCCCCAGGCCCTTCCCAGTTGCTGCCAGCACCTCCCCAGTCCCTCTCCAGGTCCGCCCAGTCCTCCCCAGTTCCCCCAGCCCCTTCCCAGTTCCCCCCAGTCTCCCCAAGCCCCTTCCCAGTTCCCCCCCCACCCCGCTCAACCCTTCCTCCGCCCCCCCCCCCCCCCCCCCCCAGTTTCTCCGGGGCCCGATCCCGGGTCACCCCCCGCCCCGGTAACGGCAGTCCCGGCGAGGTGTGGGGGGGGTGGGTGGTGCGGGGGGGGCCCCCGACGGTGCTCGGCGGTGATGCCGTCGGTGCGGCAGGGGGCGCTGCGGTGTCGGCGGGCGCCCCGCTCCGCCCCGCCCGGCGCGGCCCCCCGGCGCGGCCCGCGCGGCGCCGGCGGCCCGCCCGCCCCCTGCCGGCTCGGCGGGGCAGCGGCGGGGCCGGGGCGCCCGAGCGCGGAGCGGCGGAGCCGGGACCCGGAGCCGCGCTCGGTCTCACGCCGCCTCCCCCCCCCCCCCCCCCCCCCCGCCTCCCGCCTTTCCCCCCCCCCCAACCACCACCACCCCCGGTCGGGCCGCGCCCCGCCCCGCCGCCCCCGCCCCCGCCGCCGCCCCGCCGCGCCGCGCCGCCCCGGGCCCAGCCCGATGCCCGGCGGCGGGCGGAGGTGAAGGAGCGAGCGGGCGCTGGATCCTCCCGGCCGCGGCCCCCGGGGCCCCGGGCAGGGAACAAAGGGGCCATGGCCGAGGGGGCTCCCGCTCAGGTAAGGGCGCCCGCCGCGCCCCGCCCGCTCCGCCGCGGAGGGGAGGGGGGGGGGGCGGCCCGGCCCCGCCGCCCGTGGGGGCCGCACGTCGGGGCGGGCCGCGCCGTCGGGGCGGGAGGCCGGCGGGGGCTGTCAGCGCGGAGGGCCGCGGCCGCCCCCCCGGGGGGGGGGTTGTCGCGGTGCAAAGGGCCGGGCAGGGCTCGGCGGCGGCGGTGCGGGCAGCCCCGGGGGGGCGGCGCGGCCGGGGCCGGGGCCGGGGCCGGGGCTGGGCCTCCGCGGCTGGCGGCGCTCAGGCTGCCGTCGGGGGCCGGGCCTGCCCCGGTCCCGGCCCCGCGCCGGGCCCTGCGGGTCGGGAAGCGGCCCCCCCACACCGCCACCACCGCAACCACCCGGTGACAGACCCACCGCCACCCTCCTGGGTGTCACCGCCCCGTCCCCATGGCGACGGGGCGCCCTTGCCCTGACAGCCCCCCGGGGTGTCCCCTCGCCGTGCCCATGGCAACGGGGCTCGGCTGTCCTGCCACACTGTCACCTCCCCCCCCCCCCCCCCCCAATTTAGCGGGTGCTGCCCATCCCCGGCCACCCACTGGGGTCAGCACCCTGCAGGGACGTGGGGATGTCCCCACCACCCCCTCCCCACACACTCCCCCCCGGGGGTCCCCGTCACCCCTGGGGGTGCCCCCCCCCCACCTCGCTCCTCGCCGTGACCCCCCACATCCCTCTCTGCCCGCAGGCGCCGGAGCCGGTGCTGCCGCCGCGCTGCCCCTCGCCCCTCGGCCCCGAGCGCACCTCGGAGCGGGAGACGCAGACGGCCGAGCTGTCCCTGACGGTGGTGACGGCCGTGCAGGCGGTGGAGAGGAAGGTGGACTCTCATTCCACCCGCCTGCTCGACCTGGAAGGGCGGACGGGGATGGCCGAGAAGAAGCTGATCGACTGCGAGAAGACGGCGGCGGAGCTGGGGAACCAGCTGGAGAGCAAGTGCGCGGCGCTGGGCACCCTCATCCAGGAGTACGGGCTGCTCCAGCGGCGCCTGGAGAACATGGAGAACCTGCTGAAGAACAGGAACTTCTGGATCCTGCGGCTGCCCCCGGGCAGGAAGGGGGAAGTCCCCAAGGTAACGGTGTCCTGGGGTGCGGGATCCCCCCGGGGGGATGCTGCGCCCAAAATGCTCCCCCAAAACGCTCGTGGGGGGCAGGACAAGGCGGGGGGCGCCGGGGGGCGAACGGGGACAGCCCTGGCGCGGGCCAGTGGCGGAGTTGTCCCGCTCAGCCTCCCGGCGTCTCGGGGAGGTGGACCCGAGGGCAATGTCCCCCCACGCTCAGGCCAGAGGTTTCAGTTCTGCTTCACTGCGGTGCGCAGCCGGGCAGAGATTCACTCTTTCTTTTTTTTTGTTTTGTTTTGGGTTTTTTTTTGTTGTTGTTTTTTTTTAACCCACCATTTGAGAGAAGCTCTGCAGATTTGGTGGTTCTTTTTTTTTTTTTTTTTTTTTTTTTCTTTTGAACCACCATTTCTTTTACCACGTTGGCGCTGCGGCGGGGGGTCTCCCGGACCGGGAAAGGAGCAAGCGGGAGCTGCTGCTGCGGGGAAGGGGGAACCGCCGGGATTTGGGGGAAGGCGGACGAGCTCCCCGTGCTCGCAGTTGGGCTTAGCCGAGCTTCAGAAAGAGCCCACCCTCAATATTTCATGACCCTCTTGCTAAAAGAAAGTTTGCAGATGGGACCCGCGTGGGACATGGCAAAGTGAATATCGCTGGAGAGAGCGAAGGGGGTCTGGAAAAGCGGGGTTCAGACCCCGACACCCCGCCAGAGCAGTCGGGGAGCAGACTCTTCCCTCCAAAGAGCTCCCTTCAAAGTCAGCACAGCTTGCACATCCCGAGTTTATCCTTAGAAATTATTCCTCGGCAAGCAGGCTTGAAAGCCGCACTCTGCTCCCAGCCAATTTGCACACAATAACTAACGATAACTGGGAGCCCTTCAGGCCCGGGTAGAGTTTTCCCTTGAGTTCTGGGGTAATTGAATCTGGGGTTTTACGTCAGCTCATCAATAGAGATGAAGTCCAGCCCTAGCGCACGATTTTTATCTCCTTTACGCTCCCTCCAGGCGGGCGCAAGCCCAGTCACCTCTGCGGAGTCGTCCCTGCCGGTGTGGGGACCGAGGGGAGGAGGTCGGTGTCGTTTGGGGAAATCACGGTCTGGGTTCATCATCAGGGACCGGCCGTTCGGCTGAGACCTTTAATCTCATAGAAATACTTGTTCGGGGGTTGTTGTAAATATTAAAAAAAAAAAAAACAACAACTTGATGATGGCTGTGAAGTAGCTGAAGCCTGGTCGTGTCCGAGTGGGAGCGAGCCGCTTGCGCCGCCGGCCGGAGATAAGGCGCTGGGCTCCCGGGGAGCGAGGCGGCCGTGTGAACCCGTGTGCTGCTTGCGATTGCAGGTGCCAGTGACGTTTGACGACGTGTCTGTTTATTTCAACGACAAGGAATGGGAGAAGCTGGAGGAGTGGCAGAAGGAGCTGTACAAGAACGTGATGAAGGGGAACTATGAGTCGCTGATCTCCCTGGGTAAGTACGGGGTGTCCTCGCCGCTCCTCGCTGCCCACAGGCTTGAGCACCTTCTGACTCCTTCTTGGAGATCCCTTGGGACCCAAATGTCCCATTTTAAAAGGAGATTTTTTTCAAAAACCAGGAGGATGTTCCCAGTCTGGGTAAGGGCGTCCCTCTGGCAGCGCCGGATTCGTTCCCGGCACGGAGCACGGTGCTGTCCTGCCTGGGTGGGGACTGCCGGTGGGCGGGAGGGCTGGAGACCTCCCAAAGCCCCTTCCAGCCAGAGTTACTCAGTGAAAAACCAGCACCTTCCCCGTGGCTGTTGGAAGGGTTTCCCTTCATCCTTTGGGTCTGCAGCGGGCACCAGCCCACGCGCCCCTTTAGAGTAAACTTTTGCAGACGGAAAAATTGTCTACTGTGGTTTTAGCTGTGCTCCTTTGGGGCATTTCCTGCTGAAGCTGCAGGAGAGATCGCAGCTCTGCTGGGGCCAGAGGTGAAATGCTTTTGGCTTCAGAAGAGCCAGGAATTTGCCTGAGAAGTTCTAAAACCCCACCAGAAAAACACACAAGTCGGGCTGCTTCTTGAAGGTAGTTCCTCCGTGTGTGGCACCTCAGCTCCTGCCCCCGTGAATCCCCCTGCCTGTCCGGGGAGCCCGGCCTCTCTGCAGCTCCGGGCTTTTCAGCCTGCAGAGCCTTTGTGGATGTTCCCGAGTGTCTTCACACGTCCCCCCGGGCGCTGGGGAGAGGTGGAAGCCGATGTTAGGATTCCCTGTGCAGTAATCCCTCTCTCCATCTTTCTGTCTCTCAACAGACTATGCAATTTCCAAACCCGGTGTTTTGTCTCAGATCGAGCAAGGAGAGGAATCGCGGGTCAGGAACGAGCAGGACTTAGAGGAGAGCGAGATCATTACCGATGCCACCGCAGGTGAGACGGCAGCTTAGCGCAAGGGGAGCCGTAGGTTACGCTCGGAGGAGCTGCTCACCCCAAGACTAAAACGAGTGTTGCTGAGCGCTGTGCCTGAGGTTATCGGGAGGAGCCGTGCGTACGAGTGGGGAAAGTTTGGATGATTAGAGGTTTGATGTCCAGGTACAGCTCAAGATATAAACCAGGGCAGGTGGAGCCCGGAGAGTTGGGCACTAGCAGCCGTCGTCAAGGGAAGCATCTGCAACCCAACCAAGTACTCGGGGAGCCGGTGTGCTCGGCAAGAAAGAGTCAGGTCCCACTGGGAAAACCCATCCGCCTAAAAAATCCTCCCCACCCTCTCTGGTTGTGTGGATGGTGTCTGGGTTTATCCTTGGAGCCCCCCATCCTGTGCGCAGAGACCCGGGGTGCAGGGCTGGGCTGGGAGCACCAGGAACCCCGAGTCCCGGAGCGAGTCCTGCTCTGAGATGAGGGGGGCTGGTAAGGAGGTGTCCTAGAAGAGAGGGTGTCAGCTCCGCTGCTGGTCTCTGGCCCCGGAGCTGCTCGTCACTCTGACCTCCCGCCCGTGCTTTTGGTTGCGAGGATCTTGAAGTTCAGTCGAGGCTGACGGGAGGAGAAAAATCAGCTGCTGCTGGGGGGATGTGGGGTGGCCAAGGGGTGCTGAGCTGCAGGCGCTGAGTCCCCTGTGCCCGCGGAGGGTCCTGGGCGAGAGGCAGGAGCATGGCAGGGGTGGGTGACGGGCAGAGGGTGAAGGGAGAGCAGAAGTGGCCAAGCAAATGAAACCTCTCCGCGGGATCGGCGGTCAGAGCCGGCCCGCGGGGGTTGTCCAGAGCAGTTCCTTCGTCCCGGCTCCCGGGAGTGATGGCGAGTGGGAATCTCTCTTTTTGCTGCAGCTGGTATAAGGGTTGTGATCAAAACGGAGGAGCTCCTTCCTGAAGACAGCCCCGAAAACCCCGAGCTGCATGGGATGTCGGGGCAGTCGGAGGGGAGCTTCCAGAGTCCGGACGAGGAGGCAGCCTGCGAGAGCCCCTACGGCTCCGTCTCCCCTCCGAGGGACCTCCCGGGAACCAGCCTGGGTGACTCGTCCGAATACGTAGCTGACTTCAATGAGATCCAGAGAGTCATCGTGCACCACGGGAGCTGCACAGGTGAGACGCTCAGCGCACAGCTCCGCGGCGTGAGGCATGGCGGGGGGGGACAGGAGGCCCAGGAGGGGCTGTGGTGGGCCAGGCAAAGGTGGGAAATGGGTTGGATGAAAGAAAAGAGTTAAATCCCCCCCCGAACCAGCACCAGAAGGAAAGTTTCTGGCTGCAACAGCCTCAAGAGCAGCTACGGTCAGAGCTCAGGCCGGGAGGAGGAGGCAGTGCCAGCGCAGTGGACATCAGAGCGTGGGCTCTGAGGGCACCTGACCCACTCCAGAGTGGAGCGAGCGGCAGCTCGGTCCTCTGTGGGTGGGAAAAAATCTCGTTCCACACGGAGACCAAGGGAGGACGTGCCTCAGGCAGCATTTTGTGAGAGCCCCGGGGAGCCCCCGCTGCCAAAATCCCACCGTTGCAGAGGGCAGGACGTCGGTTGAGCTCTCCTGCCCTGGTGTTAGTCGCGAGGAGGGATGGTGTAAACCACTCGGTGGCTCACGCGCCGGAGGCTGCTGGAGGAACGTGTGGGGTCCTGCACACCGGCCGGCGTGGGGGTCGCTCGGGGCAGGACCGGAGAATGGGGAGGAGGGTGGCTGGAGGTCTGTGGCGTGCGAGCGGCTGGGAGGGAAGGAGAAGGGTGAGGTTATTTAGCGGAGAGATGAGAAGATGGCACCGGGTGCTTCGTGTGTAGAAGTCTGCCAGTTGGGTGGCAGATACGGGCCAGGTCCTACAGATGTGCTGAGCGTGGAGATGGGAAGGAGGCTGTTGGGAACGGCGGGTTCCCCGCTTCCTGATGGCTTTGCGATGGTGTAACACAAGCCAAGAAAGGTAGAGTTGGGCTCTTGAGGTCCTCCTCAACTCCGTCTCACGGATCCTGCGGTCTCCTCACGGTTTTCTAAAGGAAACCAACCAAGCCAGCAGTGGGGCTGGGGCTGAGGCTCATCCGAGAGCCAGCGCCTGTGCCGATGTGTGGGGCCGCGGCTGGTGGGGCTGAGCGGGAGCTGCGGCAACGCTCTGACCGGGGTGCTGGCAGCCAAGGCTTGAGGACCGATAACCCCTGGGGCCGCCTTGGGGAAACTCCTTGCTGCGAGAAGGTGGGGAGGAGCACCTGGGAACGTGGGTTTTCCCCACTGAGCCCTCTGACAGAGGGGAGATGGCCACAGCTTTGATACCTCCCGCTCCCATCCGCTGGTTCTTCTTGGGAAAGCGTGGCTGCTCTTCCTAGAAAAGTACATAGGCCTGGCGCAAAGTCCAGCACAGGGTGACGTGCGAGGGATCCACCGTGGACTTTTCCTCGGGGCGCGCTGGCTGCGTGTCCTCACGACCTCGATAGGGCTGGTCTCACCAAACATAACCACCAGGTCGCCTCCAGCGGCGGTGACGAGGGGGGAGCCCAGCATGCGACCATCCGTCCCACCGCTCTTTGCGTCTGGGAAGGAGGGGGGGTCTCTCCCTGTGTCCCGTTGTGGCTGGGCTGAAGGAACAGGATGGTCCCGGGCTGGGAACGGGGAGCTGGAGGCCGGCGGCCCCGTGCTGTGCTTCCGTCGAGCGGTGCCGTGGGGAGCGTGGTTGTAGCCCAGCGAAACGGCAGCAGATGGAGCTGTGCTGAAATCCCACGGCCGCCCGAGGCCTCGCGCATCCACTGCGCTTCCATCCCCCCCATCTCGTAGCGTCGTGAAATTGCAGAACCTTTTGACAGGCGGGTCTCGCCGCACCCGTCCAAGGAGCCTGGCTGGGAGGCGGTTTGTCCGTCCGCCGTGTCGGGGGGTGTGCAGGCTCGCCTTGCTGCCGGGAGAGGACGGTCCCTGTCCCGGGGTGGTTGGGCAGGGCAGGCAGGCGGGTGCGAAGAGCTGCAGAAGCCCACGCAGATGTTTCTGTCGCGACCCCCAGGTGCGTAAAAGGCCGCCCTGTCCCACCCGGTGACCCTAACGCTCTCCTGGTTTTCCCCCTCAGAGGACGGGATCGTCATCAAGACGGAGGAGGAGGAGGAGGAGGACGACCCCGACACCCTGGAGCCGTGCGCCATGTTCTCGGGCAGGACCGAGCCGCCGGCGTTCCCCAGCCACGAGGCCGGGCTGGGCTGTGAGGCGCAGTGCAGCTCCAAAACGCAGCCCAGGAGCCTGGCGGCCGCCCGCGTGGGGAAACCCCCCGCCTGCGAGAGGGACTCCGGGGAGATGAAGCCGGCCATCGCCCAGCAGCGGAACCGGACGAGGGAGAGACCCTACATCTGCCCCGAGTGCGGGAAGAGCTTCATGCTCAAGATCAACTTCATGATCCACCAGCGCAACCACCTCAAGGAAGGGCCCTACGAGTGCCACGACTGCGACCTCAGCTTTCGCAACAAGCAGCAGTTCCTGCTGCACCAGCGCAGCCACACGCGCCGCGGCGTGGGGGTCCCCCGGCGCCCCGAGCACGGCCTGAAGCCCCAGCCGCGGCCCCCGCCTCCGGGGAAGCCCTACAAGTGCTCCGAGTGCGAGAGCAGCTTCAGCCACAAGTCGAGCCTCAGCAAACACCAGATCACCCACGTCGGGGAGCGGCCCTTCACCTGCGGCGAGTGCCGGAGGAGCTTCCGCTTGCAGATCAGCCTCATCATGCACCAGAGGATCCACGCCGGGAAGAGCGAGATGGCCTTCCTCTGCCCCCAGTGCGGGAAGAACTTCACCCGGCCCTCCCACCTCCTGCGGCACCAGCGGACTCACACCGGCGAGCGGCCCTACCAGTGCAGCCAGTGCGAGAAGACCTTCAGCGAGAAGTCCAAGCTCACCAACCACTACCGCATCCACACCCGGGAGCGCCCGCACGCCTGCGCCGTCTGCGGGAAGGGTTTCATCCGCAAGCACCACCTCCTGGAGCACCAGCGCATCCACACGGGCGAGCGGCCCTACCACTGCACCGAGTGCGGCAAGAACTTCACCCAGAAGCACCACCTCCTGGAGCACCAGCGGGCACACACCGGCGAGCGGCCCTACCCCTGCACCGAGTGCACCAAGTGCTTCCGCTACAAGCAGTCCCTCAAGTACCACCTGAGGACGCACATGGGAGAGTGAGGGGCTGCCGACGGCTTCCTCTCCCTCCCTCCATCCTTCCCTCCAGCCCTCCTCCTCCTCCTCCCCTCATCTCTCCCACCCTCCCTCCATATCCCACCACCCCCCCTCCACCCCACCCCCCCCCGGCTCAGGGCATGGACATCAAGGAAGCTTTGTGTGGTAGCGCCGCTGGTCTGGTGGAGACGGCTAGGCTGATTGGAAATAAATTAATTAATTAAAGCAAGCAACGCGCGGCAAAATTAAAAGATTATATATAAATAAAATTAACAGAAGCAGCTGATTTAGGGGGAATCCTCACCGTCAGAAAAAAAAAGCAAACAAACCAACAACAAAAGAAACCTGTACAGGGTGTTTTGCCGGAGTAGGACTCTTAACTGCTTTTTAAATCTACTGTTGTTTTTTTTTAATAAATGTGGAGGAACTTTTTATTTGATAAGCAAACTTAGGATCGCCAAGATTTTTTTTTTTTTTTTTTTTTTTTTTTAAAAATGCTCTGTAGGCTGATTCTGGCACAGTCACTTTTGTCCAGGAGCTCTGCAGAGGTGCTGCCTTGTCCCAGCTTTCCGGGCTGGACGCGACAGCCGCTCGGCAGCGTGAGGTGACAAGGAGCTCCCGGCCAGGGGGAGGTGAGTAATAAATAGATCCAGATGACGAGGAAGTTCTCCGTGTGTCTAGAGTTGAAGTGCTGATAGGTGCCTGCCCGGCGCTCGGGGCTGTGATGCACTCATGAATTATACAATAGAATAAAATACTAGTAAAAAAGAACCTTTTTCTGGTAGGACCCCATCAGCAAGGCTCCTCCAAACACTCATTTCTAGCGCTTAATCCTTCCGCAGCGGCAGACGCCTTTCCGGCGAGCGGCGACCCCGGGGCGCCCGGCCCTCCCGCCGCCACGAGAGCTGCACCGAAGGCATCGCCGGCCGGCGCGAGACGCGGGAGCGGTTTGTCGACGGTGGGTCCTGCCCGCGAGGTCACGCCGCGCCCGCGCGCAAGACCTCGACCGTGTCTCCGCTGCTCTTGCGCTCGCTCCGAAACGCGCCGCGGCGAGCGGGCTGCCCTCGCCGGTGGCATCAACCGCGCGTTCCCCAGCAGCAGGAGCAGCGGGACTCCCGCCCCGGACGGAGGAGCGAGTCCTGGGCTGGCTCTGAGAAAAGCCCCATCCAGCTCGGGGCTGCCTACGGGAAACCTCCCGGCTCCCAGCACCCGCTGCCGGGGTCCCTCACCCTACAGCCGCGGCCGTCGTGGCGGTGGGTGAGACACGGGGCACCCTCCTTGCTGTTGGTTTGAGCTCCCTGCTCCAGCCGCTCGGTTCTCCCCGGTCCCGGTCGCGGCTCCCGTCGTCGGGCTGCGGCTGGGTGAGATGCACCCGACGGGCCGGGCTGTGGCCGGAGCCGTGCCGCCAGCTCCCCGGCGCGCGCCAGGCGAAGGCGGTGTCGGATCTCATGTTGGACAGTGGCATCAATAAACAGAGCGATGATGGGATGAGTTGTCGGGACCTGTTAATGCCTCTGCGGAACCAGAGTCCTCACTGCAGGACTTCCCGTGTGTATGAGCCCCTCCTAAATTTGTAATTTGCAGCCTCCTCCGTGCTAGAAAGCGCACGGAGCTGCTGAGAGCCACCGGCCGGTCACCGCCACGGAGAGAAGCATTTTGGGGCTGCTGGGATGGTGCCTGAAACTCTCTGGGAGCAGTTTGGGGTTTCAGGTCACGACATGCAGCCTGACGGGGGTTAAACGTGCTGAGACAGGGCTGGTGTCCCAAGAGGGAAGTGCGGGTGAGGGTCAGGAGGGCCGGGCTGGCTGCCCTCTGCCCCTCGGCAGCGTCCCCACATCCCCCTAGTCAGGACTAAATGCAATTAGGGGGATTGAAGAAATTAAAAGCAGAACGGACGCAGGTTCTCAGCAGCTTGTGTTCATTGTGCTGGTAGTGCCATGGATCCAGCAGCGTCTTTTTTTCCTTCCTAAATTTTTAGGATGGGTTCAGCTTTTTGTTTTTGGCAAAGGGAGCCCCCTCCTCCCCTCGGCACACCCAGGCTGGCAGCACCCACGCTCTGCTCGGTGTCCCCGGGGCCCCGTTGCGCACACGCACGGCGGCGGCGGTCGCTGGACGCTGCCAGCATTTAACAACATCCAGGAGACCTTCAGCAGCTCGGGTGTCTACAGGCTGCCGCTGCAGCTCCCACACCATGGGGGGGACAACGCAGCCACCACGGGGTGTGATGCCCCCCCAAAAAACACTGGGGTCACTCCTCAGGACCCGGCGGGCAGCGCACCGGGGTGGTGGAGGAGCAGAGCTGACGGCTGAACGCGGAGGTGGGGGATGTGCCTGATTTTGGGGACCCGCAGGGGCCGAGCCCGCCGGCAGCAGCACGGAGGGGCTGCACCCCCACAGCCTGCAGGCACGCACAAGGGGGCTCAGGGGGGCTCCCTGGGAGCCCGCTTCTCTTCCCTAAGCCCCCACCGCTGCCCTCCGGCTGTTTTGGGGCTGGGGAGAGCGCAAAGGAGATGTTGGAAGAGCTGTGGGCGGCCGTGGGGTGCAGGGGTGGAGGCTGGAACCCCCTGCCCCGGGGCGGCCGCTGGGTTTGGTGGGATTTCAGGGCCGAGGGCGTGTGGGGAGGCAGCCGGCCCTGGGGCAGCGGCTCACGGACCCGATGACGCTCGGCTCCCGCTCGCCACAGCTGCCGCGCTGACAGAAATCCCTTCCACTGCACTAACCCCCAACCCCGGTGGGTGGGAAGCGGCTGCTGGAAGCGCGAGGCCTCCTGCTCCGCACTTCCAGCCTGCCTGTGACAGCCCGAGCTGGGGCGAAGCTCCCCGGCATGTTTGAGGTTATAAAGGATTAAATTTATTTAAGCAGCACCGCACCGAAGCATGCTGGCTTGCAGCCCCGGGCTCCCAGGAGGGCTCCGACCACTCCAGGGAACTTCAGAGTCCCTTTTTTAACCAGTTTATAAAGCGGAGAGGGTGAAAACCAAGCGACTGGGTGTCCCCCGGGGTTGGAGGGTCTGGGAGCTGCTGCCTGGCACTGCTGGAAGGCACGGGGCAGGGGCTGGGAGCAGGGACCCCGCGCTGCTGCACCCCACGGCTCCTGCACCAACGCCCCGGTGCAGGGTGGGATGGGGATGCCCTCGCCCTCGCCCACGCACCAGCCCTTCCCCGGGGCTGCGGCTGCCGGCGTCGTCCCCGCAGAGGCGGGCACACGCGCCACACACGCAAGCGGGGCTCGTCCCTCCCCGGTTTGCAGAGGCAGGCGGACATGCTCACACGCGTGTGCTGAGATCCAGGCACACAAACGTGCACACGAAGGGGGAGGCAGAGACAGCCCCGTGCACGCGCGCACATGTGTACACACACATGCGTTCCCACCTGGAGTGGGAGCTCAGGGAGTTGTGAAGGGTCTGGGATCCCCTTCGGTTAAATTAAGGTGAAATGACACCAAGGAGCTGGTTAAAATATTTTACTTGGAGTAGAAAAAACTTAAGCTTGGAAAAGGAGAGTAAATGACGGTGTCTCTCATTGATAAATTTATAGGAAAGAAAGGAGAAGGAGAAGAAGGAGAAGGAGGAGAAGGAGGAAAAGGAGGAGAAGGAAAAGGAAAAGGAAAATTAAAAGGAGGAAAAGGAGAAGGAGAAGGAGGAAAAGGAGAAGGAGGAAAAGGAGAAGGAGGAAAAGGAGAAGGAGGAAAAGGAGAAGGAGGAAAAGGAGAAGGAGGAAAAGGAGAAGGAGGAAAAGGAGAAGGAGAAGGAGGAAAAGAAGGAGAAGGAGGAAAAGGAGAAGGAGAAGGAGAAGGGGAAAGGAGAGAAAAAGAGTCCAGTCACCATGCCAGGTTCCAGCATTGTCTCGGGTCCAACAATCTCGGGTGGTGGGCGCACCCCAGCACAGTTTTCGGTCGCCTTTTAAGTTCATTTCACCAGCCGATCTGCACCCTAGCCCCAGAGAGACAGGTATTCCACCAACTCATTTCCACGAGAGGCGAGGGAAAGGCGGAGCGTGGGTTCTGTGGGCGGGTGGAGGGGGAACGGGGGGGCACCAACCCCTGATCAATTCAGTCGGAGGTCGTGCTCGCCCTCCCCCTTTATTTTTCCATCCGTTTTTGCTCAGGTCCAGCTGGTGCTGGTTAGTTCTCGCTCTTATCAGCCTTTTACCCCGAACATCTGGTTCCGCTCAGCCCGAGTTTCTCCCTTTGGGGCTTATCTGGGGAGCGTGGCCCCGGGGCTCAGCACCGAATCCTGCAGTGCCTCATGGCATGCAAACACACGGCTGCACACACCACACACGTGTGTGAACACGCACACAGACACAGAAATGCACACAGCTGTACACCCACACCTCCCCCCCAGACACTGCTGCACACACAGCTGTACACACGTGTGTACACCCACACACCAACCACCAAACGTGTGTGGAGACAGGCACACGCAGACACAGGCGTCCATACATGCACATGCACACACAGATGCATGCATACACAACTGTGTGCACATGGACACACAGCCATGCAGAAATGGGCACCCACGTGCAGGCACACATGTGCGAAACCATTCACAGCTGCACATGAACACGCACAAACATGTAGCCACCCTGCACACACATGCACCGCACACAGGCAAACAGATGTACGCAGACACATGTACACTCAGACATGCCAGCGCACACACATGCATGCACATTCACATGTGCACACAGAAACACACAGCCTTGTACCCACATACACGCACATGGCAACCCCCAAGCACACCTGCACAGATACACACACATACATGTACATGCACAGGTCCGCATGCACACACATACACATACAACATCCATGTGCAAATGCACGTGCATGCACACATACATATGCACATGCACATACCACTGCAAAGGCACACGAGTTGCACACATCCCCCCAACACATGGCTACACACATGCACATGCATGCACACATATATGCAGAGAGATGCACTGACGTGCATACGTGTGCCAACATGCATACATCCATGGACATACACACGCACGCACGTGTCTACACACACATGCAAACATACACGCATGCACATACCCACACATACACGCAGAGGCACGCACACGCACACACACACACCAACACGCGAGCAACACACACACGCTGTGCCCCTGACAGTGTGCTTCCCCCCACGCACACGCATGGATGCACGCCAGTGCACCGACACACGCGTGCCTACCCACGCCCCACCAGACGGACAGGCACGCAAACCCGTGTCCCCGCAGCCCCACGGAGCCGTGCCCACCTCCCAGAGCCCTGCCCGCCCCACGGAGCGCTGCCAACCCCACGGAGCGCTGCCCGCCCCACGGAGCGCTGCCCGCCCCACGGAGCGCTGCCCGCCCCACGGAGCCGTGCCCACCTCACAGAGCCCTGCCCGCCCCACGAAGCGCTCCCCGCCCCACGAAGCGCTGCCCGCCCCACGGAGCCGTGCCCACCTCACAGAGCCCTGCCCGCCCCACGGAGCGCTGCCCGCCCCACGGAGCGCTGCCCGCCCCACGAAGCGCTGCCCGCCCCACGGAGCCCTGCCCGCCCCACGGAGCGCTGCCCGCCCCACGGAGCCCTGCCCGCCCCACGAAGCGCTGCCCGCCCCACGGAGCCGTGCCCACCTCACAGAGCCCTGCCCGCCCCACGAAGCGCTCCCCGCCCCACGGAGCCGCCCCAGCCCGTCCCCGCCTGCCCTTTCCGGGAAGCGCCGCGGGCCGTGGCTACCATGGAGCGCGGAGTGACGGCCGTGAGCGAGAGCATGAAGGCCGAGGCCACCTGCTCCGTGTGCCTGGAGCTCTTCAGCGAGCCCGTCATCACCGAGTGCGGCCACAACTTCTGCCGGGACTGCGTGGAGCCGCTGCTGGGGGTCCCGCCGCGCCCCACCGCCTGCCCCCAGTGCCGCGCCCCCGTCACCCCCGGCTCGCTGCGGCCCAACCGCTCGCTGGGGGCCATGGCGGGGCTGGCGGCGGCGCTGGGCGGCGAGGGGCGGCGGTTGTGGTGCTCGGAGCACGACGAGGCCCTGGAGCTCTTCTGCGAGAGCTGCCGCGTCCCGCTCTGCCTCCGGTGCCGGGAGGGGGCCCCGCACCGCGCCCACCGCGCCCGCCCCGTCAAGGAGGCGGCCCAGAGGCTGCAGGTGGGGGGAGATGGGGCGGGGGGCCCTCGGGGCACGGCGGGGGGGGGTGTCCCCTCGGGGCTGGGGTCCCTCAGGACTGGGGTCCCCCTGGGACACGGCTGGGGGGGAGCTGGGGCTGGGGTGCCCCTGGGACACAGCTGGGGGGGAGCTGGGGCTGGGGTGCCTCGGGACTGTGGTCCCTCTGGGACACGGCTGGGGGGGAGCTGGGGCTGGGGTGCCCCTGGGACACGGCTGGGGGGGAGCTGGGGCTGGGGTCCCCCTGGGACACGGCTGGGGGGGAGCTGGGGCTGGGGTGCCCCTGGGACTGGGGTCCCCTGAGGCACAGGGAGGGGTCCCCTCAGGACTGGGGTCCCCCTGGGACACGGCTGGGGGGGAGCTGGGGCTGGGGTCCCTCGGGGACACGGCTGGGGGGGAGCTGGGGCTGGGGTCCCCCTGGGACACGGCTGGGGGGGAGCTGGGGCTGGGGCGCCCCTGGGACTGGGGTCCCCTGAGGCACAGGGAGGGGTCCCCTCAGGACTGGGGTCCCCCTGGGACACAGCTGGGGGGGAGCTGGGGCTGGGGTGCCTCGGGACTGGGGTCCCTTGAGGCACAGGGAGGGGTCCCCTCAGGGCTGGGGTCCCCCTGGGACACGGCTGGGGGGGAGCTGGGGCTGGGGTCCCTCGGGGCACAGGGAGGGGTCCCCTCAGGGCTGGGGTCCCCCTGGGACACAGCTGGGGGGAAGCTGGGGCTGGGGTCACTCGGGGCATGGGGGGGGGGCCCTCAGGATAGGGGTCCTCTTGGGGCTGGGGTCCCTCAGGGCATGGGGGGGGTCCTCTTGGGGCTGGGGTCCCCTCAGGACTGGGGTCCTGCAGGGCACAGTGGGGGCACCCCTCAGGACTGGGATCCATCAGGACATGGGGGGGGTCCCCTCAGGGCTGGGGTCCCCCTGGGACAGAGCTGGAGGAGAGCTGGGGTCCCCTCAGGACTGGGGTCCTGCAGGGTACAGGGGGGGCAACCCTCAGGACTGGGGTCCCTCAGGACATGGGGGGGGTACCCTCAGGGCTGGGGTCCCCCTGGGACACGTGGGGTCCCCTCAGGACTTGGGTCCCTCGGGGCACATGGGGGAGCTGGGGCTGGGGTCCCCATGGGGCTAGGGTCCCTCAGGCCACAAAGCAGGGTTCCCCTCAGGGCTGGGGTCCCCCTGAGACACAGGTTGGGGTTCCCTTGGTCTATGGGCTGGGGTCCTTTGGGGCACAGATCTGGGGGTCCTTTCTGGGCAGGGGCTGGGGTCCCCTCCATGGTCTGGGGTCCCCTTGGGGCATGGATCTGGGACCTCTCTGCACATGGGCTGGGGTCCCCCTGCATTCATGGACTGGGGTCCCCTCGAGGCACAGGTGAGGGTCCTTACCCAGCCACGGCTTTGGGTCCTCCTCCAGCTGCTGGCTGGGGTCCCCATCTGGGTCCAGCTGCCGTGGCCTGGGGTCCCTGCCTGGCTGCGGGCTGGGGTCCTGTATCCCCACCACTGTGCTGGGGCTGCTGAATCTCCAGCAGCTCCCCTCAGCCCATCCAGGTGCAGGTCCCTCTCGCCGCTCACCCCTCTGTGGCCCCACAAAGCCCGTAGTGCCCCAAATGTCCCTGCTGGGGCTGCAGCTACAGGGGACACAGTCTCTGCCCCCCAGCATGTGGGCTGGGGTCCCCCGCGCCAGCAGCTCGCTCTGCTGCAGGTGTTTTGTTATTTTTTTAATACTCCAGTGAGTTTAACGGAGCGCGTCCGAGACGCAGTGCTGCTGTCGCTGAAAACCTCTTCCCACAAATCCCACTTCCAACACTAAAAGTTGTTTCTCCTAATTAAAAAAAAACAACAACCCCAAAAAAAAAAAAATAACAACACACAACAAACCACAACCAAAACCCACAAACTTCAGAGTTTCCACATGAAGCTATTCCAGAAATATTTCTGGCCAAACCAGCTGCGCGTGGGGATCTCCCTCGCCTGTCTGTAAGGCATGCTCAGAGAAAGGTGGGTGCTGTCTTGGAGCTCTTCCCCACAGGGCTGAGCTCCAAACCCACGCCCAGAGCAGTATTGTCCCCACAGGGACTGTTCGATGACATCATTTCACACCTGCAAACATAACCTCAAAATCACCCAATATGCTATTTTTTTGTTGTTGTTGTTGTTACCCAGGAGACACTGCAGAAGAACCTGGTTTTTCTACGGAAACAGAAAGAAGAGTTTAAGACCAAAGGAGAAAAGAAAAGTGATGGCCTGCTGGTACGTGTTTCTCTCTCTGTGCGCACGCCGTGCTCCCTGCCTGCTTACCCACCCGTCTTCGCAGGCACATCCCATCTTTCCCCATATATATTTATCTCCTTTTCCGTAACCACTGGTGTCTCTCTCCCTCTCTGTCCATCCCATATATCCTTTTTTCATCCTGCTCTCATTCAAACTCCGCCATCACCTTGGGTCCATCAACATCCAGACTTGCCACCTCTCCCCCCAGTCCACTCTCCCAGCTTTTTCCTCTCCAAAACCTCTTCCCCTTCTCCCCCGTGATCCTGGCCCCGCTCTCTGCGGCAGCGGGTCCCCGTGCCCGCGCGGAGGCAGCTGGAGGACGGGATGGCTCAGGGGCCTTGGCGCGGGTGCCTTGCAGGGGAAGGTGGCCTCGGAGCGGCAGATGCTGCAGGACACCTTCAAGCAGCTGCAGCAGTTCCTGCAGGAGCAGGAGGACGCCCTGCTCGCCCAGTTCGACCAGGCGCACGAGAACCTCACCGAGGAGCGCCACCAATACATCTCAAGTGTTGCAGAGAGGAAATGTCTACTGGACTCGCTGATCGCAGAGATCGAGAAGAAATGGGACCAGCCCATGGCTGCATTCCTCATGGTGAGGCTCTGTCACCCACCCGGGTGCTGTGAACCCTCCCTGCATCCTGGTGCCCGCGCAGCCAGCGTGCCAGCAGCCAGCTGTGGGGCTGGTGTGGGGCTGGGCCTGCGCTGTGAGCTGAGGGAGGGTCGGGATTTGGGGGAGCGAGTCACCGGAGAGACCCCAGGAGAGCGGTGTGACCCCCACCCAGGTCCCCATCGCCCTGCTTGTGCAGCAGGGGAGTGACTGTAACTCACTGCTCTGGGCACTGTGGTCCTTCTCGGCAGGAGCAGAGCTGACCTGGTGTTTTCTCTCTTCCAGGATGTTGGAAAAACCCTGAGCAGGTACGAAACGGGCTCAGTGTCGCTCTCCTCCCGTGTTACTCTTGGGCAGAGGTTTGGAAACACTGCAGGCGGCCACTGCAGGAGGGAGGCAGCTTTGCCCTCCTGAGTATTGGGATTTAATGTGATGTAATCTGGAACCAGAGGTCGTTGCACCCCTGTTAAGAGGGAGGGTTCCCATGCCAGTAGCTGGGGCACAGCTCCCCTGAGTTCTGTTGCTGTAGGGGATTTTCTCCCCGTTTCCCTCCTGGCCCCGGGTGCTGGCTGACTGCTGGGGTCAGAGCTCCTCTCCATGTTGTTTCCCCCTCAGCTGCGAGGTGGCGAAGGCCCCGATCCCGGAGTCGGTTTCCCCGGAGCTGCAGAAGACCATTAAGAACCTCTTTGAGATGAGCCGCCTGGCTGTGGATATGGTAACCAAATTCAAAGGTAAAGCAAAGCAGTAGTGAGCACTGCCTGGCTGTGTAGCTGGTGTCCAGGCCCCAGGTGGGTGTGCTGCTGCCCCGGGGCACCGGGCACTGCTGTCTCCGGGCTGTGCTGCTCCTGGGCTCGGCTGCAGTGGGAGATCCTCCCTAACTGGTGCCTCTGCCCTGGTGTTTGGGAGCAAAACATACCTGCTCCAGACAGGACCCATCTCTGAGATGGGCTTTGCTGGAGCCTGGGGCTGCGGGAGCTCTGCATCTGGCTTGCTGTCCTGATGGGGAGCAGGAAAGACGCCACAGGAAGCGAGAGACTAATGCGTCTTCTTTTCTTCCCTCCAGTGAACCTGCTGACCGAGCTGGACAGAGAAAAGGGTAAGTTTCTGGAGCTGATGGGCACAAATGAGGGAGAAAAGCTTTTCAGAATGATTTTCCTTAGGTCCTTGGGGCAGAGAAGGGCTCACACCACAACATCTAAATCCGGGATCTGTCTGAATCCGTGTCCCTTTGTTTTGACTAGGCCTGCTATAAAAACCCTGGTCTGTCTCCATGCCAGGCAGCACCCCACAACGTTGTCCTCTAACACCAAATGGGAGCCAGGACAGCACGAGGCCCTTGGCTTCCGTCTCTGGAGACTTTATTCTTATGCCACGATGTGTAAGGCTGTGACTGGTTAAGCAGAGGGGCCGTATGCATTTTGAGCTGGCTTTTAGGCACAGGTCAGAAGTGGTTTTGCAGGTGCTGGGGGCCCACACGGTCCTGGCAGCATCGCAGGGCTCACATCTCACAGGTGCTATTTGTGCTGAGGCTGGTCTTTGCCCTCTCAGTTTTCAGGATGAGGGACCTGACATGCCTGACAGGCGTGCCTCAGTTTCCCCCACGCTGCAGTCCCTGCCGTGAGCCCGGGCCCCGGAGGACTGGCTTTAGCAGAGGGCCTGGGTTGGTGGCACTGCGTGGTGACACCTTTGTGGCCTTGTGGGACGGCCGCGGGATGGCAGAACATCCCACGTGAGTGAGTGGCTCTGGCTCTGCAGTGAGATTGCCTGGTCACTTGGCAGAGCTGGGTTCGGAGCTGGTTTTCCCTTTGGTGAGCAGTCATCCTTGTCACTGGAGCAGGCTTGGCACCACTGCTGCCTTGCAGGCGATGCTTCCTCACACCCATGGGGATGTATTGCTGCTCCCACACCCAGCCTGGCTGCAGCCTCATCACACTTAGACCCAGCAGTACCCAGCACAGGATTAGTAAAGTGGGTTTAGCAAAGTCCACCATGTCTGTCCCCTGCGTGTGGGGACGCTGCCTGGCTCAGTCCTGCTTCAGAGAGCATTGCTTCGCCCATGGGTGCTGGCAGGGAGGGCAGCAAGTGTCCTGTGCTGCCCAAAGGTGCTGTGGGTGTGTGCTGGCGGGGCACAAGTGCCCCCTGTGCTCACAGGACACGTCCTGGCCCCGTGGAATAGGAGGGAGAGGTTCTGGTTTGTTCCTTGGCGGGCAACAGACTGATGTTTCTCTCTGTTGTGCATTAGTGATAGTGATGCTGGACCCAGAGACGGCAGCCTCGTACCTCATTATCTCGAAGGACCGCAAAACCATGCGGCTGGCGGACATACATCAAAACCTCTCCGACACCTCCAAGAGATTCACAGGCAGCCCCAGTGTCCTGGGCTGCCAGGGCTTCACAAGCGGGAGGCATTACTGGGAGGTGGAGGTCAGGGACGGACATAGCTGGGCTGTGGGGGTGGCCTTGGAATCGGTGCAGAGGAAGGACTCGCTCAGCATGGCCATGGGGAAGATCTGGGCCCTGCGGCTGGACTGGAATCACCAGTACACGGCACTCCACGTGACCCCCATCCCGCTGACACTGAAGGAAGAGCTCCGGAGAATCAAGGTGCATCTGGATTATGAAGCGGGCAAAGTGACCTTCTACAACACAGAGAACATGAAGAAGATCTGGCAGTTCAAGGCCTCCTTCACTGAGAAGGTCTTCCCATACTTTTGGCTCTGGTCAGAAGAAACCTCTATCCATCTGTGTGCCTGACAAGGTCGGATGCTTCCCAGTCTCCTGCCCATGTCCTTGGCTAGCTGAGCAGGCAAGAGGCGTGGGAATGACACAGTCTCATGCTGCAACCTCTCTGCAGCTCTGCCTGGCCTGGGTCCGCTCTGCACATTGCTGCATCTCCTGCTAAATTCCTTGAGCATTAAAAACGTGTTGTACTGCCTGGGGGTGTCTGCATGCTGGTATACTAGCCAATTCTCACAGTGATGGTGTCCCACCCGTGCCTTCGGGCACTGAGGACACACATAAATAAGCAGGAGGCAGGGAAGATACTCTGATGTCCCATGCGGGTCTTTGGCAGCCCTGCCTGGCTCTCTGGCTGGGTGTGGTATGCTGTGATGTGGGCAGCGTGGGGCTGCAGCCACCCCACACCCAGGAACTCTGGGTGGGGCCGCGGAGCTGCTAATAGTGGTGTTAACTGCTCACCTAAAACTGCGAGCTTGCTGCTGATTGAGGGGCCAGCTGCAGTGAGGGCACAGCCCAGGCCTCCAGGCTGGAGGAGCGGCAGAGACGGGGGTGTGATGGCGATCTGTTAAATCCTGGGTGGTCAGAGGGGAAGCAAATACCACCTTGTCTAATCTGAGAACAGGGAGGTGAATCTGGTGGGTGGCAGGGCCCCGGCAGAGGGACACCAGTCACGTCCTGGAGGTGATAAGTCCTTTGCAGCTCTGCGTTAGGCTGAGAACACTTGACCCAACATGATGAACCCTGCAGCTGAGGACAGCGGCCTCTGAGAGCCCCCCCGGGAGATCTGGCGGAGCTCATCTGCCAGGGACTGGGCTCGACAGTGGGGATCTGCAAACCCCTACATGAGGGGAAAACGCAGAACCTGCCGGAGCTACGTTGCGTGTTGCAGCCACTTCACTGTACCACCCTGTTTCTCCACCTGTAAAAGGCGACCATGCGTTTTGGAGCCTCCTGCTCTGTGGCCGTGGGGAGGGGACAGGGCAAGGAAAAGGCAAGCCTGGGCAATGGGTCTTCTGAAAAGCTGGGTGTGTGTCCATTTTGAAGGTAAATAGCAGCACCTGAGTAAACATCAGAGTCTCTTGAAGGCAGAGGACATGAGCGAGGTCTGTAGAGGTTATTTAGGGCAGACCAGCTGTGCCTGCTTCCCGCACCTCACACTCTGACACACGGCACATTCAAGTCTCACTTCTCCCACTCTAATTTCACAAGTGCCATAGCTGCACGAGCCCCGTCTCAGTGCCGTGGGGATGTATGCTGGCTTCTTATTTCCAAGCTGTCGCTCCTCCGGCGCCTCACAAAAGAAGCCACTGCTTCCCCGGTGGTGCCGCTTGTTTGTTGTTCTCGCCAAGATCTCGTCAGAGGAGACGTGATGCGGGAAAGTTTCCTCGGCTCACCGAGGCCCAGTTACGTGCTGAATTTGTGCCCTTTTCCCCCTCATCTTCCCCAGTTCTACTCGCTTCCCCTCAGGCCCAAGACGGGTGGGGATGTGGCGGCACCGCGGGCTCCTCAGTGAGGCGGGGACTACATTTCCCAGTATGCACCACCATCCCGCGCGTTTTCCTCCCCGGGCGTTGTATGCTGGGAAATGTAGTCCCCCCTTCGGCCCGCAGTCACGCTCCTTGCGGCACCCTATTGGCTGGCTTTTCTATTGGGCAGGAGCGGCGTCAAGCAACAGTTGGAGGCGGGGAGCGAGGCGCCCGCCGCAGTTCTTACTGGTCAGAACGGGCGCGGTGGGCGTGGAGGTTTAAGTAAAAACACCCGCCCCCTTTAACGTCGCGCAGAGAAGGGGTTTTGATTGGTGGAGGGGAAGTTTGGCGCCAGCTTCGGAGTGGGCGACGGGTAGCGGCTGGGGTCAAAGCGGTGCGGGCCGCGCTGACAGCAGAGCTCGGCGCGATGGATCCTGCACCGGGCGGCTCCTACCGCCGCCGCCTCCTGCTTCTCTCCCCGGCCTCCCCCGCTTCGCCCGCCGTGGTCAAGGCTCTCTTTCCCGCCGATCTTTCCCCGATCTCCGACCTCCGCTTCACCATGGAGCAGCTGGGACACGGGTCAGTCAAAGTCGGGGGGCCCCCCCTTCCTCCTGACTGAGGGCCTCTACCTCCCCTACCCCCCACCCTCCCCAAAAAAAGCCCCAAACCACCAAGATTACGAGGCTTTGAGGGACTGTTCTCCACCTTCTTTCCTCGCTCCCAGACCCGAAGCGGGGCCTAAGGCACCCCCCCCACGCCCCCCGCCATGCTTCTCGGAGGCCTCTTCTCTCCCACCCCGGACCCCAAGCGAGGCCTGGGGGAACTCTTCTCCTCCCCCCATTAAGAAAAAAAAAAAAAAAAAGCAAAAAACCAAAACAACAACAACAACAAAAGGCCTTGAGGAACTTTTCTCTTACCCTGCCCCCTTCTTCCAGAAGCAAGGCCTTGGGGACCTCATCTACCCTCAAAACCGCTCCCCCCCCGCCCCGAGTGAGGCCTGGTGGGTCTTCTCTTCTCCTTCCTTCCCCCCTCCCGCCCTGAATCGAGGCCTTGAGGCTCCCCTAATCTCCTCCCTCCCCGAAGCAGGGCCTTGAGGACCTCATCCCACATTCTCTCCTTCCAAACAGGCGCCCCCCCCACCCCCCCGAAAACTGAGGCCTCGGGGACCTCCTCTCCTAACTCTCCCCCCAAAAAGCGAAGCCTTAAGGAGCAGTTTCTCCCTGGCCGCTCCAAAATGAGGCCTCGAGGAGTTCTTCCTATGCCGCCACCCCCGCCCTGGCAAAACTGGGGCCTTCACGACTCCCTTCACTCCCCCCCCCCCCCCCCCCCCTTTTCCTGACGTCCCTGCTCCGCCGCCCCTCCTCCCACCAAATTGCCCCCTTCTCTGCTGCCCTTTTCTCCCTGGGAAGCCCCGAGATTGGGCCACCCCCCCCTTCCTGCCCCACGGGAGCCCCTGCCCACGTGTGCCCGTGGGCCGGCTTCCCCCACCCCATCCCACCATTTTTCCCGGTTCTGCTCTGGGCATCCACCTCTCTCCCCAGCTTTCCCCTCTCCCGCAGACTGACACAGGTACCTTTGTGTCCGTCCTTCCCGCCTCCCCTGCCAGTTAGCTCCCTCCACTGCCGTCCTGTGCCCCAGCTCCTTTAACCCTGCTGCGCACCCCTCCCTTTACAGATTCACACATGGAAGGTGCTGCAGCCTCGGGGTTCTGCTGCTCCTCTCCCCATAACTCCAGCCAGGCAGTTGCTCAATCCAGCTTTGCTATTACCAGTAACTCCTTTAATGTTGTTATTCCTACAGTAACCTCTACGGTTTGGCTTCTGCTCTGCCCTGGCGCGCTTGGGTCTAACTTGCCCTCCTGGTATTTGTCCTTTGTTTGCTGCTTTTATATCATTCTAATTTCTGTAATCACCTGCTTTCTTTATGATCCTTTCCTCCTTCAGATTCCTGGGATTCCTGTAAATGATTAGCTCCAGTCCCCTCAGTGTTCATTATTCTGTCCTTTAAGTTTTCAGCCCTAGCTTGTGCCTTGACACATTTTTTTAATTAACCCATGTGATGGAGGAGCCACACTCAAGTAGCTTTTCCCTTATTTAAGGTAATATAGAGTAAGGCTACATATGACATGCATCTCTCTCTGTATTCAAGCTGCTGACCTGTGCCCATGTATGAAACCAGTGTGTGTCTGATGTGGCTTGGCAGAGGTGGCCTCGAGGTTCCCTGCCTGCAGGGTTTGGACTGGCTGCTGTAACTCGGGCTCTGCCTCCAGCCCCGTCACTTACGGAATGATTTCAACCGGTCTGATGGTTATGTGAGCAGAGAAGAACTTGCTTAGTTGATAAGACAAAATCTGAGAGCTAACTACTTACAAAAATGAGTTTGCGTTAATAGTTTGGTAATTTTTCTATGCAAAATGTTAATTCAAAGAGGTTTGCAGTCCCAAGAAGGATAATGGGGCTCTGATACAGGCGTTTCTAGAGAATGGTTTGGGAGGTGCTCATGTGATTCCAGGCACCAGTAACCTATTGCACACTTAAATTGGTTTAGTCCTAAAGTTTTATTGCAAGGTCTGTCACTTTGTTGTATTAGGACCTTCATCTGTGAAGGCACAAGCTCAGGACAGACTTTAAAACCTTGTTTCAAAAAACCCCTCACAGTTAGTGTGTCACAGAGGAAAGTTTGATAGTTTGGTGCGAGGGGACCAGAAAGGCAACCAGGATAATTATTGCCTTAAATGACACTCTCCTTGTCTCTGTTTTGGAAGCCTAACTTCTAACATTATCAGCATTGCATGTGCAGGTTTGAAAAAAACCAAACCCCAAACCTGAAGCTGAAGTCCCTGTAGGTGTTAGAGCTGGGCATGTCTGTAAGGTGGTGGCATTGTCCATGTACTTGGCAGCACATGAGAGACTGCAGTCTGCAGGTTTTCCAAGCTGCTGCTGCTGAAGGCTTCAAGTTATGATCACCCATGCTGTATGCCTACATTCAAGCACTCCTGTATTGTATTTCTGGCTTCAGTGAGCATTTAAAACAAATACCTAACTTCCTTTACAGTCAGCGTGAAAACACTGAGCAAGATCTGGGAAACAAGACTACTAATGGCTTACAAAGGACAGTGTCATCAGAATCAACAGACTCAGGTACGGCTTTCTCAGTTAATTAAAAACAAGTAAGAAATGAAAAGCATTGTATCTTTACATGGCTTCCACTGCAAGCAGCTTCCAGGGTTTGGGTAGAGAACTAATCTGCCCGCCTGCAATCCCTGCAGCTGCTTCTCATTCTTGAAAAGAGGGAGGCAGGCGAACCATCACTTGGCAAGCTTCTGCAGTTCATGGTTTGGGTTGTGGGTGGGTTTCTCTGCTTTAATTGCCCTGGAGTATGTTAGCAGTAGAGCCAGCATGGAGGAGGAACTGGTTCTGCCCCTACGGGGGTGTGGGACTCAGACAGAGATGGCTTTTTCCCTTTTTTTCTTAGGATGGCTGTTAACATGTGGTTGCTGACCTGTCACACTTTGCACTCCAGCGTGATGTTTATCACTGGCATTTTCTGATTGCCTTGATGTTCTGCTCTGTACAGGGTAGTAGGTCAACACCTTATCATGAGTGTATCAGCCTTCCTTGCCGTAGAGACAGCCGATGCTGGAGGCTGCTGAAGATAGCCCAAGATAGGCTCCACTGCTGAATTGGAATCCCACCATTCTCTAGTCTGCACTGTCATGCAGATATTGGCTTGTGAGCATTTATAGTTGCATGTTGGGGCTGAGGTCTGGAAAACGGGGAGATAGTGTTTAGTTCTTCATTGTTAGGATCTGCTGCATATCTGCATTCAGCTTGGAATGCAACCGATCTGAGTTTCTGCCCTTTGGAGAGTGATAACTTTGATGAAACCGAGTCGTCACTGTGTGTTTTCTCTCTTTAAACCCAAACTGTGCTAACCTCCTCTGCATGCTCAAATCAAGGCAGTTGAGCAGGGTTTGTCGTGTGGTTTTGTGTTGTGATTTTTTGGTTGTTGTGTTGTTTTGTTATTTTTTTTTTTTTCCTCTTTTCCTCTATGGCTTTTTGTTAACATGAGCTGATAGTTTACCTGAAACCCGGGGAGCTGCATCTTAGTACTGATACTTGCCTAGAAGTATTTTTTTTTTTTTTTTTCAGATGAGATGCTTTTATCAGTGATAATAAAATAAGCTAATGGGCCATAACATGTAGAATCAGGGATGGTTCTGATATTTCACTGGTCCAGCCCAGTGATGGAAATCGTTGTCTCCACCTGAATTTATGCACCAGTCTGACTGTGCATGGTGCTTCCAGCCTTCAAAGGAACTTTACGAACCGCTAAAACACAAGCATAGCTCACAAACCACAAAGTGGGATAGATTAACCAAGCTTGCTAAACCTCCACTTTCTTCTTGGCTTTTTTTTTTTTTTCAGGTTTCCAAAGCAGATCTTAAGTGCTTATAAAACACTCATGATCAAGGTTTCTGCTGTGCCAAGACCACTACTTGTCATGTTAGTCAAATTAATTCTTCGTAGTTGTTTGTTTAGATCACATTCACCAAAGTAGCAACAAGTTTTGTCATGATGGTATGGGGTGCGTTCTGGTGAGCTGTTGGCCAGTCACTAGGGCTTGTGAATACAACCCTAATACAAGAACTCCCTGGGGATCTGTGCTTAAGTAGGATTCATATTTGGCTGTGCTTAGGTGCCATGTAGTTGTAATATTTCACTTGGTTTGTGCTTGTGGAGTGCTTGCTGCTGTTTCCAGTACCCTTGCATGCAGTAAGAAGGGCCTTTTGACTGATTTTTTTGGAGTAAGCCCAGAATTTCTTCCTGTAAAGAGGTGTAACTAAAAACATGGCTTAAACCCTAAAGGGCTAAGTTGTTTATTAAGATGTGTGTGAGGGGGAGTAAGCTGAGAGTATCTCCTGTTATGTGGTAGCACTCTGTTCATTATGACATTCTAGGCAGGGCTAGGGGTGTTTTTTTTAATTACTCCTATTTTTCCCCAAGCAGCAACACATGATTATCCATGGTAAAAACTCAACAGTGTGGAATATCTGTGACTTTACTTCTACACTGAGATGAAGCTGCAGTCTGGGCTTCCTACATCCGTTTCCTCTTTAAGCTCAGGAAATTTAGTGATGTCCAATACTTGGTGTTTCTGAGGTGCTAAGATGCTACTCTCTCTCTCCTCTCTGCAGGTTGTGCTTTAGATTCGCCTGGACCTGCACCCTCAAATGATATCATGGAGGAAACGTATGTAACCATATGCTAAGTCTGACTTGCGGCATTCACGTCGCACCATTAACGAGCGTAGGCTAATGAGAGGCTCGACGTGGCTTTTCCTTTGCGGGCATGCGTGCAGTGGGCTCTCCTCTCAAGCTCCCAGAGGTGCAGGCTGCAGTGCTCCGCAGCTGGGGGAGGCCAGGCCTTCTGTCTTGGCGGGGTCCCTGCGTACCTCACAAGTCCTGGGTCTGAGTTAATGCCTTGTCATGCTCAAACAGCGCGGTTGGTACGCTGGCACCTCACCAGCAGCCGGAGCCTGCACCAAATTGCATGTAAGCTGTAGTTCCCACCCAACCTGTAAACTATAATTTGTGCTTGTATATACCTTAACTGGTACCCTGCAGTTGCTCTGAGCTTTGAATTTGCCACTCTCGATAAGATTCCTGCCCTTCTGTCCCCAGGGATGGGGGTCAGATGTCCTTGGTCCCCGATCTACCGAGCTTTTCTTCCTTCAACCTAGCTTCTTGCCTAAACAATGCTGAGAAGAATTTGGGGAAAGGAGAGGGAGGAGTCTAGCTAGTGTTTCAAAAACTAGGATGGGATAAGTTGGCTATAAATTGCTTTTGAGAAAGACAGTGTGTCATCAAGAAGCATGTTGGCTTCTGCTTAGCAGAACACTTCCTGACTTAAATAAGTTGATTTTGAGCGTATTATCCTTCAGCACTAACTCTGGGGCATCTCACTTGCTTTTTAGGTTTGAGAAAGCAATTCTTGCATCCAGCAGACTGAAGTAAGTATACTTCTCTTGGAACTTCCTTGTCAGTGACTGTTGTAGCTTGTGGAGTTTTACTGGGGGGAGGAACAGGGGGCGAAGCGAGTTCTACTTGTGTTACTGTATTTTAAAACAAAATACTGAAATAAATCTTGGTTCCTTTTTCATTGTAGTATTCGGATGCCTTTCAGAAGAATACATTCACTGCCAGTAAGTGAGGGTGGTATTCATATTATATAAATGTTAAAGGATTTAGCGTGTTAAGTGTTTTTAGTTGGATGCATTCCATAACTTGTTAATTTTCTGGCTTCAAGAACAGCTGTTGTGGTACTTAATGAAAACTGCCAAAATTGCAGCTTGTAAACTCAAAAATCTCATTCGAGTTGGTGCGAAATGTCAGTGATGTGGCTTTGTCACTAATGCAGTTGAAGCATTTTGGTACCTGTACCGAGGCGTCAGCGCGGGAGGCTCCTGCGCGTAGTTTGCACCAGTCTGTGGGCAGAGACCTTCCAGGCTTCGTGAAGGGCTGTTGTGCTTAATGTGTAGTTGTGCAGAGACCCTGTTGCACAATACTGAGCTGGCACTTGTGCATGAACCTTGTAGCAAAGCCTCCTGGGATCCAGCCCTGCTCTGAAGAGAACCCCTTCCGATTCTCTGGATGGTGATGCTTTTCAACTGTTGGAACAAGACGAAAATAAGGAGAATGTAAGTGTTGCTCTCTGCCCGTGCTGATACGGGGTAGAGGTGGTGCCACGGAAGCTGGCGTAGCACACCCCTTCCCCAGCAGATGTGGTGGATAAGGCTTTTCTTGCTCTCTGCCAGGCCGTAGCGCAGACGTAACAAAGTGCCACAGAGCTTATCTCAGGGGGACGTGCGGTGAGGTGCGACAACACTGATTATAGCAACTGCCAGCTGATTATAGGTTAATAAAAACTTGGAAGGCTTTGACTGTGCGGCTCTACCTTTGTGCTACTGAACCCGACTCCGTTTAGTCTGGGGCAAAGGAGAATGTTTTGATGCTGCAGCTTTAGATGGCTACGGGGGGCGCCTCCAGAAAGCTGCTTAGATAGACCTCAGACCTTCCCAGCGTGGGCGTGGGGAGCCCTGGTTCCTCACAGCACAAATGTCCTTTTGCCTTCTTCATCGGGAAGGCCTTGCTGCTGGAAATCCCCTCGGTAGGACTCTGACTGAAGGGCAGGTGTCAGGAGACAGCCTTGGCTGCCTTTAAGAATTATTTCTTTTGCAGTTAACTGACAAAAAAAATAGAAAAGCCTTAAGCCTGTAGGTATTATCAACAGGATAAAAGCTTGATTATGTTAAATGAATAACTGTTGTAACATCTTTAATTTGAAAACATTCACCTTCAGACTATTTCTGTTGGCAGCAGGGAACTTAAATACAAAATGCCAGGCAGTTAAAAAAAAAAAAAACCCAAAAAAAAAACCCAACAAAACCAAACCAACCAACCAAAAAAAAAAAAAACAACAAAGAAGATAAAATGATGCTAGCCTCTTACACAGTTTGTAATTTTGGTAGAATGATCACTTTGCTGCTCCTTTTAATTCAGGAATCGTTTGAGTTTAAGAAGCCAACCAAACCAGCTTCTCGTTGTTCTGTGCACATCCATTCCCGTGATGGAAAAAGTGTTCCTGGACCAAAGCAGAATTCATCTCCAGCTCAGACAGTAAGTACTATAGTGTTCTTTACAACTAATTCTCACCTAATCCTCTGCATACATGCTGTTTGGGAGGAAATAAAATTACATCATGATTCTAGGACAATGTTGTTAATCACCACTATTCAGGTGCCAAATAGAAAAATGTGTTTATCTGCCAGATAAGAAAATTCTCACATATGGCTCATGAGATGGTCAGAAGTTTGAAAGGTGGATTGTTCTGTAGTCTGTGAAAGATTAGTCAGTACAGGGCTGAGGTTATGCTGCAGTAAATCAAGGGAGCATGGACATTGATGTGGAAGAGAGGAATTTAGTTTGTAACTGTTTTCACTATCAATAAAATATTTGTATTGAGGCAGATGTATTTGGAACAATGAAGCCAGCTGTGCAACTGAATCTTATGTCCAGATATGACATGCAAGAAGAAAATATTACCTCCTTCATATCCTATTGCTTAGGAAAAGCAACTGAAAGAACAGGATGGGTCTTTGCACAGAAACAGGGCTGGGGGGCCAAGTCTTGTCTTCTCCTTGAATCTGGGAATCTGGTTGTCCTTCGTCCTGCTTAGGACTCTTGATGTTGGGCTTATCCACTGCAGAGTTTATATTAATTCTTGTTCCTCTTTCCTTTTCTACCTTCACTAGACAGCTTCTTCCAGGGAAGAGGGTTATTGCTTAACGAGGCTAATGAAGCTGTTGTAGGGATCAAAGAGAAGAAGTGGTGGAACTCAGTCTGGGGTTTGCTCAAGTCGGTGTGTTCAGGGTGGTGGAACAACCACCGTGTTTTCTGTAGGGCAGTGAGGGGCACGGCATCATCCTGGTGGCTACAGCAGCCTGCAGTAAAGAGAAGGAATGTTGTTAAAATGAAGTGTCTTGTCTCAGTCAGGTGAACAGGAAAACGATGGGCCAGCTTTCCTGCAGAAGTCTTCTCTGACTTCCTCTGAAAGTGAAGATGACGATGGATTCTTAGAGCTGCTAGATGATCAAGATTTGCAGGTACGTACAAAGGAAATAAGGTAGACGTTTCAAAATCAGCTCTGTGACGCTAACAGCCTCCCAGGAAAGTGTCCACGGTACGCCTGTGCTCTAACAGAACTCAGTGGGGTAAGACAAACTGCAAGAAGCCAGGTACTAGGGGATCCTAGAAGCGGAGTTATCATCATCTTTTTCAACTCTTACGTTTCAGTGTCTCTTTCTTGTGTGCTCTTTCTTAGTGCAGACAGTGGGATTTACTTGCTGTGTGAACAGCAGTTTTAAGAATTGCTGCTGTTCCTAGTGGCCAGTGAGAATTGTGTTACTGGAGAGAATTATTTGAACAGTTGGTGGTGTTCTTTAGAAACTTGCAGAGGTGATTATTTGCTTTCAAGCCACTTAAAATCAGTTAGAAATAGTCTTTTATTTGAAATGCTTAAAGCTTTGGAAGAATATTGTTAATCAAGGAATTGATATAATTCTCCAACATGCCTCGACTCGTTTCCATTGTTTCGTTGAGTATTGGATGAGTTAATTAAGCTGTCAGAGCAGTTTCAACTGGAGTGTTTGCCGGAGCTGTGCAGAAGCTGCATTTACAGTCTCTGCCCACGGTGAAGTAGGTGAGAACTTTCTTTTTTTTTTTTTTTCAGAACGACGAGGAGGTGCCATCTGATGTGGCGAGCCTCTGGACTGCACCGCTAGTCATGAGGAAAACAGACAGTCGGGTGAGTGTTCTGGGAGAGCACAACCAAACAGAGCCAGGGGCTTTGTTCTGGCAGCTGTTCTCACTGCTGGGACAAGTGATCGCACGGATCCTGGCTCCCTAACAACAGCAACACCACGAGATATGGCATAAACCCCCTTCAGTATTCCATTATCTCTAAAGGCTGTTTATCTGAAAGACTTTGTCCGTGTGGAACAACGCTTGTTCTATGTGTATACGGGCATTAACTTTATTTTTACAAAACCATAAGGGAAGCCAAGATCATATTGCATTTCTCAGATACTTGTCGACACATCTTGAATACATTCTGCACAGATTTACCTGAACACCTGTAGCCCAATCTTCTGATAATAGACTGTGAAGGGAGTTTAGGCTCCAGCAAATCTTAATCTCCAGCTCCTTAATCTGCTGATAGATTGTCTGCTAATTAGTATAAAGCACTCTGCTAGCACATCATTTTGTTTATGGTGCTTCAAGCTCACCAAGTCCCCACAGCGGGAAACAAGTGTTACTGGAAATGTAGGTCCTGCATTTAGATGACCCTATTAACATCTGCTGGGGCTGTGCTGTGGTGGGGTCTTACACAAGGCAAAATTTGTAATAGTCTGAAAATCTGAGGCTTGCTTAGTTCCTAATCTAAATCTTTGCTAGACAGCTCGTAACTTCCCTCCTTCCTTGTAGGTCAAACGGTGCCGGTTGTTTGGCTCTTCCTCTCTGCCCAGTGGTGTAGGAAGAACCACCCAGAAAAGGATGGAGAGATCCCAGGAAGAGAATTCTCCAGGAAAAAGCAAGAAGAGGAAAAGCCTGCCTGGAACACCTTCTTCTGAGGACACAACGGTTCGTGGCTTGGCATCCAGTTTTGTAACAGAATCGACTAGGAGGGGATCTAATGTAGGTGTCCAGCTTTTAAAGGTTAATGACAGAGCTTCGTCAGGTGAACTGCTGACCTAGCAAAACTCCTTCTCGCTGCACCGTGCAGGAGACTTGGGGGAGCTGGTGCAGTAGTTGTACTCTTGAGCCCGAGTTTTGCCTTAATCCAAAGGGGAGGCTGGGGAGTCGCCGTTCAGGGCTTCAGAGTAAACTCCGAGTTTTCTGTTATGTTTTGGGAAAAGGATCTCTCTGCTCTCGGTGCTCAGGATTGATCTCTAACCTGTGTTCCTCCAGAGCCTGAAAATGGTGAAGATGCAATCCTCCACAGCAGAGATCGAAAGCATTTTGGACAGTGACCAGAGAGACCTTATTGGTGACTTCTCAAAGGTAATTCAACTGATTTAATAGTCAAGTGTTAATTCAAGTGTTTTAACGGCCTCTCTTGGTAGAGATGTCTCAAACCAGCCCAGGTAGAGCACTTCCCTGCTTTGACCGTCCGCATTCAGATCACTGGGGAAGGCTGCTGGAAGGATGCTTTCACGGGTTAGAGGCCAAGCGATTCCTTTGTGGCTTTCCAAAAAGATCTACCAAATCCCTTCAGTATAGGAGCCAAACCCAAAATTCTCTCCCTGGATCTTAGAATTCTCAGCTTTAACTCTTGAGCTTTGCTGAGGAGATTCTTGTCACCGAAGTATCTGTGTTACAAAACTAACCGCTGGACACCGCTCTCGCCCACGTGGCTCGTGTTTGGAATTTTCTCAATCAAATGCTGTCTGTCTTACAGGGTTATTTATTCCACACTGTCGATGGGAAACATCAAGATTTAAAATATATTGACTCGGAAATGGTATGTGCTTCAGGGACAGTAAGAAAAACTCTTTGCTTCTGGGGGAACACCACAAAAACATCTTGAAATGACTGAACCCTGTTCTTTTCAGATTGTGTCCGTGCTGACCGGGAAGTTTGCGAGCTTCATCAAGGAGTGTGTGATAATTGATTGTAGGTACCCGTATGAGTACGAGGGAGGACACATCAAGGTATGTTGACCCCGTAAGAGCGATGCAGAGTTGTCTGGAGTTGCAGACGGGTCACTTGGCACCGTGTGGGGCTGCTCTTTAGTAGCGAGTGTCCAAGGCCATGTGGGCACAGCCGAGATGCCCAAGTGCCCCACTGGGGTCTGTGATCCTGTTACGCCTGCGCCCTGCGTCAGTCTCGGGACACTGAGCTCACACTTGGTTCATAAAGTGACTCTTCCCTCAAAGGAGGAAATGTTCTGCTTGCTTTAAGCAGAGGAGGTGGCTGTGGGGCAAGCAGGGAGATGGTTCCAGAGGAGGATACGTGACACTCGGTGTCCAGCTTCCTGATATCTAGGGAAGATAAGTTTAGAATATTCAACTTCATTTAAACCACAGACTTCCAGGAACAAATGGGTGTGCAAAACATAATTAATCAAGTTTGCTGCTTGAGCAAGCTGGCTGACTCTCAAATAGAATGAGATGGGAAGGGAAATTCAACGAGCCACAACCTACAGCTGTTGAAATGGCCACTGAAACAGGTCCAGGTGACCCAGAGTCAGCGTCAGACTCTCTGCAGTGTTCTGCTGGGGTTTGAGCCGTGTTCCCAGCGGCTGGAGAGGGAGGTCAGAGCTGCTCTAGGAAACCAGCATGAGGAGACGCCTGGTCGGGAGGTGGGATGGGTTTGTTACTGTCCTCCACTCACTGCCTGTGCTCGGGCGTGGCTCTGCCTCCACAGGGTGCTGTAAACCTCCACATGGAAGAGGATGTGGAAGATTTCTTGCTCAAGAAGCCGATCCAGCCGTCGGAGAACAAACGAGTGATAATAGTGTTCCACTGCGAGTTTTCCTCCGAGCGGGGTCCTCGCATGTGAGTTATCCCACACTCCCCTAGAGAACTCGCTGCCGTGCCAGCCGAGAGCAAAAGCTTTCGGGGTGGCACCAGTTACGTGCCGCTTGGCGCGCGGTTTCTCCCGAGCCGGGGCTGGTTGCCACCTCTGGCGGGGCCGTGGCGCAGCCCGGGATGCGAGCGGCCGTGCTGAAGTCGGGCTGGAATGCTTAGAGGTGGAAAGGAAAATCCAGTCAGCTGCAGCTCTGCAGCCAGTGTTCCTTATAGGCACTGGCTTACTTCTGTAACCCGAGGAACGGGAGGGCTTGGGTGGGAGCTGTTTTCAGGTGTTGAATGCAAGATTTTTTTTTTTTTTTTTTTTCCTGCTACAGGTGCCGGTTTGTGAGAGAGCGGGACAGGCTGGGTAACGAATACCCCAACCTCCACTACCCGGAGCTGTATGTCCTCAAGGGGGGTTACAAGGACTTCTTCTTAAGATGCCGTGTAAGTAACGTTCTCTTAAATTCATCTCTTTCACACTCAGAGGGGAAGAAATGATGGATTAAATAACACCGATGTATTCATACTGGAGCAGACTGAGCGCAGTTGGATTTTGGTGGCGAGGCTCTCTGAGCCTGCTCCGCGCTTTGGAGTGGTTGTGGACATAGCTGAAAGGTTTTTCCACTTGTCTCAAGAGTAAAATATAAAACTGGCTTCTGCCTTTCTATGACAGCTAGGAGTTCAAAATGTCATCTGGGGAAGAAATTTAAGACTGCTAGCCTGAAAGGACTGGGAGAGGGGAGAGGCTTGACAGCAATTGCTGTGTAACAAATGGAAACCCAAAGTCTCATTTTATACTAAAACAGCAAAATTGAAGAACTTGAGCTTTGAGTTTTCAGCCTCTGATTCAAAAAAGGAAACTTAAAAAATGCCCAGCAGCTCTTCCCAGCATTGTGAGGACGGTGTTTCTCATATCACTTGGTTTCTGCTGCTTCAGCATGCTGGTGGCTGGACTCCCCTTCCCCGGCTAGCTCTTCCTGCTGTCCTGACACGCCGAGACTGTGGCCTGTCCCTTCGGTCCCCTCGGGCCCCCGCACTTTAGAGTATCTCTTAGATTACCTCCCTGTTCTGTGACTTGGTGCTTTTTCAGAGAGATGCGAGAGATTCGCCCTTGCTGGGGTGGGGCTGGGTGCTGTTCCCCGGCTGGGTCTCCCAGCCTTCGCGGGGGCTGCCGGTGTTGGTGGCAGCCAGTGCTGCCCTGGGTTTTGGCTCTCCCTGTGATCTGCTGGGTCGTTTTGGGCCCCGTGGGTCTCCTCTCCCGAGGTGGGAGGACTGAGGGCCTCAAGGTGGCAGCATGGAACAGGCGACGGCCGCCCCGAACACTGGTGGGTGAGCCCGGGGCTGGCCCGTCCCCAGGTACGCCCGTTCTTTGCATCCGTGCTGCGTCAAGGTGAATGCAAGACAAATTTAGTGTGTGTATTGGAGTCCGCCAGAAAATCCGGGCTGAGAGCTCTGTACACAGGGCTGAAAGTCCTTCGCTGAATAGCTGTCACTTCTGAAGGAGCTGTAGCCCGAGTAGCACTTGGCTTTGTTCTCGAGCGTCCGCTATGAAGCTCCCGCATAGAGGCGGGGGGGTCTGTTTCTCTTTATTCTGGTGGTTGGTGGAGTGGTCGCTGCCAGGCGCCCTAGCTGAGCCTCGGCGCTCCTGTGACACACCGAAGTGAAACCAGCTTCTCTTTCCCCAGAGCTTCTGCGAGCCCCAGAGCTACCGCCCCATGCACCACAAGGACTTTAAAGAAGACTTGAAAAGGTTCCGCACCAAAAGCCGAACCTGGGCCGGCGAGAAGAGCAAAAGGGAACTGTACAGTCGCCTGAAGAAACTCTAAAGGCTGAAGTGACCGAGCAAAGACTGTCTGTTGTGGGGGGGGAGGGCTGCAGCGGGAGGGAGACGTGCCTGTTCCTCGCTCGTGGTTATCAGGCACCGGCTCCTCCTCGTACTGGGAACGCCGCGGAGCTCGGGGCTGCTGGCTGGGAGCTGACTCTTCTGAATATTCGCGTCACGCCGCTTCGTGGAAATGGTTCCCCGTGTTGTGTGACACCCCCAAAGTGCCCAGCAGTCTGCCCAGGGAGGGGTGGGGGCAGGCCGTCGTGTGCCACGTGCACGGGGCTCGGCTGGCACGTGGTGTAACCAGTTGAGGGTATTTTAGTGCCTGCTATTTTTTTTTTTTTTTATGCTTTGTTTTATTTAAATACAGTCAAATGAAGCTAATACCGCTGCAGTTGAATCGTCTGGATTGTACTTCAACTTTGTTGCTGTTAAAGGGCAGCCTGCTGTTGAGGGCTCGGAGGGTTTTAATTATTTTTCTCGGCTGCAAATTTGTGTTTTCATAGCATAATGCGTCGTGGTGAAGTAAACTGGGAAATAGTTCATTAGAGCTCGAGGTTCCCACCTCACTGAACTCTCCTGTGTGTCAGTGGGAGGCCTCTTGAAGACAGTCTGGGGGGGAAACCGCTTATTGTACGTAGATATCATGTTCACCTCGTTTACTTAATCTAGGTTGCTTTGTTTTATAGTAATTTGATTTTTAACTGCTGCTTTAGTTCTGGAGGAGTTGGTGTTTCAAAGCAGGGAGAACTTCTGGGAGCTGAGGGTTATTCAGAGTCCGGCTGTCTCGGGTGATCCCAGAAGGACCGGCCGGCAAAGCTCTTACAGGGTTTCTTAACAGCAGCAATTTACTGTCGCTGCTCCCTCCAAGGCTGCGTGTTATTATCCCAAAATGTGTCCAGGGAAGAGCCTGGCTGCGAGGAGTCGCGCTGACGACCCTGGGAGGCTGCTCTGAAACTGCTCCTGCCGCTGGGGGTTTGACTTCGGCCACTCCTCCAGCAGCAGAGGCGCCTTCTGCCAGGAAATAGAATTAATTCTTGAAGGAAGAGGAACTTCCTCAGCCGGCGTTGTACCCTGCAGCTGAGCCCTACAAATTGCCCCCCTGAAAACACAACCCGTGGTTGCGTGGCATGGCGGTGCCGGTCCTGAAAGGGCTTTGCTGTGAATTTGCGGTGTCACGTAAGACCCAAGTGACGAACCTTCCCTGGGGGTTTGGGGGCAAGGCTGGCCGTGTGCTGCGGCAGCGCGGTGATGATGGCTGCAGCTCATCTTCCTCACGGCTGCGGCTCATCATCTTCCTCACACATGGACTTGTTGGCGAAGGTAGAGCTGCTGAGGCTGGGCGGGCAGCCTGGGATCAGCCACGCGTCCTGGAAGCTCTCGGCTCTTCAGCACTAATCCACGCTTCGCCCGGCTTAGCTTGCTCTGTGCGAGCTAGTCTTGCATAGTGTTGTATCTGTGTTTAAAAAAAAAAGTTATTATTAATAATACTGAAATGGGGGTGCCCTATGTGGAATTTTAACTTCATATCTTTTAAAAAATCATTTCTTAAAACCTGCTGTTAATCATCTGGAGAACTGAAAGGATAAACTTTGAACTCTTAACTTTCTCGTTTTAAAAAAAAAAAAAAATAAATTGAATTTTGCTGGCTTCCCACAAAGCTGAATATCTTGAGTGGGAAATTGATGACATGCTGAATCGGAGATGGCGATGGCCAGATCTCCCCTGGAAGGTCTGAGCTCCTGGGGGGGGGCTGCGTGGTGGGAGATCGGTGCCGGTGAGTCCGCGGGGAACCAACCGCCTGCGGCCCCAGGAGGCAACGCCATCCCCCAAACCACTTGGTTGGCACAAGAGCCCTTAGGCCAAGCCTAAGGGGGAAATCATCAGTTTAGCAAGAGGGTGGCCGGGCAAGATGTCTCGGCACAACTCTGTAAACAAAGAGTTGCTCTATGTGAAAGTTTAACCGGCCAGCCATGTTTAAAGAAAAAAAAATAAAAAGGCAGAGGGAGACTGATGGAACCGTGATGCTCTTTTCTGAGGTCAGGCAGCTGGAGCAAAGCCGTTACAGCAATCTGGCCTTGCAGTTGCACTTCCTGCCAATGCCCCCAAAGGGCTCCTCATCCCAAACTTCCCGCTGTTCAGGAAACCGAGCGCGGGGTGAGCGCTGGGGCTCGGGGGGCTCGGGGCGGGGGGGACAGGAGCCCTGCCGAGGGGGAAACGCTGCCCCTTGCCTTGCACCCACCCGGCCCTGTGCTGCTTCCAGGGTCCTGGCGGAGGGAAGTTTGAAAACAAACCCTGGCTGGCAATCTCTGTTTCTCCTTTCCTCGTTGTCTCCAGGCTAACTTTAAAGGATGACAAATAATGCCCTGCTTTCCTCCACGCTCCAGGAACTGGACCAGGTAGGGGAAGGCTGGTTTTTCTGGCCGGGCTGGCAGAGCTGGGTGATGTTTGTGTAGCTGCAGCTGGGTGAGAACCGCTCACGGCCTCGCGCGGGGGCCTGGGCTCCTGGCAGGGGTGGACAGAGCTGGGAAAGGCCAGTTCAGCCCCACTCCGGGCTGCTTCCAGGCTGTGATGGGGCTGGGGTCTTCAAACGCCCCACTGACCGGGAGGAGCAGGGCTGCAGCCACCTGAATTTCATAAGCCGTGGGTTTCCATCGCACCAGCCACGCGGTGGAGAGGTGCAGCTCGCTTTTGGATGAAGATCCTGTTGGTGCTGGATGCTTTCCCAGCGGAGCACCTGAGCAGGCTGTTTTGTTAAGGATGTTAATAGCTTCAGCAGAGAGCGTGGGGATGAAGAGCAGGTGGCCAACAATGGGGTCAGCATTAAAAGCTTCACTTAAAATACAGCAATGTGACTTCAAATCCACTGGAGGCTAAAGCAGAGAACTGGGTGGGTTTTTTTTTCCTTGCCTCCATCTGTCATCCTTAAAACTGATGTTGAAAGCAGCTTACAGCTTCATCAGCTTCTACCACGAGCTCCCGCACGCCCCAAAGCTTAGTGTTTTCTTTCATATTGCTTTACCTTTCACAGCCTAAAAGGACACTTCTGGTATCGTTTTATCTTGCAACCTTTGTGCTGATAGAAAGGCAAGCTGGGGTGAGCCAGCGTCCTTCGGCGGGGGCCCCTGACGGTGTTGGACACCCCTCCAACGCTGCCTGAGGAAGAGGGAAAAGGTGGTTTTAGCTACGCCTGTGACCCGGGGCCATTCCCTGCTTTGAAATCCTTTTGCAATCGTTTCAAACCAACCTCCTGGCTTTGCCTTGCTGCCTCCCCTCTTTCCTTCGCCCCCCCAAGGGCTGCGACGGCTCTCCCCCAGCCTCTCAGAGCCCGTTCCCGCATCTGCCTCTGCTACGGAAGGCGGCTGCGCTCCCTTCCCTGCACGCAGCAGTCCAGCTGCTGCGAAACCCAACCTCGCAATTTCCAGTCGTTATTTGTCAGGTGGAACTGTCCCCGCCGGAGGCTCGGCCGGGCCAGGAGGAATTCCCTCAGCTTGTGGCGGGGAGCGCGGGGCGGGTGATAACTCCGCCTGGTACCCAGGGTGCTGAGAGGGCGAAGCTGCTCTGCGAGGGGCTGAGCACGACTGGCCTGCAGTGAGGCAGAGGAGCTCAAATGCTCGGCTAAAAGCCGGTAATAAAGCAAGCCTGCTCCCGCGCGTTGGCGGGCGGCGAAGCTGGACGTGTCGCCGGGCAGTGGCTGGGAGAGCTGGGGGGTCGGAAGGAGTCGAGGAGGATCTCGGCTGTACCTCGGTGCGGGCAAGGCTTCTGGAAGGAGACTCGTGTGGCTTTGCTGGGTAGAAGCCGCTTTGTTAAAAAACCCATTGGCTTCTCGTCTTGGCAAGGGCTTTTAGTGACACGTGCGAGTCCCCTGGAGAGCTGGTGCAGTGCCACATAATTCCTGGAAATGTTGATACCATTCGGGTTTCCTTTGCGCCGGAGCTGGGCAGCGGCCATTCCCCCCCCAGGGCCGTTCCTGGGGCTGTGGCACAACCCAGCGCCCCGTAAGCCTTCTCCTGCCCGGGGTGACCCCCCTGCCTCGTGTCCCCCCCCTCTTCCCTTTGGTCCACCGTAGGGACATGCTGCCATTGCCTGGGCCCCTTATCAACATCCCGGTGGTCCCCGCTCCGCCTCGGGCACAGTGACACCCCATCGCCGGGGCCGGAGCTGGGCAGGGCGAGGGGACAATCCCAGCTCCTGGTGCTGCACCAGTGCCTCCATTTCGCCAGTAAGGGTGATAAACAGGACAGCCCTGCTCCGGGGAGCGGGGCTGTCGCCTTCCCTTCGCCAGGAGCAAGGAGCAGAGGCCGCCAGCCGGGGCGGAGGGTGGAAGGTCCTTCTGAGAGGTCACCAAATCCAGGCAGAGCTGGAAATGAAGCTAATCTCCTGCTGTCGAGCCAAGCTTCAGGCGGGATGGAGGAAACTCCGCGGGCGCGTGGCAGCCCTTGGCCTGGGTCCCTCCGGGCTCCTCGGGAGCCTTTTAAGGTTTCTCTGGGCTGATGAATTGTCTGACAACCTGCTCAGCCGGCAGCAGCACACCGGGGGCACAGGCTCGGCGATAAGGAGCGACAGGTTTTCCCCGGCAGTGCCCCGGCCTCTTCCCCGCCGCGGCCAGGGCTGCGCTGGCCGAGCGGCTGCCGTCGCCCTCCGTGCAGCTCCCGGCTCCCGCGGGTCTCACTTGGCAGCCCCAGCTCTGCCCCGTGGCTTATTTTAGCCCCCCCGAGCTGACGCCTCACTCCCCTGGTGCTGCCTGCTCTCGCTCGACGCCACGCGCATCCCGCCGTGCCCCCAGCCCTCCCCACGGGCTGCAGACCCCCGGGGTCAGGGACCAGGCGGGTGCCGGGCTCGGCCCCGTGGTGCTCACCCAGCGCTTTGGTGAGGTTTGCTCTCCTTGAGCACGCGGAGGTGAGGCACGGCCAGTGTCACCCAGACCCTGGGGACAGATGGAAACCCTCTGCTGTCGCCCACACAGGCGAGGGGGGACCCAGGGGACCCCCGCGGCCGGGCCGGTGCGATGACCTGGCTGATGGAGATCCCGGCTGCGGCTCACTCGGGGCTGTGGTTCGTGGCCGTGCCAGCACGCGGTGCCCCCGTCCTGCCTCCTGCCGTGGGAACAGGCCCCACAAAGTCACGCAGAAACAGATTAAGCTGGCTAAAGCGAGATTGCGTGTCAGGGCTGGATGAGGAACGTGCATTTAGATTAAACTCTGTGCTTTCGGCTGCCCGGGGAGCCCCAGCGAGAGGGCAGGTTTAGGCGCTGGCCAGGGCCATCTGGCTCATCGCTGAGGGCCGGCAGAAGCCCGGCACCACCTGCCCCCCCGGGCAGGGACATCGCCCAGGGCACGGCTGCCCTTCGCCCGCAGCACGAGGGGAGCCCCCAGCCCAAAAGG